GAGCTCAGCCTGGTTTGCATTGCCCTTTCCTAGAGCTCAGCAGCACTGCAGGAGCACCCTGCATGTAGGACATCCAGGGAAGGAAGACTTCAGGGTCATGTTGTTGCTACCAGGTGGAGGTCCAGATGTAGCTAAGAGCAACCCCAAATGCTGCAGGCACCATGGGCAGTGATTCCTCCCACCAGCCCAGGCTGCCCCCAGCCCCATCTGAGCTGGCCTTGGGCACCTCCAGGGATGGGGCACCCATAGCTTGTCCTGACAGCCTGTGACAGTGCCTCACTACCCTTGTAATAAAGATTTTTTTCCTTGTATCTAATCTAAACCTACCCTTTTTTAGTTTAAAGCCCTTACCCCTTGTCCCATCACTCCACTCCCTGGCAAAGAGTCCCTCCCCAGCTTTCCTGTAGCCCCCTTTAGGTACTGGAAGGTTGGTAAAAGGTCCCCCCAGAGCCTTCTCTTCTCCCAGCTGAACACCCCCAACTCTCTCAGCCTGTGTCCTTGGCAGAGGTGCTCCAGCCCCCTGATCATCTCTGTTGTGGCCCTTCTCTGGACTCTTCTGATACGTCCATGTCCTTGTGCCAGAGCACCCCTCCACCCCACTGCTGTGTGGGAGCAGCTTTCTCCTCTTGGAAGTGTCCATAAAGTCCCCGTCATCACTTCCCAGCATAATCCCAAGGTGCAGCTCTGTCGGGTCGGTGTCCGTGGCCGCAGGGTGCCATGCCTGAGCTCCAGGGGCTGGTGCTGCCCACCCCAGGGGAGGTGCCGTGGCTTAAGGGCAGCGGCTGGGACATCGGCTCTGAGCTTGGTGGATGCTGCCCTGCTCCTGCACTGTCTTCTCCCCTGCCAGACTCAACCGAGGCACTGAGCTGAGGTGCGAATGAGAAGGGGAGGTGCTGCTCACCCCTCATGGGGCTTGCTGTTCTTGCATCTCATGCGGGGCGGGTTTAAGGTGGGAGGAGAGGCAATCCCAGGCAGTGCTGCCATGTCGCTCTCTGCTTTCCAGAGCCCTTGCCCCAGCCCAAGCTCCTGAGCAGCTCAAACCTGGACGGTTCACTCATCAACCTGACCTGCGTGCTGCCAGAACGAACGGTGGCTGATGTCTCCTGGAAGAAGGATGGACATCCCCTTCCTCCCGAAAAGTGCTTCCAGCTCACTGGGAAGAACACTGTGCTGCAGATAAGGAAGGCAGAGAAGTCAGTTTGTGGCTCCTACTCCTGCATAATCAACAACACCATCAGCTTGAAGGAGGCAGCCCTCAACCTGACCATGACAGGTTAGTGTTGGCCTGCCCTGCAAAGCCCTGGGTGGCTTTGTAGGCTGTAGTTGATGCAGTCATGGCAAGCCTTGTGCTTAGCTGGGAGGTCACAGCAGGGCACGGTTTGCCCCTGGAGCTCCAGAGCGTGAAGCACCAGGATGCTCTGAATGACCTTCATGTTCCGTAGATGTTCAAGGGGGGCAGGAGAGCAACCACTGACAAGTTCTCACTGTCTCCTTGGCAGAGCGGGGCTGCTCAGAGGCTGTCAATCTGACCATTGCCTTCGTCATTGGTGCTGTAGCAGTCGTCCTCATGCTGCTGTTCCTGTTCCTGTGCTGTAAGTAGCCCATTGGTTTCCTTCCAGCCACACCAAGTACCTGCTCCATCACTGAGACCCCGCTCTCAGCTCCCACCCCGTGGCAGCAGGTCTTGAGACAAGAGGCAATGTGCCTCTGCTTCACTCAGGGATGCTCAAGGAGGTGTTCGTGGAAGGCGAGTTTCTCCTCCCGAACATGGAGGATGCTCTTCTGCTCTCCTCCTGACCCAGGAGACGTGGGCTGGTGCCCAGCTGACCACTGACCTGAGCAGGAGTGAGCCCACGGTGTGACTCCCCAGAAACGAGTGCTCAACTCTCATCATCTCCTGCAGGAACGAGTGCGGAGGATGCTTCATTACGTGTTGAAGAGAGGGTGGGAAGGGGACCCCTGCTTTGCCAGGGTGTGCAGAACAATTGGGAATCTGAAACACAAGAAATATTGCACTAACCTACCAAGGCCTCATAGGTTAGAGGTGCAGGGGCTTGCAGGCAAGGTGGGTGTCCATCTCTGTGCTGCCTTCTGGCTCTCCATCCAAAATGGAGATCTGGTTTTGGACACAGAGGGGTTTGGCCATGGGAAAGCCTCCAAAACCCATTCTTCCCTGCAGTCGCATTTTCACATGTCCCCATGAAGCTCAGGGTGGTGTTGGAAACCCAGGAGCTGATGCCCTCTCCTTCATTTTCAGATTACAAGAAAAATCAGGAGAGGCAGCAGCCGCTGGAGCCCTAGGAGGTCACCCACAGCTTACAGACCACGTCTACCTCAGTGACTTCCTGCAAATATCAGGTGTCTCCTTCTCTGGGTGCTGCAGATACTTGTAATGGTATGATGAATATTTAATACTCACCAGGAAGCATCCATCTGCCTTCCTGCAGAACGGCACGGGTGGATTTGTCACCATCTAGGGGGTGACATCAGAAGAACCAGTCATTGGAAAAGCTGGTACATTCCTCCTAGGCCAGTCCAGACACTGAACTAGTGCCAAAGTGGATACTGGATGATTTTGAGTCTTAAGGATTCTTTGTAATGCATCTAGGTTAGATTGCAGCTCTTTTCTAAGGGAGCTTCCCATAGCTCCCGACTGCTCATCTCCTGTCCTGCAGATCGGTGATGGTGCTCGAGAGCCTTTCCTTTTCCTCCAGCTACGGTTGGGTTGAGCATTAACACTGGAATGGGCTGCTGCAGCCTCACTTGTTGTGCCCCACGTTGGGTGCCATTTGTGGTGACCGAGTGCACGGACTCTTCGTGTGATCAAGTCTCTATTGCAACCCGGCGATGCTCCTTTTACACACTTCCCTTCCAGAGGTTTTCCTTCCACAAATCCTCCAGCCCCGTTTACAGTCCTTTGATCCTTGTATTTCTCAGGCTGGTAGGTACCTTACTGCAACCTCCTGTTCCCATGCTGGGTTTTGGTCACACTTTGGTACTTTCCTCTTTCCTGGGCCTCGTGGCAGTCCTTGCCCAGAACTGCTCACAGCACTGGAGGTGAGGCCGCACAGCGCAGGGCAGGCAGGCAGGACAGTTCCTTCCCTCGACCGACTAGCGATGCCGTGCTTGGTGCACCCCAGGGTACGGCTGGCAATATGTGATTACAGATCCCACACTGGTCTGCCTTTTTGCAGGTGCCCTTTCCTAGGTACTGACCATTATTGTGGTTGGCAAGCTCTCCTTTTCTCTTTTTATATATTTATATACATATATTTTCATATATATATATTTCTATATATATTTATATATATATATTTAGATAGATGTTGAATGATTTTTAAAAACAACAAGGAGGCCATGACTTATTTCAGCTGATCAAACCAAGCTTCCAGGGCGACTACGAGGAGTTCCCATGACGGTGTTCCCATACCGCCCGACTGAGGAATTAAAAATATTGTTGCCAGCAGCTGGCTTCAAGAACAAGATCTGCGTGGCTGCTAATCACAAGGGGGTTGTTTTCTTGCAGTTGTTTGTCTGAGTGCTTTTTGACCGATAATCATGTGCGAGACACTATTTGCCCCTGTTAAGTTTGCTATAAGAATCAGGCTGTTCGGGTAATAGAGGGGAGCATGATCTGACCATACTAGCATCTGTGATGTTTTTGGCCGTTCTTCCTGCAATATATATCTTTATATTTATATTTATATATTTATATATATACCCTAATCTTTTATATATATTTAAAAGAACCAGTGACCAAGTCTGTGCTGATTTCCCTTGCACAGGCTCTGAACTGACCTTGTGGTCACACCACAGCTGTCAGTGGTTTCCATCCTTTGTGGGCTGTAGACTTTTGGGTTCAGCTGAAGGTCCTTTGCTGTGCCCCCTGGTATCAGATGAGAAATGTGTTCATACAAGAAAATAAAATAAATAAATAAATAAACAATCTACCTTAGGTCACCTTTTTCTTTGCTTTGCTGGAGCCGCTGCAATAGAAGGATTCCATTTGGATCCTCTGCTGGTGTCCCCGCTGGGTCTCCTCAAGCACAGGATAGCTCAGTGCTATCTGGGCCCCAGCTCTGGGGCCAGATCCTGCCTTGGCCAGCTCTGGACCAGGTTTCTCGAGGGGGTGCGGGCCAGGGCAGACTGCTTTACAGAGCAAACTAAAGCTGAGCAGTGCCCTGGGTTGCAACAAATCCCGTCGCAAGGGAAAGCGCATCCCCGGGGCAAGGAAAGCCCCTGTCCCAGCCAGGCCGGAGCACAGCTTGCCAAGATGCCTCCTCCAGGCCAGGGCAGGAGCTCGTGGGGCCAGGACCCAGGCGCTGACAAGGGCTCAGCCTCGTGGCACTTGAGAGAAGAGCAGAAAAGCTTTTCTGCTTGCAGAGCTCGCTTAGCCCCCGCCTGGGACGCACCAAGCCGTGGTGCTCGGAGGTGCCCGCAGCACCCTCCTGGTGAGGTTACGTGGTCCGAGAGAGGACAGGGGCAGCACGCGTCCCCTTCCAGGGGGGCTGGGGGGGCTCTGCAGGCCAACAAGGGCACCAGCGGTGGGAAAAGCAACGTCAGAGGCGGCAGAACTAAACCAGGTAAGGAACCAAGATCGTTCTGGCTGGATAGGACACAGGGGGAATGGCTTCAGACTAAAAGAGGTTAGGGTTAGATGAGGTACAAGGAAGAAATGCTTCGCTCTGAGCGCAGCTGAGGCCCTGGCCAGACAGACACATTTTTGTCATCATTCCCCCTTCCTCTCCTGATGCTCTGGCTCCCCCTCCTGCCCGCATCCCGTCCCTGCTGTGGGTTTTGGGAACTGCACGGGGCTTATTTCCCATAGCCAGAGACCACGGCCACTGTAAGAGGAGAACGTGTGCGCTTTTATTTGTAGCAAGAGACATGAAAAACTAGCTTTTCCCCAAATGATTTTATAGACAACACTCAAAACAGCTTCAAAAATATATTTTTTTCTGTAACATTTGGCTTCCCTGAACGCTTGCAAGCACTAGCAATCACTCCCACCGTGGGGCATGATTTCACCCGCTCCTGGATGAGCTTCCACTCTCCCAAGAGGTATCTCCATAGGGATAATGCTGAGGACAATGAAACCTCTGGCTTTTCCAGTGCTAAATTGTCAGAAACTACCTGAAAATCACAAACAGAAGATAAAAAAAAAACACCTGCAGGAACAGAACAGCGAAGAACGCACAGCCTGAAGCCCCCCATCTCTCTCCTTGAAGCTCACAGCCGGGAGAGGTCCCCAAGCCACCAGCGCAGAGGAGCAGGCACGGGGCCCCCAAACCGCCCGAGCTGCGGAGCTGCTGGGGACGGGCTCAGCCAGCTGGGGCTGCCAGACAGCTCAGAGCTGTTATTTTTGACTCGGGATGGGGTTTCCCGTCCTTGGGGCACCGTATCCCGGTCCTTGCCCTCCTTCTGTTAACACCCTGCTGCTTGCACGAGTCACCTGAGAGCGAGCAAGCCTCGGGGAGGCTGCAAAACCACACGTTTCCCAGCAGCCTCTCGAGCATTTTGGGGAATTTAAAACAAACAAACAACAACAGCTCTGTAAACATTACGGAGCACGTTTCAGGTCTGCGCGCCATCCCCGTCTGCTCCACCCCAGAGGCTGCCAGATTGATGAACCAATCTGGAAAACTTTACCGGCAGCCAGCGTCTGAGCCGCAGAGGTGCTTTGGGGACGCTGAGTGTTCCTCCTCTGGGAGAGACCCTGCTCTGCTCTGATTTTTGGGCTGCTTCTGCAGCAGGAGACACCGGGAATGACTCCAGACCAGCCCAGAAAAGCTCCAGCATCCCTCAACACCCGGGCACAGCACACGGGGATGAAGGCTTCTTACCTGGAGCTATCGTCTTGGCTCCTCCTCAACCTGCACCAGACGAAGATCCCTGCGGACAAACATTGCCTCTGTTAAACACCCCAGGGATGAAGATGCTCAACGCGTGGCAAGGAGCCTCACGCCTGGAGGCTTTTTCACCACCCGCACAGAGCTTCCTATTTTAAGCCACCAGACTCTCTCCTTGGGCCCCAACTTGGGTGCATCCCTGCTTTTTTTTTTTTTTTTTTTATTCCCCTCCCAATTGTAGCCAGTCAATCTGCTGTCATCCTGGAGATGGATTAGCTTGGAAAAAGCACTCCAAACAAGGAAGAGAAGCAAGGCCACGGGGCGAGGACGCGCGCTTGCCTTCTGCAGGCAGAAAACCCCAGCGGGCTGCACTGGGGGGCAAAACTGCTCCCACCCCAGCAGGGATATGAGGGGTCCAGAAGCATCCGTGGGACTGACCCGGGCAGGGACAGAGAGAGGATCTGCAGGATCTGAAGCCTGCTCAGAGCAACCTCTGCTCCTGATGCTGGGGCAGGGGGGCGAGGCAGCACAGCGGTGCCTGACACGGTAGCTCATCGGTGGTGCAGCAGAGCCCAAAATGCCAGGGGAAGCTGGTCCCAGCACTCACCTGCCAGCAAGCCGATGCTAACGAACACCAGGATGATGGGTAAAAACGCCTTGTCGTTGCCTGAAAAACAAGCAAATCCCAGAATTTTGCCCCCACAGAGAAAAAAAATAAACTCCTGCCACCGGGCAGTCTGGCACAAGGACATGAGGACACAAGTCCTCAGTGGAGCCCTGCTGTTCCCACTGCTTGTCTCAGACTGTGCTGGGAAGCCATGAGACCTCAGGGAACGGGGCCAGAGTGACAGTTTTGGGGCCATTCCCCAGCTTTCCATTCCCGTGCCCGGGGAAGGAAGCCCCACTTACTGTGGACGCGCAGCAGGAAGGAGGTTTCGTTGTGGCTGACCGCGTTGCTGACTATGCACGTGTAGTAGCCGGTGTCGTTCATCAGGGCTCGGTGGATCTCCAGCGTGTTGTTGTGGATGAACTGGAGGCCGTTGCTCTCCATCAGCAGCTCCCCGTTCCTCTTCCACCAGTACACGTCCACCTGCCCCTCCAGCACGTTGCAGTACAGCTTGGTGTCGCCTCCCACCTCCACGAAGGAGTTGCCCAGGATTTCTGGCTCGGAGAGCGGCTCTGCGCAGATGGAGCACCCGTCGGCACTGACACCCCCGCCTCGAGGGTGCCAGCACCCGGGCAGCAGCTCCAGCTCCCCGGCTGCGGCGCAGGGTTTGGCACTCACCGACCACGCGCAGCTCCAACCAGCCCGTGGCCTCCGACTCGGAGCGGAAGCGGTAGAACCCCCCGTTCCACCAGCGCAGCACCAGCTGCAGCGAGAAGTCCATCTCGCTGAGCCTGGCGTGGCCCACGTAGGCGCGGGAGATCTCGGCCGACTTGTTGGGAACCAACGTGGCGATGAGCTCCTTGCGCGCGCCGGACTCGTACTCCCAGGACGCCGTGGTGCCGGCTGCCCTCGGCTCGACGCTGAAGAGCACAGTGCAGCCCCTGGCCGAGACCAGGACCTCGGACACCGGCTTGAGGTCGGCAGAGTAGCACGGGAAGAGCGTGCGGGCTGCAAGGGAGGAACGCGGCACGGGGCTAGCGGGACGCACCGGCATCCAGCAGGCAGCTGGGCAGGGAGAGCCGCCCTGGCTCGGCTCCTGCGCAAGTGGCGGTGCTGGGGACGGGATTATTTCGGGGGGGGCTTGTGGTGGGGCTTTAAGCAGCACCACGGAGAAGCAGGAGGCTGCGGAGGCGCTGCCTTCATCTCCCTGAAAGCCTGCGCTGCTTCGCTTCGCAGCCGGCTTCTGCCTGAGGAGTTTCCACGCGCGGGTACGGCTGCGAGAGCCACCTGCTCCTGGCCCTGCTCTATGGGGGGGGGCTTGGAAGCAAAGCAGCCCCAGGGAGCCAAGGTCGGAGCCAGGGCAGCCCCCTCCCAACCACCCATTTGCTTCCCGAAACGTTTGGAGAGGTGCTCCTGAGGCTGCGAGCACGCAGCAGGGGCTTTGGGGTGGGAAAAGCAGCCGGGAGAAGCTCCCTGGTGGAGGGGGGAGCCTGCACCACCCAGCCCACCACCAGCACCACCACCCCCAGCCCCAGGACTTGCCTATGACAGCCAGGCCGGCCGCTGGGCCTGTCCCGGCGGAGGCCAGGAGGACGAGGAGGGGAAGGGCAAGCATGGCAGACCTGGGGCGCAGCGTGGCCTGTGGCAGGGCTGGGACCGGGACCGGCACCGGGTGCCACCGCCTCCTGTCGCCGTCACTCAGGCCCCGACACGGGGCTGGGCTCGGCACGGGGCACCAGGACGCCGGGCACGACTCGCACCACGAGGCCGGGGGCTGTGGGGTGCAGCAGGCTCAGGGAACTCTGCAGCTGCAAAAGCTGGATATAACGTCGTGTGCCTTAGAGATCTGTCTTACAGACCGTTATTTAACAGCTGTAGGCTGTAAAACATCTGTAGGTGAAGCCACGTCTCCTCCTCCAGCCCTGCTGCACAGGCTGAAGCTCTCTATGTGAAGAGCTCCCACGTCTTGTGGCCCCCCAAGAGCTCAATTCCCCCAAAAGGTGCACCAGTTTCTCCCAGCACACCAGATTCTCCTGGCACATTTTCTCCTGGCATATTTTCCCCCTGCTAAACCCCTCTCAGGAAATCAGAGGTATACCAATAACCACATGTAACCTGCTGCCAACCAGGCAGAGGTGAAAGAGTTGGGGGTTTAAAAGAAACCTTCACCACTCCGGGCTGTGGGACCACCACTCAGGGTTTTTCCCGTCTCCATTTCTCGTGCCCTCAGCGTTAGGGGGTGCAGGGAGAGCAGGGTCCACCCCGTGCTGAGCACCCACCCCCCCGCAGGGCAGGCAAGGCAGGGCAGAGCCCTGCGGGAGCCAAAGGACACGGGCAGGGCCCTGAGGTGATGCAAAAATACACAGAGAGCTCCAAAAGGAGAGCCCCACCGCAAATTCTGCAGCACACAGCGTTGAACGCCCCTGGGATTGAGTGTTTTCCCACTGCCCCAGCACACAACAGGGATGCAGGGACATGGGGGTGGAGGCAGCGTGTAGAGGGGGCTTGAGGGGTCAGGCAAGAACCTCTCACCCTCACCTACTCTTTCCCACTCCCTCAGGGCTGAACGTGGGAAAAAAGGGGAAGAAACAAGTTCAGGAGCCACAGGAGGGCACCTGCTACCAGTTCAGAGAGAACTGGGGCTGTATGAATCAGTTGGAAGAAACGAGGAGGAATGGTTGTCTGAAAAAAACCTTCAAAGGGGGAGCTCCCAGCTCATCAAGTCCTCCAGGAGAGGGGAAGCGAGCTGGCAGAACCCAGGAGCTCAGCTACAGCTGATAAAGAGGCAGCCCCTGGACTGTAAGCCCAAAACAGAAGCTTTTGAGCCCAGAGGGGCATGTGGGGAAGGTGGAAGAGCCCAGAGGCAACAGAAGGGGCTCAAGGCTGTCCTGGTCCCCCACACCGCTGTGCTCTGGCCCTGCAGCCACGAGGATGCTCCTGCAGCCAGCGCTGCCCAGCCTCACGACATCCCCATCCCGGCTGAGCGCACGCTCTCGTCCCCCAGCCGTGGTCAGGGCCACACCAGCAGCAGCCAGCTTGGTAATTAAACGTTTAATTGGACATCCTGGAAGGACCACAGCTGGCCAAGCAGCAGGTTACCCGCTGCTCTGCTTGGCCGCCAGTCTCTTGTCTCTCTCCTCAGCGATGGTCAGCCGGATGCCCTTTCCGCGGGGCAGGGAGATCCACGGCTTGTTGCCCTGAAGCGAAGCAGAAGTCATGTCACACCGAGAAGCACAGACCGCAGCACGAGCCAGCCCCCACGGGGATGGATTTCACCCAGCAGGAGACCCCGAGGAAGCCGTGGCGTATGGTCAGGCCTCTTTTTTCCACATCCCAGGGGGCTCCCTCCTGAAAACATCCCCACCCACCCCTTCCGAGTTTATTTGCGCTTTCCCATCCCAAAGTGGTCAGCCTGAAGCTGCCAGAACCACGGCAGCAGAGCTTCAGCCCACAGCCCCCCAAAACCAGGAGAGGGCCCACCCACCTCCAGCCCGCGCTCGCTTACCTTGCCAATCACAAAAATGTTCGAGAGCCTGGTGGCAAAGCTGTTGCCGTTGGCGTCCTTCACGTGAACCACGTCGAACGAGCCGGGGTGCCTCTCCCGGTTGGTGATCACCCCGATACGGCCCAAGTTGGCGCCACCAGTCACCATGCACAGGTTACCTAGGGCGGGGGGAGGCGGCTGTGACAAGAGCTCGTGCTGGGTGCTGAGCTGAAGCCCTTTTACCGGGAGGACGAGGGCAGGGACAGAGCCGCACAGCCCACGGGGCAGCCCGCAGAGCTGCCAGGCACCTCACGACATCCCCCGCCAACATCCCACAGGAACCCCGGCACAGCTCGAGGAGCCCAACAGCTCTGCGGTCCCAAAATATTCCCCAACATATTCCCCGCACAACACAGAGCCAGCCTCGAGCATCTGCTCCAGCTCAAAAATCCCCGACTGTTGTGTTTAACCTTCACAGTGCTCTTCGCTCTCCAAGAGCCCAGCGTTTTTGCAGGGAATTCGAGACCCACCTGTGTCAAACTTGATGAAATCCGTAATCTTGCCAGTCTCCAGGTCAATCTGGATCGTGTCGTTCACCTTGATGAGGGGGTCCGGGTAGCGGATGGTGCGGGCATCGTGGGTCACCAGGTGAGGGATTCCTTTGGTGCCCACGAAGATCTTCCTCACCTTGCACAGCTTGTACTGCAAGCAAAACCCAGCGCTGCTCAGATAAGGCACCCCAGCCTTCAGCCTCCCTACAAACGCTGCGTTTCCCTACAAAATCTTACACCCAGGCATTTTGCCTCATTTTGCCCTGCAGCCTGTGGCCACACAGCAGAGGCTGATTTCTCCCAGACCCATATCCCTCCTCCAGAGCTTTCTGGCTTCCTTTAACCTCAGCTCCAGGAAGCCCCGAGCCCCCTGTGCTCTGCCCCTACACCACAAGCGAAGCTCCCGGTGAAGGTAACGTCGCCCATGCTGACAGCGAGCACAGCAAGCAGCAGAGCACGCACCTGCAGACCCGTCTGGGAGCTGCCCTCGCGGCACACCAGCAGGTTTTCCCCCCTCAAAGGCTTCGTGCCCCAACCCAGAAGGCCCCGATCCTCTCAGGGGCGGCAAGGACTCGGCGCTCAGAGCCGCCAGCTCCTGTTCAGGAGATGCCAGGGAGGAAGCAGTGCCCCCAGGAACACCCGGCTGGGCCCGCGCGGGCGCCAAGCTTTAGCCCCTCACCTTGGCCTCTTCAGCTGTGATGCGGTGAACGGCAAACCGGCCCTTGGTGTCGTACACCAAGCGGAAATGCTCGCCCGTCTTCTCGATGCTGATGACATCTGATTTCAGAGAGAGAAGGAGAAAAACAGCTGTTAGTGGCTACTTTATCCAACAATCAGCACAAAGCTCACGTTTAAATAGATCTGAAGACAGCTGAATAACACTCGCTGTCACCAAAAAAGCACCGTGCCCCCAAATCCCGCTGGCCCCACAGGACATTCCCCCCACCATGGCCCGAGGCACCTGCACCAACCCTCCCCGCTCACCCATGAAGCCCGCAGGGTAGGTGATGTCCGTGCGAACTTTGCCGTCGATCTTGATGAACCTCTGCATGCAAATCTTCTTCACCTCATCGCCGGTCAGGGCGTACTTCAGCCTGTTCCTCAGGAAGATGATGAGCGGGAGGCACTCCCGCAGCTTGTGAGGGCCCGTCGACGGACGGGGCGCCTGCAGGAGAGGAGCCTTGGGCAGGGGAGCCCCAGGAGGGGGGAGCCCCAGGACCCCCATAACTCTCACAGCAACACCCTAGGGCAGCTGCAGGAAGTTTTCCTGGCTTGTACAGCCTCATAGGGCGCTCCCCTCCCCACAGACCCACCCCAAACCCATCAGGGATGTAAGAACCCCCCAAGATCCCCCAGCCCAACCACCAATATCACCATAGAGCCGTGTCCCCAAGCACGCCCACCCTCTCCTTGCACACCCCTGGGGACGGTGACCCCCCCACCTCCCTGTGCAGCCCATCCCAACACCTGAATGCTCCTTGCGAGCAGAAAAACCTCTTTAATTCCCATCCTGACCAACCTGAGCCCCCCCCTCTCCCCCCACCTCCCTCCCAGGGACAGGGACAGGGAAATCCCCCCCCCGCCCCCTCCCCGATCCATTACTCACGAAGACGCCGGTCAGCTTGTCCAGCATCCAGTGCTTGGGCGCCGCCACACGCTTCAGGTGCTTCTTGGGGCCTCGGGCCTGCGGGCGGGACGCGCCGGGGCCGCCTCAGCTCGGGGCCTCCTCATCCCGCACCCCCCGGGGCCGCCTCATCCCGCCTCCCGCCGCCGCCATTCCCCCTCCCGAGCGTTCCCCAGGCTCCCGCCCTCCCTCCCGGTGTCTCCCGTGGCGGCGGGGGCGGTCCCGGGCCGCGGATGGCGGCGGATGGCGGCGGGGAGCCGCGGCGCCGCGGACTCACCATGGCTGCGCTCGGGCGGGAAAGGGGCGGGGAAGGCGGCGGGGGGAGGATGTGGGGGGGGGAGAGGGGGGCGCGGCCGCCTCGCTGAGGGGCGCCCCCTGGCGGCCGGGAGGACCCCGAGCAGCGCCCGGGCCCACCTCGGCGGGGGGTCTCTGGGTGTCCCCATCCAGGCTGGGAGCCCCCCATGTGCTCCCCATCCAAGCTGGGATCCCCCCATATCCCCCCTCATCCAGGCTGGGAGCCCCCCATGTGTCCCCCATCTAGGCTGAGACCTCCCCATGTCCCCCCCCATCCACTCTTGGAGCCCCCCATGTGCCCCCCATGCAGGCTGGGAGCCCCCCATGTCCCCCCATCCAGGCTGAGACCTCCCCATGTGCCCCTTCATCCACTCTTGGAGCCCCCCATGTGCCCCCCATGCAGGCTGGGAGCCCCCCATGTCCCCCCATCCAGGCTGAGACCTCCCCATGTGCCCCCATCCAGGCTGGGACCCCCCTATGTACCCCCCATCCAGGCTGGGACACCCCCATGTGCCCCCCATGCAGACTGGGAGCCCCTCATGTCCCCCCCCATCCAGGCTGGGAGACCCCCATGTGCCCCCCATGCAGGCTGGGACCCCCCTATATACCCCCCATCCAGGCTGGGAGCCCCTCACTTACTCTCCCATCTAGGCTGGAGCCCCCCATGTGCCCCCCCATCCACTCTTGGAGCCCCCCATGTGTCCCCCATCCAGGCTGGGACCCCCCATGTGTCCCCCATCCAGGCTGGGACTCCCCATGTGTCCCCCATCTAGGCTGGGATCCTCCCATTCCTCCCATGTTCCCCCCATGCAGGCTGGGACCCCCCATGTGCCCCCCATGCAGCTGGGATCCCCCCATATCCCCCCTCATCCAGGCTGGGAGCCCCCCATGTGTCCCCCATCCAGGCTGGGACCCCTCCATGTCCCTTCCCCATCCATGCTTGAATCCCCCCACCCCCCCCGTGCCCTCCCCAAAATAGCTGAGACCCTCTATGTCCCCCCTCATCCAGGCTGGGATCCCCCACATCCCCTCCCCATCCAGGCTGGGACCCCCCACGTCCCCCCCATCTACGCTTAGACCCCCCCAGGCATCCTCCCCCATAAAAGCTGGGACCCCACTCAGATCCTTTTTCCTGATTTTTTTTTTTCCATCCCTGCAGCCAGCGAGGGGGAGCCAGGCGACAACAGCTCCTGCCTCGACCCATTTTTTTTTTTCTATGAAAAGGAGCAAATCTCACAGAGATTTGCCAACAGGCCAGCTCCAAGGGGGTGTCAGCATCCAGCCCCACATCCCTGCCCCAGTTCCTGCTCTTTGTAGCCGGGAAAAACAAGAGACCGAAACAAAAGCCCGGCCGCCTAGGAGCCCCTCCGTCTGTGCTATTTATTCCGGCACAAGCTAATTAAAGCAAACAGGAAATCTGCTTTCCCACAACAAGCGGATGTTGCTTAAAAATAAAATAAAAAGAATCCGCACAAATAAAAGCTTCCCAGGCCAGGTGATCCTCCCCCCCCCCCCGCCACGGGTTTTGGGTGCTGGCACGGTAGGGTGGACACAGGACGAAAGGAAAAGGGCTGGAGTATTTCAAACACTTTATTTGGGGGGAAAAAAATGCCCACCAGTTAAAAACACAACTTGCAGTGGCCCCTCTTTTAAAAAACATTAGAACCAGTAGTGAGAATAAACTCTGACGTGTTAAAAAAGGGAAGAGAAAGGAGCAAGGAAGGCTCTGCTGGCACGGGGAACCTGGGGCCAGAGGGCTCCTGCTCCTGCCCACGGCGAGCCCTGGTACACAGCAGGCTTTTCTTTTTTTTTTTTTGAAAACGAGAAACGGATCCACCAACGAACCAACAGTAGTTTCTTCCAAACCCCCTCTGCAGCCGCTGCCGTAAACGTGTCCCCTCCCGTGGGGAAATGCTCTGGGGGAAACCTGCGCCTTCCTACACCACGTGCTTCAGATTCCCTGCAGAGAAAGATGCACAAAAGGGTGAGCCCGACTGTCTCTGATGCCACTCGCTGCGTGGCACTGCTTTATTTTCTGTTCTTTGGGCTCATCTGATCAGCGCTGCCTGCCCTGGGTGGTTATTTTTTGGGGGGGAGAATGCAGAAGGGGTGCCAGGGCGTGCCACGCGGCCACGGCTCTCCCTGTCTCTGACACTGACAAAAAATCTTGCTGCAGGGCTGAGCGTGCCATGGATGTTTCTGCATTGCCGGGTAACTCCTGCAGTGAAAATCTCTTATTTTTTCACCTAAAGGAAGCTTTCACCTAAAAGACGTCGCTCTCATTTCACCCTTGGGAACTGCAGCAAGCTCTGAGGGTTTATCAAATGGTGGCAGTGACACAGGTCTGTGAAACCACAGATGGGCACTGGGAAGGCGCCTAGGAGCCGGTTCCTGGCTGCTTCTCATTCCACAACAAGTCAGCGCTCAGCGAAAATCCCCAACGCCAAGTTTTATGCAAAAGAAAGTGTTTTTTCCACGTGCCAACCACGACACTTGCTGCTACGCTGTGTGCCGGCACCCAAAGTCTGAATAAACCTGGGAAACGAATGGAGGAATGGATGGAGGACAGGTTCCTCGCTGGATCTGTAACATGCAACCAGCAACAGTGCCGAGAGCTTAGGAAGCCCCGAAACCACTAAACCCAAAAATCTGGGAAGGACACCAGGAAAAGGCAGCAGAAAAGCAGCTGCCATGCTTCTGATGGAAATGGAAATTTAAGGACTCATTTACTGTATGTTCACAGAGGCATCTCCTGAGCCTACCTTCCCGTGGGGAGCATCCAGTGATGTTTTTATTAGACAAGACATGTCTAATTATCTATGAAAGGCAATCGAATAAATGGGGTTTACCTTTCCAGTCAGCAAGGAAGACCCCAGTGAGCCCAAAGTACTCCCTAAAAGGACCCCTAAGCCCGAAGCAGGAGTGTCAGCTTGAGCTGGACTGCTCACCTTTGATCAAGTTGAGAATTTCTTGAATTCTCTGTGGCTCGTTGCGGTCTGGCCTGCAGCTGGGCGTGATCTCCAGCACGTAGTCAGGTCCATACTCCGTGAAGAACTGCAGGAAGAAGAGAGGAGAGTCACCAGAGGGGTCCCGGGATGGCTGAGGCTGGAGGAGGGCTCCCAGGGGCACCTGTTTGTAACTAGCCAAAACTTATCCTCTCCTTCCAGGGAGCACATTGAACTCTGTTAATGTGAGCTTTCTGGGGGAGCTAAATAAGGCTAACGAGACTTTATAATCCCTCAACCATCTCCCTGAGCACACCCAAGGAGATGGAGCACGACCACGCACGAGCACCATGGACCAGTAAAGCCGTCCAGAGCAAACATGCTCCATCTGCCTCGGCCAGCAGGCGTTCAGATGCTCCTTCTGCAGCACATCATGAAATAATGCGATGGAGGAGGAGGGAGGGGACAGCTAACTGCATCAGCTGAAGGAAAACAAAAGTGATCCTTCGATGTTCTTGTCAAGACAGCCGGTTTCGGAAGTTGTTGATCTTGGTTCTGGTTCAAGAGCTCCAAACACAGACCGGCACTGATGGGAAGATGCAAGAAAAAAAATTTAAAACCAATAAGGGAAATCCTCTGAAAAAAACTGCAAGCATCAGCCCGTGTACCTGGGCTTAAGGGTATTTGTGGACACAAAGTGCTTAATGCATTTCAAAACAGGATTACAAGCTTCAATGAAAAATAGCAGCTGGAGCCACTAACGAGGCTAGGAACGAAGCTCTTGATCTCCTGGAGGCGTACACCAACCTAAGGGCTGTGCCTGGAGGTCCTTCACCTGGTGCTGTTTGAACACTTCACTGCCTCGGTTTGGTCGATGAGCAGCCTCGTCCTTGGGGCTCTGCACCCCCCTGAATTGCTTGGCCACTTTCTCCATGCCACAGGAGAGAAATGCAGGTTCCCCGAAGGCAGGCTGCTGCTCCACGCTTAATGAGATGAATGCCACCATCTTCTGGCCGGTTTTAGATCCAGAACTGTTCAATTCACGTACCGAAGCTGTTTCTTATTACCAAAATTACTTTATTACCTCTGATGAAGGACGTGGCCACAGGCTCTGAACAATCAGACAACCTACCATGCTCCTGCGTCTCCACGTATTCTTTCTGAACCCAAAGCAGATCAGAGAGGATTTCTAAATTGCTCCTGTCTCAGCTCCACCCAGCTCTGTTTTCCCAGGACCTTTCTGGCCGTGCTGAGCCACTTCACCTGGCACCCAGTAAGTGCTGCAGTTACGCTCCTGATCCCCACCAGCAGCCTTGGGGCTAACATCACCACCACTTAGTAAATCTTCCCAGAGATGCAGAGTCGAGATGCACTTGTGCATGGCAGGGACTTGGTTTGATCACACACATTCTCCTCCCGGTGGCACCGGTGACACCAGGTGACAGCTTCACTCCAGGCAGCCCACGTTTTCCCTGGCTCCAGCTCGTTCCTCTTCAGGTGCTGCAGCACAGCTCCACGAGGCAGACTGGGCTGCTCTCCAGGAGCGTGTTCCTCCAGGAGGGTGAATCCTGAGCAGCTCATCTCGTCTCCGGAAACGAAAAATCACAAGCACCATTACGCTGCAAGGGGAGCCCAACTTGGCTGGCCAGCAGTGGCGCCAGAAGTCGCAGCCAGCTCAGCTCTGCAGCCCAAGCGTCGGCTGTCCCAGAAGAGGATAAATATTCCTTTGAGAAGGAGCAGCCAGAGCACACAGGAGCCCATTGTGCACCTTGTGACATCCCGCACGCAACTCATTCCTCAGTTTTAAAACCTGTTTCTGGCTAAAGGATAGCATCTAAGCAGGACGACTCCCAAAAAGCGTCTCGTATCTGCAAGCACCGATGTCCACGATGACATATTTTCAGCTTAAACCCACCCATATGCTTTAGTTCCTTGTGCATACTGGTCTGTGAGACCCTCAGACAAATCAGAACGTAGTTCTCCTCTGCAGTCACTGCAGACTAAAACGTAGAGCCTTGAGAAAGCTCTGGCTCCTTCCTGGCACATCCTAAAGGACTCTTTGAGCCCGCAGGTGACTCCACCTCCCCAGCCCCTGTGTAATTACCTGAGGGTTGACTTTACTGGCTTCTCAGCTCCCTTCCAAAAAGCTGTGGACAGCCCTAGGTTTGGGGAACAAGCACCCACTGTGCTGCTCGGACAGTGCGTTATTGTTGCAGGAGCCTCTCTCAACAAAACAGCACTGAGCAGCCAGGGTGCTGCTCGCATTAGGTGGAGTGACTCTGCTCCTGGGCAAGGAGCAGGGAGGATTTGGCAAACCTTACCTCATGATCAGGGATCTCCGAGGACAGTGTTCTCCCAAGGATAACCCCAGTCAAGTATGTCCAGCAGCGGGCCGTGTTGGCAAGGTTGTAGCCTCCTGTCTCCAGCAAGAATTGCGATTTTGGAAGAAGAAAGATGGGAGAAAAGGGAAAAAGCAGATTTTACTAGCAGGAACAAGCCACGGAAGCTCCTCCAGCCACCTCTGCAGACCCAGCACAAGCCCATCTGTCTCTTGACAGCACAGAGGGGTTTTCATGGGTAACAGGGACAGAAGTGCAAGGGCAGCAGCAGAGACAAGGAACTGTTGCTTTTAAATGCCAGCCTTGGGCTCATAAAGCATGATCCACACGTCCAGCCATTTGCTGGTGAGCTCTTCAGCACTGACATGCTTGAGAGGACAAATACGAAGCTAATTAGTACAACGAGTGACTGCTTTACAAGTAAATGACGTTTCACAGGCAGTATGGGAGTAGTCACGTCCATCGTGACTGTGCACAACCTCACAGGGAAAAACCCTGGCTGAAGGCAATCCTGCCAGAGACTCTGAATTTCCCAGCAGACCGAAATAATGAGAGAAAAACACTTTGACAAGAGAGGAAGACTGTATTTTCCAAAGCTTCCTTCCCCTCGTTTTTTTTTTACCAAATACCATTTCTCCTCTCTTCCTCCAGTTTCCACCCCGAACGCTTCCGCAAGCTGTGGTGCCGGGACACTCCTTGGGGATTTCCACTCACCTCCTCCCAGCACCAGGGTCGCCAGCTGCCACTGCAGGACGTACTTCAGGCACTTGCCCACTCCCTCGGGGGTCATGTTGAAGGAGCACATGGGGTCCCCGGCGATGGTGTCAGCTCCCAGCTGCAGCACCACCGCCTCCGGGTTGAAGGCGGCGTACACCTCCTTCAGCACGCTGCAGGGAGAAATTGGGGGGGTGGGCATCAAAGCAGGCGTCTGACATCAGCTGCCCTGAGGACAGGGCAGGAATCCAGCCCCAGGGGTCTTCCTAAGCATCTTCTGGATGGTTTGATGTCCAGGGAGACGCATCCCGGGGACAAAGAGCTCGCCCTTACCCAGGGCTCACCCCAGAAACTTCACCAGCCGCTTGTCTCAGCACACAAACCCCACCAAGGTGCCTGCAGGGCTGAAGCCATCAGCTCGGCAAGCACAGCAAGCTGAGGGCTGCCCTCACTGCTGAAACACGGGCGCCTCTGGGGAAAACTCGACCCTGCTGAGACCACATACGTGGGCTGATTAATAGCTGAAACTAGCTGATTAATTACCTCTTTCAGCTATAATTAAGAGTGGCTTTATTATGCAAACTACCACAACCGTTTCATAGAATTCAGATTTTTCTTTGTCTTTGGAGCAAAGCTAACGTCACTGAATTCCTCTAGATTATTCCTTACTTTTCCTTTGCTGCACTTACGTTTCTCACACGTTGTGCTTTTTTTTAATCTTCAAAAGGTTAGCATTTAATCTCCAGGTAAAGTCACCCACATCTTGTCAGAACCAGTTTGATTCATTACATTGGGCAGTTTTGGAAGGCGATCAAGCAAATCAGCTACTCTTATGATTAGACAGACCCTTCATCATTTCCTCTTTTGATGGAAACACTACGTGAGCAACCAGGTTTACAGAAGGTTACTCCGGGTGGAAATATGTGCCTTGGACACATCCCTACGTGAGCTACAACTCTTGTACATCACAGAAACTCAGCATCCAGCTCTGGTGCTGCCAATCTCACCGCAGCTCTGAAACTTTTCATTCCTAGCTGTCTTTGTCTCCAAAATTTTAAAGACCTGTCAGATCTTCCAGAAGGAAAAAAAAAAGTAAAATCAGATTTTGGCCCCCCACTTCCATGCAGTAGTTATTGACAAATTATTAACAGCGTCTCCCTGGGAATTGCTCTGGGAATGCCTGTGCTGGCAGCACGTAGCTTGGAACCTACGGCAGCTTTTGATGTCCTTCAACTTGGAACGTGTGTGATGGGCTGATCCTGACTGGGCTCCTAACCCCTCTTTCTGCTCCTAAAGCTGCGCTGCTTTTTGGAAGCGTAGCCCCCAGCAAGACGAGGCACAAGCAGCCACGAGCAGCAGGAGGCACACAGCGTGACCACCCGAAGGGGCTCCAAGCCCTGCGTGGTTTCAGCCCTCAGCTGTTACAGCTGAGAGCCAGATGTGAGACCGTGTCCTGCAGCCCTGCACTCAGGCTCACCTCGCCTAGAAGTGAACAAGCCCAGCGGTCCACTTTCGACGTGGCTAACAGCTCGTGGGGTTTGTCACAAATCAAGAGAGAGAAGGACAAAAGGAGCTTTGAAAATACTCCTAGTTCAGCCCCAAGCACGTATCTGATGGATGGCCAGGGTTCAGAGCATTTATTTGAAGAAGAAGCATGTAGCCCTAGCTCCACAGCTAAAATGTACTTCTCCCTTCTCATCTTCTCCTTAAACACACCAGGCTGACCGGTGGCCAAGAGACCCTCGCACTCACACCTTTGTTTATTCAGCTTGCCCAAAGATTTGAAGAAAACCTCTGAGACCTCTTAAGATCTGTGTTTGTTGTCATCAAAAACAGCAACAGGGAAAGGGGCGAGCCTTATCCGAGGAAGAACAGTAATTAAAAATAGTAAATAAGCAAAATCTGTGCAATCTGTTCTCTAAAATCCCATCCAAGCAAACCGTATCAGAGCAAGAGGACTCACGTTTCACAGATCTGGTAATACTTCTCGTCCTGAATGCCATCTTGAATAGGCACGTTCACGCTGTAATAGCGACCTTTCCCCAGGCCGACATCCGTCACATCGCCTGTGCCTGAAAAGCAGAAACACCCAGGGGTTAACCAAGGGGAAAAGAGGCTCAGCAGCAAGAGAAACGTGTGGCATGGCTCAGGTGAGGGCAAAGCACCAGGCATGTCCATGGGGAAGCTGCCTTACCTCCACGAACACGGGAGGGTTTGGATGGACCTGGGTCTAGCTGCCTGCCCTACCCTGCAATTAAGCTTTCAAGGGCAGCCCAGCAGTGGCTCTGCCACAAACAGAAAGGGGGAGATGTGTCAAATGCATAGTTTCCCCCTCTTTCCTTCTTCTGGGTCAGAAGAGGGGAACATTTGGAGAGACACCTCTGCTGGTGAGGACGGGGTGTGCCTTTGCAAGGACCTCATCAATGAGTACAAATCGGTACAAACCTCGCCAGATCAACTTGCCTGGGAAAAATCCTGGCGAAAACTTGTGCAGAGAAACGGTCATAACTTTTGAGGTGAAGCTAAAGGCATCTTCAACCCCTGGCAGAAGAGGGAAAAGAAAAAAAGCTTTCAAGCATTTTCATTTGCGTAAGCAACAGAGCCTGAACGCGCACCCGATAAACGTGGGCCAGTGAGCAGAGCAGGAATGAATGACCCAGAAACCCAGACGTGGCTTGGCAAATCCATCCTTCAGCAACAGGGATAGGAATTCAAACACAGCAGTGTTCACAACTGAAATGAATTCGGCTGGTCTCGTGCTCATCAAAACTGAACGGGTCGGTGCCCTGGCAGGCTGGGGAGGGAGCCTAGCAAGGATGCTTTGGCTGGAGCGTGGCTCTGCTGAGAACCAGAGCTACTGGGCTCTCTTGCTTTTTCCCCAGCTCTTCTTTCCCCTAAATATGGATTAAAATAGTGGGAGTGTGCGGGGAAAGAGCAGTTACGGGAAAGTTAACAGAAACCAAATGGTGGGGCAGGGGTGGAACGGAGCAAAGCGAAACGCACCACGTAGGGAGAGCAGGAAATGCTAAGGGGTGTTGCAATAACGGCCCCGAAGCAGGGAGCACTCTCAGCAAGGCCCTCTCCGACTTGAGCTGTACAAAGTCAGTCCTTTTAAAGGCATCGTGCACTGCTGGCTGCTTCTGCTTTGCTCTGGTGACATCAAAGAATCAAGCACCGTGAGCTCTGCGGGGCCAGGCACACAAACCCGGGGAAGTCCCTGCCAGAGAGCCCCTGGCAGAGGGATAACTGCAGCGGGAGCTGGCCCTTCATGCAGTTCATTGCTTTAGGCACGAGAGTGCTGCCCAGAGCCTCACAGGAGGGCAAAACGCTCGAATAACACCAAAATAATGAGCAGCACGGGGCAAACCCACAGAGCAGGACACGGCAGAACTGGATCGAGGGAATTCACACTGCAAAGGGACACAGCCACGGCTGCCACAGCAGGGGAAGCCTTCCTGCCCCATCCCTTCCCTCAAGTCTGCAAATCCCTTACCATCCCCGTGATGCAAATCCAAGTCAATATAAAGGACTCGGTCAAATTTCTGGCGCAGCCGCAGGATCCCCAAGACGGCGTCGTTCAGGTAACAAAAGCCTGAGGCTTCATCTCTGTGAAAAAAATAGCCGTGAGGTTGAACAGCACCACTGCAATCACCACCGAGCTCGGCTTCGCCACCTGCACTTTGCAAGCCTGCACCTTCACCTCCAGGAAAAGGAGCCCGGCCAAGGGCCAGTAGCCATCTAGAGATGGGTCAGGAGCAGCCCAAAGCACGGCTGGGGAGCACGGGGAGCACAGCTCACGATGGCTCACGCTGATCCCTTCTCACACCTGGGCTCAGCAGCAGGCCCTGCTGAGAGGAGGCTCTGACCCCTCAGCAGGAGCTCTGCCCATTTCGCTGTCGTGCAAATAAGATGTTAGCAAATAAAATATTAGCAAAGAAAGATGTTTTAAAGAAATTCAGGGTCACCGAGATCAAAACTGCTGTCAACTGTACCCTCCTCTTCCTCTGCAGCAAGAAGCCAGCAGCCAAACAGAGGACAGAGGTGTGGTGGGGATGCTTGTCCCAGATTGACTTGCTTCAAAGTCAAGTCCCCGGTCACCACTTGGCACCAGCCCATTTACCTGCTTTGGGGACACAGCAAAAAGATGTCAGCTCCCTGCAGCTCTGCAAGCTGCCACCAAGCCCTGTGTGGGCCCAGATCCCTCTTCCCCGGGCTCAAATGGCTCCACGACCTCAGGTGTGCCCCTTAGGAAGCAGCACTGCTCCACTCCCTGCTCGGTGGCCTCAGAGCCACCAGAAGCCGTTTTTTGACAAAAGGACACCTATGCTGCATGCATGCACACCAGGACCAGCTCTGGGGCTTGAATGAGAAAGACCACAGGCGAAAATCCTCATCCTCCAGCAGCAGAGAGGCATAATGGCACAGCTCCAGTGCCCACCTGCCGGGTGAGCTTTCTCCCTTTCCATCTCTCACACAGGAAGGGCACAGCTTGGGTAATGATTTTCTCGTTGCTCTCACACTGCTGGGAATAAACGCAGTGTGGACACGGTTCCAGCTTGGCAAGACTTCAGTGAGCTCCCAGGCTGCTGGTTCCTTCTGAGAGGGACCAGGAGGAACCAAACCCTGCAGCCCGAGGAGCAAATGCGGTGCCAACATCAAAATAAAAAGAGAAAACGGCGTCCCTCCAGAGGGTCACCCAGCCAACCGCAGCTGGAAGAAGGGAGAAGCCCAAGGCAACTGGAGCCAGAAACTCGAAGCAATGCAAAGAATCAAACTTCACAGGTTCAGAGCTCACAAGGAACTCTGAGTTCTCCCTTTCCAACAAACGCCATGCCCTGAGAGCGAGCACGAAGACAGCAAGCTCCAGGTGGGGCAGAAGCTGTTTAAGGCTGTGACTGGGAGCCTGAGACAACCCAGCCAAATTCCTTCCCCTCCACCACCCCAAAATATTTTTAGTTTCAGAACAGCCTCTGTTAAGCAGGGGCAAGGGGAAGAAACCTGGAGCCATTCCTGGTGAACATCCTGGTGCCTGCAGCTCTGCATTCGCTCTCACCAAGCAGTGAGAAGCAAGTAGCAAAGCTAGCAGCTGGCAGGATGCAACTGCACAAAGGGGAACCCAACCCTTGGTGACACCACAAAGTGCCACGAGGGCACCAATTTCATACAGGCTCCAGAAGGGTTTTAACAAGCCGGCAGAAAACTACCCGTTCAGCCCAGCGGCAGCAGCAAGGCAAAAACTTCTTTTATCCTCGGGAAACAAGGAAGCCACAGAAATAAGTTGTTCTAGCACTACAGAAATCCCAGGATTTGGGGACAGCATTGATGCTTCCTCTCCTGCTGCTCTGGAGGGCTGCTACTGACACCACAGCTCAGGGCCAGCAGAGCAGAACAAAAACCAGAGCTTGGAACTGCGCCGTTTCACTCCTCTTATTAATGAGCCCAGAAAGCCACACCAAACAATGTGGACAATGTCTCGCCACACTCTCCCGAGTTTGAAGCAACACCAACCACTTGCCTCTCCACAGCCCTGCTCTGTGGACCACGACGTGCTGTGCTTGACTCTTAATTCTTGCTTGACTCCCAGGGGAGAGGAAACCATCCCTGGCGATGGGTTTGAGCCCCGGAGCCACACTGTAGCCTCTGCCCTGCCTTCCCCCCTGCCTCCTCTCGGCCCCCTGCCCGCACAGCCACCGCCGGGCAGCCTCCCCCGAGGGCTCCCGGGGAAGCCGGGGGCGAGGAGGCTGGGGTCAGACCCCCAGTTGAGAAAACGCAAGGGAAGAGAGATGGTTTTCTTACTTCTTGGCGTGATGCCACCCTCCAGGCCAGTTAATCGCTACCTTGCACTTGCCGTCCAGCAGGCACTGGGCCGCGGTGATGGTGGCTCCCCCCACGGCTGCCGCGTAGTCAAAGATGCCCTCGGTAGCCGGACAGTCGTAACCTGCGGGTGAGAGCCAGCGTCGGGCGTTTCCTCCGTGCAAAGCACGCCCCGAGCTGTCGCTCCTCAAGCGCAGCCCTAACTTGCTGCTAAAAGAGAAAGAAACGAAGTCCAGCAGGCAGGAGCTCACTGCTGAAGATGTAAACCAGGCTAATGTGTGAACAGTGCAAACCTGGTTCCTGGCTGCAGCTTCAGGCTGCTGTTCACGCGTGCCCTCCACCCCAGCAGGCTGGGGCAGCCCTTTCTCAGCTCTCCACCAAGAGCACCATGCCAGGGCCTCCTGCCCCTCTCAGGATCCCCAAATGAGCACGAAAAGCTGGCAGCTGGGGCCAGATGGAGCAGCACGGGGCTGACAGTACCCTCTGCTGGCAACACGGAAAGCATCGGAACGACCAGAACCACACCAAAGCCACAGCAAGCCCCTGGAGCTCAGCTTCACCTAGGCACCAGCAAAGAGCACCTGGCACCTGAGAGCTGGGCACCCTCCCCCAGAAAGCTCGTGTCCTCACCCAGTCCATACTCCACGGACTCCGGATGGTCGTCATCCCCCTCCTCGCTGACCTTCTGCAGGTGCTGCAGGTAAGCGTCCGTGTGGAAGCTCGCCATCTCCTCCATGGTAGCCACCTTCGGCTTGACTATCCTAGCAGGGAGGGGAGAGGGAGCAAGTCAAAACACCACCCAAGCTGGAACCTTCTCGGACAGTTCAGCGCTTTTTGTTGAAAAATAACCCACAAAATCCCTCCTCCTCCTCCCACACTGTCACCTGGAGAGAGAAAGCCACCCCGCTGAGCTGCAGCACGCCGCTCCCCACGCCTGGTGCTGCCGGCTGTGCCCACCCTGATGCGGACCAGCCGCAGGAGCTGCCTACATTAACCTCTCCACATCACTTTGAGATATTTTTTTTTCCCTTTAGGTTTGTTATTCCCCTTTGAGCATCTCCTGGCAAGGGCTAGTTGCAGTGGCTGTGGCAGGACAGCCGCCTGCTGGGGCAGGAGCTGAGCAGCGGTTCCTGCAACCCAAGCAGAGACCAAGCCTGTCTTCAGCAACCTGTATCCACCGTCCCCAGGTCTGGGTGATTTTCAACCTGCAAAATTAAAGCTGAGGCTGTGCCGAAGCCCTCTGCAATCAGGCAATGCAGTGCAGGCTGTGGCTAGTGGAAGATCGCCCACAGGCCGGGCATTTCCATCCCCACGCCCTTCGAGTTCACCTCCACGACGGTTTGTGCGGCACCTTACCAAAACACCCCCAGCTAAACCAACACAAAGATTTGTACACGGAGCAAAGAAAAAGTCCTGCGGGGATGTCCCTCAACAGGGGCATGAGGACATCCTGAGGTGCTGTGCAGGAGCCTCTCCTCTCCCTCCACACCCAACCCCAAGGGCCCAGAAGATGGCAGAGGGCTTCTCACCGCTCTGCCCCATGCCCCATACCCCGACTGCTCTCCCAAAAGCCCCAAGACCCCCGCAGATCCCCTCGGTGGCAGCCGGGCACCGCCACGAGCCGTGTGGCTCCCCGCAGGCCCCGGCCACGCTCGGCGTGCCCCACGGCCATGGCACGGCGACACTCACATCATGTGCTCCAGCAGCGAGTACGCCTCGATCAGCGAGTGCACCATGCTGGCCTGCAAAACCAGGGGGAAGGGGAGTTAAAAAACAGAAAAACAACAAAAACAAAAGGAGGGAGAGGGTGAGCACGAGGCCGGTGGGCAGCCCCAAGCCCCCCGTCCCGGCGCTGACCCGGCGGGGCGCCTTGCAGAGGGCATCGCAGCGGGCCGTGTACTCGGGGCTGTAGATGTAGGCCACCGGCGGCACGGCCGCCATCAGCGCCGCCACCACGGCCCCACGCAGGGTGACGGAGCCGCCGGCCGCGTCCTGAGGCAGGCTGGGAGCTGTAGTCCCCTGTCCTGGGACGGGAACATGGCTGCTTCTCTTCCCCCCTGCTTAATTATTCAATCATTGCCCTCCCCCTAATTATTCAATCATTTCCAACCCCCCCCCCCATGAGGATCGCACTCTGCACACGTGTGCTGGAGACGTTTTATTGCAGGTTCCCACACAGCACGAGCATTTTTTGTTGTTTGTTTGTTTTTGTGGTTGTTTTTTGTGTTTTTTTTTTTGAGTTTGTTTTTAAAACATTTGTTAAAAAAGGCCCACGGGGGGGCCCCAAGCCGGCTCACAGCCAGGCAGGCCCTGAGGGGCAGGGGGCTGCTGGCACAGCCCCCCAGCAGCTTTAAGGCAAACCAGACCCAGAGGTCAGCGAACACACGTGGAAAACACTTCCCCCAGCATTTTGGGGGCGGAAAGGGGTGAGGAGAAGGCACGGGCTGCCCGCTCCCCATCAGTCCAACAGCGCTATCCCTATCAGCAGCTGGAAGAGCACCAGCTCTAGCTAGGCTACACCCTGCAGATTTGGAGGACAAAGCAGCACAGAACGGGTTAAAAACCTCCAAACTGCTGCAGGAAGAAGGGGGGGGTCCTTCCAAGCCCCTTCGGACACAACCAGCCCTGAGGAGAGTACCGAAAGGCAGGCAGGTGCTGGCAGGAGCTCAGCCCTTCCCTGCCGGTGCCGCTCTCCCAGCACGAGGCCGTCTGCTTGCAAACCCAGCCCGAAGGTCCGTCGTCCCCCAAAAACCCTCCCGCCGAGCCCTCAGGCCGGGGAGAAAAGCGGCGAGATCTACTGCATGGCACAGCCGTCGCCGGGCAGGAACTCGTAGACGTAGAGGGCCACGGATTTGGAGAGGTAGGTCATGGTGCCGAAGCGACCGCTCGGCGCACTGTCGTACAGCAGGTTGCAGATGCCCGTCGTGGGATCCCTCTCCAGCATGTCGTCGTCAGCGCCCAGGGCTTTCTGGATTTGGGATGAGGGAAATGGGAAAGGCAGCGTTAGGAACGCGCTGCCACCCGCCAGCTGGCACCCCACACACGGGAGGACACTGCATCGTCACCGTGCCACAGTGGGGACGACAGGCAGGACCCTCAGCGTGGGCGACTGACCCTTAGGTAGCCAGGGGGCTGACCGCAGCCCCTACCTGCTCCTCGTAGAAGAGGTCGTTGGCTGTGTGCACGATCTTTTCCACAGCTATGATGCCCCCGATGGTGTGCACCTCCATGTCCACCAGCATGGTGAGCACCAGGATGGCCTCCACCAGCAGCTGCCGGTACTCCGGCTGGGGCACGCGGTTGAGCACTGCCTCCACATGCACGGCAAACTTTATTTCCCCCGGGGTCATCTGCGTGGAGGGAGGAGGAAATGCACCTAGGGTCTCGTTATCACCAGCGCAAGTCCTGAACCACGCTGGGCACTTCGCCAGGGCAGCTCCGTACCCAACGCCAACCCCCTTGCACTGTTCCCTGCCTCATGAACCCCCTACCTCTCTGGTTGTTGAAGAGGGGAGAACAAAGCCCTCCACGGAAAGACCATGGCACTGCAGAACAAGATGTGGAGACCATGGTTACAGCCTGCAGCAGCACCGTGCGCTCACTCGTTCCCAGCTGAGCATCAGCAATGTGCTGCCCACACACTCCAGCTCCACCTCCCGACTCCTTGCAACACTCCATCGCTCCTTAAACATCGGTTCGGCATCACCCGGAGCGCTCCCACACCCAGCACGGGGCTCTGCTCCCTGCTTTACCATGCCGACGATGAGCAGTGCCTGGAGCTGCCTCAGCTGGGGCTCCAGCACTGGGCTCCCACAGCTCACAAAAAGCTCCTCAGCAGACCCAGCATCTCTCTGCGAGGGTCAGAGCAGGGTGAAGGAGGTCCTGCATGCCTCCAAGCTCTTCCCCTGGCTTTCCAGGGCCAGCAGAAGGCCTTGTCCATGACACATGTGTCACCATAACCTTGGGGACCAGCCCTGGGTGTCAAATTCACCCTAGGAAGGCCGGTGCCATGCGTGTGGAAAGGATGCAGCTGGATGCCCAGCTCACCTTCTGCAGGATCTTCCAGACCTTCTGGTAGAAGCCCATAGGGACACGGTTGAGGGCTCCATCCAGCCGCCGTCTCCGCTTCCACTGGCCCTGGCGGCTGTCCTTCCCGCTCTGGTCTTCCAGCATGCTCGAAAAGGAGCCCTTGCCCAGCAGCTCCGAGTGCCCGGTGGACTGGGCAGACAAAACAAGGACCATGGAAACCTCTGCAGGGTTAAACAGCCCACAGCAGCGCAGCCCGCTGCCACCCGAGGGCTTGTGCTCACCCAGCCTGGTTCCCAGGGCAGAGCTGCCACCCCCTGTCCCCAGCAAATCCCAACCCACAGCCCCAGCTCCCCGCAGCCCGGAGGGCAGCAGCCCCCGCCGGAGCACAGCTCCATCCTGCAGCCACACAACAGGCCAGCCAACAAACGGAGGTTACCAGAGAGGACATCAGGTCACCATCCCCGGACTGCAAACTGATGGGCTGGGGGAGAAAAGGAGAGGCAGAAATCAAACCGTGCCGGGGGGCTGGGCAGCCGGTGCAGCGAGCGGAGCAGCAGCAGCACAGACCAAGCTCAGTTATCCCAAGGGCTGCGGTTAGCTGGAGACTGAGAGGTAGTTTTGAGAGGCGAGCTGTGGAAAGTCTCACGTTAGCATCAGAAGGGGGGAGACTGCACTGGAGCAGGAGCAGGGCTGTTGTTGGCTGCTGGCACGGGCAGGGATTTAGTCCCAGGAGGAGTGGAGGGCCAGCAGCAGGTCGCCACCCGGGACCTGTCCTCACCACGTGCACGGTCCCGCTGCCAAGCTTCACGCTGCAGCAGGGTGGCCATAAACCTGCTGCATCAAACTGGGCCCCACAGGATCTGTGGGGACGGGACCTCGCCAGGACACAAGCCAGGCGCCACAGGTCCTAGTCCAGCACGAGCCCAGGAGGAGGTAGAAAGGGGGTAGAGCTGGGATCCAGTGATCACCAGTCACTGTTCCAGCAGGACCACTGGCAGCGGAGACACTGTGCCACCTTGCTCAGCGCTTCTTTGTTGGTATTATGGGATCTGTTCAGCCGTGGCAGCTACGCAGCACAGCTCCTAGCTGGCTGCAATGCCATCGCACCCGTGGCTTTGAGAAACCTTCCTCCCTGATGGCCTCGAGAGAGCAGGTCCCGAAGGGGCTCAGCCGCCTGAATGCTGTGGGGCCACCCAGCCACACCGACCTCTTCCCGGGGCGCCTCCCCCCAGCCCTAAACGGAGCAACCCCGAGCCTGCCGAGAGGGGAAGCCAGCTCATTGCTGCAACAGCTCGCTCAGCGGGTTCGTTTAGGAAAGCTCATTAACTCATGCATGCTCGGAAGCTGCCCTAGGATGCAGCATGAGGGATAAAAGCTGAGGCTGTAGGAGGACCAAGGTGGCTTCACCTTACTCCCGGTCAGAGACTGCCTACGTTTATCCAGTTGCTGAAAAGAGAAGAAGGAAATGAAGTGGCTGCTGCTGCAAGAGGCCCACCAGGACCCCAGCCCCAGGGGGGAACCTCATGGTCCTGCCCACCCCTGCACCTTCTCGAGCACCCCTGTGCTCCCCCTGTACTGCACTGCTGGAGTCACCCCCGCGTTAGATTTATCCCACATCCCCTTCAGGGCACAACTGAACCAAAAGGGGCTCCTGGAGACAGCTCTAAGCTCTCTCTGAAGCCCAGGAGTGGGCTCTATCGACTCTCCCATCAATCCTGCTTGTCCCGGAGCCGCTCGTCCCCACAAAACTGCACAGGAGCAGCCTGCACCGCCCGCCCTCACCTGTTTGATCTCGCTCTTCAGCCTGACGATGCCAGCACGCTCGGGTTTGGTGGCCCCGACAGCGCCCACCTCGCAGATGGAGATGGAGGTGGTGACCGACGAGTCCACCGATCGCACTGGGGGAGAGGAGAGGGCCAGAGTGGGTCCCACAGCTCACGCAGCCTTCCCCTCCACCCCACCCAGCACCACCGCGCAGAGCTGCTGCCATTCGGGCTGGAGCAGACCAAAAACCGAGCCGAGGATGGCCACAGGACTTGGGCTTCATCCTGAGAAGCCTACTCAGCACCACCCTTGGACCGCTGCGGTGCAGAAGCTGCACTGAACGGGCAGAACGGGGACATTCAACACAGCAGGGGACACCAGAGCTGGCCACGCTCCACACCAAGAGCCGGCTCTGCCAAGGGACTCACCACTCTTCTCCACCCCAAACTCTTTGCCGGAGAGGATGTGGAAGAGGAGGCTCTTCATGTCGGACGGGCTGAGGTTCATCAGGTTCTCAGTGGCTTCTCCAGCTGGGGACAACAGAGTGGGGACGTCGCACCCCCTGCACAACCCTCCTGGGAGATTTCGAGCCTGCGCCCCAGCCTGTTAGCGGGGGCTACACCTCATCCCCCAAGGACAAATGTTAACTCCAGGTGTCGCCTACAGCAGGGATTCTTCCCCATGCCCACCCAATGCATGCCCGAATAAACATCACCACAAAATGCACTGAGCATTGAGCACTGCCCATTTTTAATGGCACTTCTCCTCCCTGGCACCACATCCCCCATCCCACTGACCTCACCACACGTACCCGAGCAGCGCAGGGAGTGCGCCAGCTCCGTGGCCATCACCTGGATGATGAGCCCGATGCGGATTCGGAACATCTCCGCGAAGAGCGTGGGCTGGGTGCGCATGTACATGGCCAGGTACACCATGATCTCCTGCAGGGAGAGGGGCACGTCACCCCACGGCTGCTCCCCGCTGCCCACACCCAGCCACGAGGTCCCCCGCTGCCCCCAGCCCTTCACCTGGGTGAGGATGGAGACGCTGAGGTTCTTCTCGCTGGCCTCGTCAATGAGGTGGACGAGCTCCTCGTAGGGGATCGGGCTGGGGGGGGAACGGCAGGAAGAGGTAAAGGACGGCCCCGCGTCCCCCTCTGTTCCTAGGAGGAGATTCAGCCCCGCAGGCAGCCCCAGCCCCGCACATGCAGCGAGGGAAAAGTGCTGCACTCACGCAGAGATGGTCTTCTCACGTGGCTCGGGGGGCAGCCCCACCGTCAGGTGCTTCTGGTGAGACAGCAGGTCCGTGCAGGCCTGGGGACAGCGAGGTCACCCCAAGCATCACCACCTGCCCTCGGGGCTTCAGCACCAGGCAGATGTAGCCACAGTTCTCTTACCCACCCAGCCGCCTCCCCCCTGATGCCCTCAGCCCCACCAGAGCTCGCCAGCGGGGCTCTCACCTCATCCAGAGCTTCCACTTTCTTCTTCAGGATGCCGGAGATGTAGCGGATCAGAGCCCACTGGCGCGTGGCGCCCACCCTGACGTACAGCTCGGTGAGGAGCTCCTTAACAGTAGGGCCAGGCTCGCTCTCCAGCCCCGTGTGCCACTCGGGTCCCCTGCGGCGAAGGAGATGCTGGGTGAGTGCCACCAGCTCGCCCTGGGGCAGCGCCCAGGCTCTGCAGGTCGAGGCAGGAGCACGGCTGTGGCTGCTCAGCGAGCGGGCAGGGCTCCGAGCTCGCCGTACTTGAGGATGTGGAGCATGTAGAGGATGTCCGCCTGCTCCTGCAGCGTGGGGCAGATGCGCAGCTGCTCCACCAGTGCCTTGCAGTCCACGTTGCCAGCCTCGTCGCGGGGCAGGTTCATCTCTGCATGGAGCATGTGGCTCTGGGGAAGAGAGACCCATGCTCCTGATTAGCACCCGCGAGCATCCCTGGCCACAAAGGGCCCAGCTTTCCCCAGAAGGGTCCTCTGGCTCCAGCCAAAAAGCCTGGCGGTGCCGCCTGCCCAGCTGGGACGGGAAGGGGCTCACCTTGCCCTCCTGCTCATGCTGGTGGGGCGAGCTCAGCAACTTGACCGACTGCTGGGATGCCTGGAAGATCTTGCTGGGGACGTACATCCCCACATCTGAAAGGCAGACGGGGCTGGTGCAGGCATTTCTCACCTCCAACCACCCCCACAGTGCCCCAAGCCAGCTCCCACCCCACCTTCTGCCCCACCAGCCGCCCCTACAGCGCATCCCCCGGGTCGTGCCGGATCCCACATTGATAGGGACGCTCCCAAAAGCTCCTCAGCCCCACCACGAGGACGGAACGGAGCCGGGGAGGGCGCCGGCGTGACTCACTCTGGACGTGGAGATCCTTGGCCTTGGACGCCAGGGACATGAGGTCTCGGGTGGTGTGCACGGCGGCGCGGAAGCGGCTCAGCCCCCCGCGCTGGGCGGTGGGAGGGAGGTTGGCCTGGGGAACCGTGCGCTGCAGCAGGTGGTCCAGGTACTGCGCCACCTCGTCGAAGGTGTCCGCTGCAACGGGAGGAAGAGGAGAAAGCTTCAGCCACCCGCCGCCCACCTAGCGCCCCGAGGGCAGAGCTCCCCAACCGTGCCCCCGGCGGGGACAGAGCTTGGCTGGCTGCACGAAGCGACAGCCGGCAGGACGGACAGACAGACGGACAGACGGTGGTGGTGGCACTGCCAGGGGAGGCACCGTCTGTCCCAGCACAGAGCGCTGAGGGTGCCCCAGCACAGCCCGGCAGGGCTCCAGCACGAGAGCAAGACAGGGAGGGTTTTGCGACCATTATTTGTGATTGGAAATCACCGGTTATTTCTAACAAGGAGTTGCAGGAGGGCAGCCTGCTCTGCTCTATAAACGGCCACCTCCTGTGTGGCTCTTTGCCCTGCCTCCACTTCGGCTGCTCGCTACCCACGGCATGGAGAAGGGGCTCAGAGGCCACGTCTCTGCTGCCCAGGAGGTAAGGGTGCCGCGGAGCAGCACGGGTGATGCCCCAGGTGGGAGCTGCCCCACGCCAAATGATGCCACGCAACACGGAGCTGTTGGTGAATTTCCAGCCTTGCTGCTGTCCAGAAGCTTTTCTGCTCCAGGAGGAGAGTTAGGGATGGCATCCGAGGCTGGCAGCACGATATCTCCTTCCCACATCTGGCAGGGATGCCCCGAACCAGCACCCGGAGGCTCCGTTAGAGAAGTCCCCCAAGACAGACAGCGCATTGGAGAGCATCGTCCTGTCCATCCAGCCACAGAAAAAACCTTTAAACCAAGCATCTTTTAGGGTGGACGCACTGGCCAGGCAGACCCCATCTTCTGCTGGGGTAAAGGGAAAAAAAAGACACCCCGGAGGAGCTCGGCCGCAGCCCGCAAAGCTGCAGCACCAGGCAGGCCAACGGTGGAGCGTGGATGAAGCGAGAGAAGGGCAGTCATGCGAGAGAAACAAGCACTCAGAGTCGCAGCGGTGCAGACGTTGGCTCCAGGCGCAGCAGAGGCAGAGCAGATCGATGGGAAGGCCGGGAAGATGACCTGAGCGACACTGGGGCACGCAGGAGGAGGTGCCCAGGGGAGCAGCAAAATCTGCGCCCTGCTGCGCTCTCAGGACACGGGGGTCCTGCAGGCTGCGACGGGTCCATGGCCCCTTCGGGCACCCCGTCCGTGGCAGCGAGGCTCAGACTAGAGCTGCCCTGTCCGGGGACACTCAAAGACCTTGTGACAACACCACCCAGAGACTGCTGGGGGACGTGGTGGCTCTTCCCCACCACCTCGAGCACTGCACCATCACCTTCTGCACCGCCACTCGTGCTGAGCGCACCCGAGATCTTCAGCCAAATCTCCCGGGCAGAGGCAGGTGGCCGAGCCTTCGTCTCTTCCCCACGCAACAGCCTACGAAGGTTTTGGGGTGGCTCGCTCAGGAGCAACCCCTCTGCTCGTTTCAGCCCCGTTCCCCATCCTCAGCCCCCATCTGGCCGGGACACCCCTGCGGCGAGGGGCTGCGACAGCCACCTCTGCTCACCCAGCCCCAGCACCCTGCGAGCATCATCCAGAAGGGGCTAACGGAGGGTGGGAACCCAAAAGGGTGAAGAATTTGGTGGCAGGAGCCGTCAGGGAGGTCGGGAGCTACGGGTTTCACGGGAGAGTTGGGCGTTTTCCGTGCCACAGCAGCGTCTGGCCCGTTCCCCCTTACCATCCTCTGCCAACTGCAAGCCATGCAGCCACTCCTCAGGGTCTAGCTCCTCAAAGCTGCCAATGCCGAGCTCGTAACCGCTGGCAAAGACCTTACCCTCCGGCCCAGGGTCCATGAAGCTGAGGTGCGTTCGGCACGACGTTGTCAGGAACTCCGACAACTTACCCGTCTGGATCCTGGGCAAGAAGAGGGGAGGTCACCCAGAGGAAAAGCGAGGCAGCGCCCTCGGCTCGCCTCCTGGCCTTCAGCAAGCAGGGACAGGCAATGGGGTGGTGCACGAATCCCACAGCCTCCTTGAGCTGTTTGCCAAGGCTGGGGCTGTCCCCAGTTCCCTGCTGCGCCCCGAGCGGCTGCGCTCACCTTGCGCCCCCGAAATACCCATCCTGCAGCTTCCGCAGCGTCGCCAGCACCGCCGGGTGCACGCTGCTGCCCGTTTCGTCTGGTGGGGACAAGAGAGACAGGCAGTCAGGCTCTCCTGCCCCAAAAGGCACCCGGTAACGCGGGGCCGGGTGGGCATTCAGACATGCAAAGCGCCGCGGCAGCAGCCAGACCCTTGCTCTGGGGTGCGCGGCACCAAGAGCACCACCCAAAAAGAGAAATTCGGGACTGGCTGGGCTGGCTAACCAGCAAAGCCAGGCCAGGATGCACTCCAGGCCATTTAGGAAAGCCTTGAAGGGGCAGTTAGCCGTGATGAAGGGTTAAGATGCAGGAAGAGCCCCAAGAACACTTGTACAGGGGAATTATTTTTTTGGTCTTGCTCCCGAAAGGCTTCCCAAACAGGCCTGGCTGCCTGGAGACGAAATGCTCCCATGCCAACAAACCTGCCTCGAGCTCCAGGCGCTGCTGCTTGGCAGGTAGCCCTGCTGGCAACCAGGCCAGCTGCCAACCCAGCGTGACTCCTTTGAGCTCTCCACAAGACGCCCCTGGCTGGTCGGGCCCTGCCGTGTCCCCATTACCTGGCCTGTCCCCATCCACCCCCCCCCGGCTGAGGAGGCTGGAGGATCCCTACCAAGCATGGTTTGCGAGATGGGGAAGGTGATGGTGGGCCGCCCGGTCATCCTCCAGCGGCTGCAGAGGTACGAGAGGTCCGTCCTCAGCATCTCCACGATCATCTTGTTGTCAAGAGCCAGGTAAAACTGCTGCTGGTCGATGAACTGCGGGGCAAGCAGGAGATGTGAGCGGCCTCTCCACAGCCACCAGGTCCCCCTGGTGCCACCCGCGCCCTGCCACCAGCCACCCCCGAGAGCAACCGAGGCACTCGGCCAGCAGGGAAGCCTCCTGCCCTGTTATATGGTGTGGCCACCCACCTGGGGGGTGAAGGTAAAGATGTTTTTTCTGATGTTGTAGAGCTTGGAGGTGCCCAGGACGCCCATGTGCCGGTAGGGCCGCCCCGTCAGGCACATCTGCTTGTTGCGACCTGGGGGAAAAGGAGGTTTTATGGCATCTTCCCCGAGCCCTCTGACTAAAGGGGATGCTGTGGCAAGTGGAGACGGGCTCCTGTGCTAGCAGCCAGGAGGAAAAGGGCGATTTGTGCTGGGTGACACAGCGGCCACATCACCCTCGGGCACGGCAGCCCCACGCAGAGGCACCCCAGCAGCTGCCAGGCTGCTCCCCTGCCCCTTTTGCCCATGTCACACTTGGCCTTTCGGTGGCTTAAATTAGCCAGCGCTCGCAGCCTGGGGCAGGTCAGGTTTCTCCTTTGGCCCCGGGCTGGATCTCCAGCTCCTGCACAACAAGCCCTGCGCCCGAGGAGCCGCGGCACCGGGGAAGGAGCGCGCGGATTTCAACGCTCCCTCCCCTCACCGCCTGCCTTCCCTCCAGCAACAGCCGTCCTGGCTCAGCTGGGAGACCCTTCCCTGGGGTCTGCCTGGCTTCCCTCACCAAAATTTGGCTACAGGAACAAAAACCAGCTCCTGCTCACACCAGGATGGCAACGTCCTAAACAGACGGGCAGGACATCAGCATCTGTGAGAGGGGTGGGAACGACCCCTCTGCACCCCCTCTCCTGCCGAAGCCTGCGGCTCACCCAGGCGCGCGTAGATGTGGCTGAGGATGCGAGCAGGCTGCACCCTGATGGGGTAGACGTCGGCCACGGTCTCCACGTCGATGCCTTCCTTCCTCAGCACAGCTTTGATGCCCTCGGTCTCCGCCAGGATGCACACTGCAGGGGGAGGGGAGCAGGCTCAGGGCTCACGCTCAGGGCCACGGGGGTGCCACAGGGGCCAGCAGAAGGCACCCCGCTACCAGAGCCGAAATCTGGCTCCACCAGCGACCAGAGCCACCACCCCACAGCCAGCCCCCCAAATTCCGCACGGGCAGAGTCCCCGTGCAGGGGTTTGGGACCGGTCCCTTTGGCTCACCTTGCACCACCACGTCAGGCTTGGGGACGGTCGCAAAGCGGCGGTTGAGGGGATCGATTTCACCCGGAGCCAGAAACCCCTGGAGGGGAAAAAAAAAAAAAAGAGGCGTGAGGGGATAAACAAACATTTTGTGGGGTGCGCAGGGATGGAGGTGACAGCTTCCCTGCAGCTGGTGGCACAGGGTGGCAGCGTTTGTCCTTGGTGACCATACCTCGGCCATCAGGCAGCCCAGGATGTAGAGGGACTGGCCCCACATGAGCGGCAGCTTGCCCATGGGTATCCTGTCCACGGTGTGGGGGTTCCTGTACTCCTCATCCACCTGCAAGAGAAGCCAGGAGGTAAACAGGGGACCCCCAAACCAGGGATGCTGAAGGAAACATCACCGTCGCGTTTCGGAGCCTGCCAACCCACCCGCAGGGTCAGCAAGGCACCCTTGAGGATGGGGCCAAGATGCACTTTGGCAAAAAAAAAAAGTAGTTTATTTATCCAATAAGTCGTTGTTTGTGGGTTTTTTTTTTTTTTTTTTTTTTTTTTGCAGGCCCCCACCTTGTCCGGCGGCACGCTGTAGAGCTCCGGCAGCAGGCGCACCCCGTTCTTCCCCTTGATGAGGACCCCCTCCAGGGCCTCCCGGTACTCCTGCACCTGGGGACAGAGCGGAGGAGATGAGCCAAGGGCACGGCTCCCTCGCCAGGGTGTCCTTTCCCTGCCCCACCGGGTCCTGCCCCCCTTTACCTGCTCCATGTTTCCGCTGAAAAGCCCGTCGATGATCAGGTAGGTCCAAAACAGAGGCCACTCACACTCGATGTTCTCAAAAAGCTTCAGCTCCGCGGGTTCGTAGTAGGACCGGTTGGGATCCTGCAGAGCATCCCACGACCACAAGGCAAAGGGTTACGGGATCCCTGCAAAATCGTGGGGTTCCAGCCCCTCCCCGCCGAGCCCCCAGCCCCAAATGCCCCCGCTCCATGCGCGCTGGTTGCCAACACGCTGGCAAAGTTGACGAGCGCTGAGGAAAGCCAGGGTGCCAAAAACGCAAGCCAGGGCAGCCTCTCCTCGGCACGGGGACCCTCACCTCTTTGGGGGTCCTGTATCCGTCACGGAGGAAGCGGCAGCAGCCGTAGCGCCCCTGGGAGGAGAGGGAGAGAGGTGGTGAGCAGGAGGCACAGCAGGAGACACCTTCTGCTCCTCTGGCCAAAACCCCTCCCTCGGTCACCCGGTGCCCCACGATCACAGCCCGGGGCCACCACCACAGGTGACAGAGATTGGGAGAGGACAGATCCTGGCACCCCATCCCCAAGAACATTTTGGGGAAGGAAAGGCAGGGGGAGGAGGGCCGAGCCGCTCACCTGCAGCTTGGTGATGATCTCCTGCTTGGTGATTTCCACCAGCTCACTGTCCTCCACGGCGAAGGCCGGGTAGGAGATGACGGAGAGCACGCTGGCGTCCACCTCCTTGGACGTGGAGGCCCTCGGCAGCATCGAGTGGAGGATGGACTGGGCGCAAGGGGAAGGAGAGGGATTAAGTCGCCGCCGCTCGTGCCATGAACCCAGCGGATCGCCGTCGGCCCCACGACGATGGGACAGGGGCAGGGACCTCACCTGGCAGTGCTGCACCTCGTCCGACAGCACCCGTATGACCGACTGCGGGCCTCCCTTTGCTCCGAAGAGATCCAGCTCATCCAGGGCCTCCAGGGCAGCCTGCAAGCAGGGCGACACCCGGAGCAGCGTGCGCTCCACCATGCTGCCCGTCCGCAAGAGCTCCCGCCCCGCGCCAGCCCCGCTGCCCAATTTGGAGCAAGGACGAGATGCAAAATCCCCCCCTGCATCTGCCGAGGCTCTGCAGGGCACCGCTGGCAAGAGGGAACAAATCCTATCTCCCTTCTCCCCAGCTCACCTTGGCCATGCCGACGGAGCTGGCGTTCAGCTCGGTGATGCCCTGGTTGGTCTTGTCCCCGCGCTCCCATATCCCAAAGTCCTGCAGGGAGGCAGCGGTTCGTGGTGTGCCCCAAAAACCTGTGAATCCCACCCAGTGGCAGTGCTCCTGTGGGGTTCTGCTCACCACCTTCCCCCTTCCCATACAAAGTCCCCACGGGCTACCCACCGCCGTCTTGTAGGCTGCTTCGATGTAGAAGACAAGGTTCTGGATGAAGTTGACCTCATCCAGGCTGTGAATTATGTGGAGGCCTGAACCAGGGGGGGAGAATTCAAATTATTCCTCAGGCATCGCCAGGAAGAGGCCACCTGCGGTGTCTCCATCCCCTCTCCCACCCCACACAGCAGCTCTGGGGCTCTCCAAGCACCGAGGGACCCAAATCCACCCCGCAGGCTGTGTCCTTGCACCGGGGGACACCCAAAAAGCAGCACCACAGATCTACCCCCAAAACCCTAAAGCCCTCAGGCCCTCTCCACGTCATTTTTTGCGCTCCCCCGAGGCGCAGGGTTCCAGCTGGTGCCCCAGCAGCGTCACCTGAGGCCGTCATCTGCGCCAGCATGAGCAGGTAGAGGGAGGTGGCGTCCAGCTGCAGGTGCCCCCACTCGTGGTCCCCCACCACGGTGGCACAGGTGTGGGTGTTGTACTTGGCGTGGAGGCAGTCCCGGGTGCTCTGGCTGTACTTGAAGGCCTCCACCTTGTCCACCTGGAGAGGAGAAGGGTCCCCAGGGCAGCTCCGTTCTGCCCGGGGGGCCGGGCTCTCTGTGCCACCCCGGTGGACGACACGGCCACGTTTGCACCGCAGGGAAAGGAGAGGGTCACCCCAAAACGTTCTTGGGGAACCACAGCGCCACGAGGCAGAGAGCAGCTTGGAGAGCACAAAGCTCCCGCAGTGCTGGGACCCTTCTCTGGGGGGCAGGCACCCCATAAGGGCTTCTTTTAAGACTTTCTGCCAGGAGGCCACCCCTGCCCTCACAGAGGGAAGGTGGGGAGGGCTGGCGGCCCTAAAGAGCCCCCTTACCTGTCTCATCATGCACTGCAGCAGCCCCCGCATCAGCTTCACCACGCTCTGCAGGGCGAAGGGAAAACAACCCCGTCACCCCCGCGGGGCCGGCGAGGAGAAAGCCCTGACTCAGGAGCAGCTGGTGCCTGACCTCTGCGGCACTCGGCCACCCGCTGCCCGTAACCAGAGCCCCCCCCCGTCCCCCACGCCACGGGGGGGAGGCAGAAGGAGAACCCCACGGCTGGGAGCCGCGGGTTTGGGGACCACGGCAGCCCCTAGACGGGACAAGGGGCTGCGTCCCCACACCCCCACGGCCCCATATCACCAAATCACAGCTTGGAGACCTCAAAATCATGGAATATCCCAATGTGCGCCCCCACAGCGCCCCGGGGGCTGCTCCGGGTGGGCTCCAGCTCCATCCCGGGGGCGCGCAGCCCCGCACGGCGCAAGGGGGGGGGCCCAACTCGTTGTCCCCTTTGCTGTCCCCGTCCCTACCTGCTCCAGCTCGTACGCCTTGGCCTTATCCTCGTCTCGGTCGGCGTTTTTGCGGTAGGCGAGCCCGAGCCCCCAGACGGCCAGCACGCTGTACACATTGTCGCGCACCCACGCGTCGCGGTGGTCGGCGCTGGCGGGCAGCAACCCGGTCACTGCGTCCTGGGGGGGGGGGCACACGCCGAGAAAAACCCCTCGGTAACACGCAGCGAGCCCCTCGCCCTTTTTTAAGCCCCCTCCCCAAATTTTAAAACCCTTTAAAGCCGGTGCGCACCTGGTGCCGGAGGATGGTTTGCTGCACCAGCCGCCCGTAGCCGTCCAGGCGCACGCCCGAGTTGCTGCGGCCCCGCATGGCGACACCGGGAGCACCGTGGGGGGGGGACGGGGAAAAAAAACACCGCGGGGGGGGGCCCAGGGCAGCGGCACCGGGGTCCTGGCAGCGCCGCCGCCGCGCCCCGAGGCTCCGCGCTGCAGCGAGCCCCGGCGCAATTCGGGGATCCTGGGGGTGTGGGGGGGTCCCGGGGGGGTTGCGGCGTCTGGAGGGCCTCCGGGAAAATTGGGGGGTGCGGGGGGGGGTCGCAGAGGGGAGCTCGCTATGGAGCGGGCAGGACCTGCCCCCCCCTCACCCCCCCTCTGAAGGCATCGCGGGAGGGGGAGGCGGCGCCCTCTGCTGGGGGGAGAGCGGGGACACGGGGGGGGCACGCGGGGACATCGGGGAGGGGGCGGCACTGTCCCTTTGACCCCTCCCCGAGGGCAGAAGGGGCACACAGGCAGCCGAAGGGAGCCCCCAGAAACCGGGGTCCCTCTTGATCCATCCCACCCCCGGGATGTCCCCACGGGACCCCCCCCCCAAGGGGCCACAAATGTCACCTGAGGTCCCCCAGAATCAGGAATGTCCCCCAGGATCAGGGATGTCCCCCTGAAGACCCCCCCCAGGATCAGGGATGTTCCCCCAAGAGCCCCAAATGTCCCCTGAGGTCCCCCAGGATCAGGGATGTTCCCCCAGAGACCCCCTCCAGGAGCTCCAAATGTCCCCCAGGTTCAGGGACATCCCTCTGGAGACCCCCCCCCCAGGAGCCCCAAATGTCCCCTGAAGGACCACAGGATCAGGGATGTTTCCCCCAAACCCCCCTGCTGCCACCCAGACACAGGGACAAGGGACACACCACCCACATCAGGGGGTCAGGGGGGCTCGGAGCACCCCCCCCAGGGAGCAGCAGCACACCAGGCACGGAGCAAAGAAGGCACCAAGATGGTCTTTAGCAAAATCCAGCAGTTTATTTAATTACAGTCAGCAATAAATAGAGGAAAGCCAGGCTGTGTGAGCCTGGGGGGGGCACCGGCACCTCCAGAGACAGGGACAGACCCGGAGCAGAGCCCAGCCCACGCGGGACAGCAAAGGGAGACCGCAACAGAGGTGGCACCGCCATCCCCGTGTCCCACCAGTTTCCATAGCCCCCCCGAGCAAAGCCAGGGGGGCTGCGAGGGGGGGGGGAGCCCCCCCAAAATTCCCAGAGCTGGGACAAGACGGCTTGGGGTGCGCAGGACGGAGTCCCGTGGGTGCTGCCGGCGTGGGGTGGCAGCACGGGGACACCCCTCTCCACCAGCTTCGTGCTCCAGTCCCCAAAACAGGCAGCGGCTGCGGGACGGAGGGATGCTGTGGGGCAGGTTCCCGCCTTTAAAAACCTACGTTTTGTGTTTCCTTTTTTTTTTTTTCCTTCTTCTTCCATAAAACTGTAAAACTTTTCCCGCAAAGCATCGCGCCAGGGCGGAGACGAACCCCTCCCAAGGAAAATAACAAAGAAAAAAAAGAAAAACACCACCAAAAAAATCCAGTTCTGGACGTGTGGGTTACCGGCAGGTGCAGGACTCTGCGATCATGTTCTCGTACTCCTTGTAGAGGATGCCCCCGTCGTGCTGGATCATCAGGACGCTGATGGGGCTGTAGCGGTAGGGGACGCAGGAGGGCCTGGGGACGGTGGCGTCCACCAGCTGGTGGACCAAGTTCTGCACCACGGCGTGGTTGGGCGCGTGGTAGCCATCGCGGAGGAGCCGCGGGCAGGCGCCCTTGCAGTAGCGCGGGTTGTAGCGGTGGGGAGCGATGATCCAATGGTCCCAACCCAGCTGGGCGAAGCTGACGGGGAAGGAGCGCAGGGAGCAGTCACTTTTCTCTCCTCCGGCTTCCCGCAGGTAGCCGGGCAGGTCGTGGAGCAACATCCCCGCGTCTCGCCGGCTCCTCCGCGGCTCCGGCAGCGTCCCGCTGCGAGTGTCGTTGAGGAAGAGGAGGAGGAAGGGGTCCGCGGGGGACGGTGGGGCTGGCGGGGCGGCGGCGCGGCCGGCTCGCACGCAGACGTGCCGCAGGGTCAGCGTCCCCTCGGCGCTGCCGTTCCCCGGGGACAAGTAGGGGGTGACGTCCGCTTCGGTCCAGCCGCGCCGCGGTGGGGCGGTGGTGGGGCTGAGCAGCACCGGGGGGGCTTCAGCGGTGGCCACCAGCTCCAGGGCGCACAGGAGCCGGCCACGGGGCAGCGGCAGGCTCTGCGGGTAGACCACGGTGGCGCGGAGAAGGTGCTCGGCTTCGGGTTGGCCGCCCAGGCGGTAGGTGAGGGGCTGCACGTACCAGCGACCTGCAGGGTGAAGCCATCAGGGACCCCCTGGATGGGGCGGCCGCACTCGTGGCATCGCCACCTCCCACCCCACCGCACCCAGGGTGGGGTCTGCGTTCACATCGGGACCCTCAAAAGAGGTCATCAGGGATGGGTCCCACCTGGATCCCACCCCTCTCACACCAGCATCACCACCCTGGCACGGATGGGGAGCCAGGAGCACCCACAGCTTGAGTTCCAAGCAATGCTCTTGCCCAAAATGTCCCCAAACCAACCCCACATCGCCCCCCAAACCAACACCAACCCCATAATGCCCTCAGACCATCACCAACCCCACAGCTGTGCGCTCCCCAGCACACAACCAGGACCCCAAAAAATGCAGCACCTCCAAACCCACAGGGACCCCGTGGCCAAATGCTGCCACGCAGGGCACGCTGAGGACCCCAAGCAGAACCCCCTAGGCTCAAAACCACCCCAAAACCTCCCCCGGGACGCCACCTTACCTGCCCAGGGCTGTCCCCCGTGGGAAGCTGCCCGCACCAAGCGGACGGTGTTGGTGCCTGGGCTGCGGCCGCGCCGTGGCCGGCCCTCGCGGTTGGCGGCACGCCGGTACAGCTCCAGCATGTACCGCAGAGGGGGCCCGCTCGCAGGGCCCCCCCGCCAGCTCCAGCTGCCCGGTGCTTGCGCCCGCAGCGCTTGCAGGAGGGGCAACGGGGGGGGCTGGCTGGCAGCCTGGGAGAGCGGCACGGCGAGGAGGAGGAGGAGGAGGAGGGTGGTGGTGAAGGGCCGGAGCGAAGCCATGGTGGGCAAGAGGGGGTGAGGTGGCAGCAGGATTAAGGGAGGCCTGCGGTCATGCTTTGTGTGTCCCCCCAAAAAAAAAGAAAGAAAAGGGCGAAGCTGGGCACGGGCACCAGCAGAAGGAGGTCCCAGGGTGCTGTCACGCCGCGGAGCCCATGCCGACTGCTTCGGCTGGGCACGAAGAGAAAAAAGAAAAGGGAGGGCTCTGCAAAAAGGAGTGCAAGATCAGGACTAAAACCCAGTCCCCCAAAACAGGGGGGGCAAAGCCAGCTGGACAAGAGCCTGGCTAAAGAAGGAGGGGGCTTAAAAGTGCCAGGGAGGGGGGCAAAAGGGAGAGGGGTGCGGCGGGGTGGGTGGGGAGGACCAGCTTGCTCAGCCCACCTGCTCCTCACCAGCCTGGTCCAGCAGGGTGAGAGGGGTGGGGGCCCATGGGGCATTTTAAAGGCATGGTCCCAATTAGGGTTTAAAGGCGCAGGAGCTCCCCAGGGCCGGCTGCTGGCTGGGGGGGCTCCTCCTGGGGTCACGCTGGAGGGCAGGGAGCATCGTGCCCATCACGTTTCCCCTGCAGGGACGTGGGATGGGGGACACCGAGCCTGGGGGGTGGTGGCACTGAGCTTGGGGGTGGTGGCACCAAGTCCAGGGGTGGTGGCACACATGGACACGGTGACCCCGATCCCAGCAGGACAACGCAGGGTGGTGGCACCTGTGCTGTGACTGTCACCGTGCCGGTGGCGGGATGGAGAGATCTTGGGTTTGGGGGGGGGACACTGCATGGGGACCACCAGCGGTGGCTCAGGGACACCGGGGACAGCTGGGAGGGTGGCAGGGGGGTCTGTGCAGAGGGGACTCCCACATCCCGGTGGCGTGGGGACAGCGCCGAGCTCCCGGCGCCGCAGTTTTGGGCAGGAGGCGATGAGTCAGGGCTGCCGGGGGGACGCGGGGGGACGTCCTGGGGGACAGGGTGGGGACCAGACGGCGGCCTCGCGTCACCCGCTCCCCTCCCGGGCGTGGTGACGGCTGGCCCACGAGTGACGGGCTCCGAGCCGAGCCGTGCCAACAACCCACGCTGCGCCGAGCCGAACCGTGCCAAATCCTGCGCCCCTCGCGGCGTGCCAAACCGCCCCCGAGCGTGCCAAGCGCCCCCGCGAGCTGTGCCAAACCGTGCCCAGCCGTGCCAGCGCTCCTTGCGCCACCGGGCAGGGCTGAGCTGGACCGAGGCGAGCCGTGCCAAGCCGTGCCGAGCCGAGCCAAGCGGCTGCGGGCGGCTCCGAGCCGTGCCGAGCCGGGCGGGGCTGCGCTGCGCTGCGCTCCGCCCCGGCCTGGCGGGCGGGCGGGAGGTGGGAAGGGGGGTCCGGGGGGAGGTTGGGGGGGGGTGTCATTTCCTCCGCCGTGCCGAGCCGTGCCGAGCCGTGCCGGGATGGGGCGGTAGCGGCCATGGAGCGGGCCGAGGGCCGGCCCGGGGCCGTGCAGTTGGTGCATGTGCAGCTGCAGGGCGGCGCGCCCTGGGGCTTCACGCTGCGGGGGGGGCTGGAGCACGGCGAGCCCCTCATCGTCTCCAAGGTAAGGGGCGAGCGAGGAGGGGGCGGTGTGTCTGAGGGGGGGGCCTGCGTCGTGTCCCTTCCCCCCCCAACTTTCCCTGGGGCTCCCCCCGGGGCAAGGAAGGGGCCGGGGGCGGCGGCGGGGGGGTCCCGGGGCGGAGCGCCGGGAGCGGGAGGAAATTCCTCCGGCACATCCGTTGGGCTGGCGGGGGGGCGGCCACCCCCGGCCCCCCCCTCCCCCGGCCCGGCCCCGGGAATGGCGATGCCGGGAGGGGGGCGACCCCCGTGTCCCCGCGGTGCCGCCCCCATCTCGTCCTCGGGATGGGAACTGGGGGGGCCCCGACCCTCTCCGGGACCTCCCCCTCCCCATCCCCGATGCGTCCCGGGGGGGGGGGGACACGGGGCTTGTCCCCCCCCTCTCCCCGCGTCCCTTTCGCATCAGGGCGCGGGGCGCTGCGATGTCCCCCCCTCCACCAGCATCTCCCCGGTGGGAGCCGTGGGGTGAGCCCCCAGTGTCCCCCCCCCCCAAAACTTTGTCGCGTGTCCCCCCCCCCTGCACCGAGCGCGCCCGGGGCCCTCCCCGCCCTGCTCCGGGACGCGGGCAGCGTGGTCTGGCCGGGGGAGCTGGAAAAGTGGCTCCGGTCCCTGCCCTGCGCCCCGGGGGTGTCACCGCGGGGCTGCGAGCTGCCACCGCGCCCGGCTCGGCCCCGAGTTTGGGGAGCCGGGAGGAGACGGGGGGGGCCCTGGGGATGCGTCCTGCCGCTGCTGGGAATAAAGAGAGGGGGGGGTCCTTGCGGTGCCGGCCCCCGCCGCCGCCGCCTCGTGTGCTGTGCAGACAAAGGGGGCTTGTTCCAGCGCTCTGTGCATTCACCGAGGGTCCCCCGGGGCGCCCGCGGCCGGCCGAGGTGCGTGCGTGCTGGCGGCGCAGGGGGGCCCCCGGCCCCATGCCGGAAAAAGGATGGGGAGGGGGGTCCCGCTGCGAGCCTCCACTTGGGGTCCCATCCTGCTGTGGGCTTGGCAGGGGGTCCCGGACCCTCTGCGGGCAGGTACGGCTGCGGTGCCACCATTAGGGCCCAGAGTGAACGCCGGGGTTCGGCCAACAGCCGGCTCCCCCACCCCACACCCCGGTGGCTGCGTCGCCCATGGGGCCCCCAGCCCTACCCCTGGGGTGCCGGGGAGCGGCGGGGGCCCCCCGGCAGCGGGGCTGGCTGCCGCCCAGGCGGGTGCTGCGGGCAGAGCTCGTTCCTCCGCCGGGCAGGGCGGGGAGCCCACGGGCAGGGTGGGCGCCTCTCGGCGGCGTGTCACCCCGCGGGTGGCTTTGGGGTCCGCGCTGAAAGCTCCCGGAGTTTTTGGGGCAAAGCCCTGTGCCGGGTGTTTTGCCCCCAGACCCTGGGGTGGGAGCTGAGGCAGCATCCTTACGGGGCTGGCAGGGAAGCCCCCATGGGTGCCGGGCACAAAGAGCCCTTGTGCTGCCCGCGCCCGCGGGGGAATCTGCTGGGACGGGACATTTTTCTTCCCCCCCCTCTTCTCCCCTCCTCTCCCCGTGCCCTTTCTTTGCTCAGAAACTCATGTGACTGGGGCGGACACCGCAGATCCCTCGCGTCCGCAGCGGGGTGCCCGGGGTGAAGGCACCCCGGTGCCCCGTTGGGGTACGGAGAAGGGTTGGGGGGGGGGGGTTGGGGGACACTTTTGGGGTGGTGCCCCCCTGACGCCCGTCTCGCTGCCAGGTGGAGGACGGCGGGAAGGCCGCCCTGTCCCGGAGGCTGCAGCCGGGTGACGAGCTGGTGAACATCAGCGGGACCCCCCTGTACGGGTCCCGCCAGGAAGCCCTCATCCTCATCAAGGGCTCCTACCGCACCCTCAAGATGATCGTCCGCAGGTTGGCACCGCCGGGGGGGCTGGGGGGTGAGATGGATGTGTAGGGGGGGGGTTGGAAACTGCCCCCCGCAGCCCCAGGGATGGCTGACGGGTAGTGTGGGGACGCCCCCCGGCATCCCTCCTGGTCCCCGTGGTGGGGTGGGGAGGTCCCCATCCCGGTGCCGCCGGCTCGCCACCCCCTCCCTGGGCGGTATTGCCGAGCTCTGCCTTCCTGCCCGCCTGGGGAAGGAAGGGGAGGCAGCGCCGGCCCCCCCTGAGCCCCCCCCTTGCAGCCACTCCGGCGGCTGCCTCGCGGCCGGGCTCCAGCTCCCGCCGCGCCCGGGGGCAAGGGGGGGTCCCGGGCCGCGCCGCTGCCCGGGCGCAGCCTCATCCATGGTGAGTTTGGGGGTGCTGGGGGGGAAAGGACCCTCGTGCCCCCCTCCCCAGCACCTCGGCTCTCACGCCAAGCCCCGGGGAGCAGCGGGGAGTGGGCGCGCTCTGCCTGCCCCGGGGATGCTGGGGGTGGCGGGTGGCATTTTGGGGGCGCGGGGGGGTGGCATCGCCCCATGGCTCCGTGTGGTGTCACTGTGAGGGGCTGGGGGCACGGGGAGGGGGTCACGGAGGTGTCCCCAGGGTCCGTTTGAGGGGTCTGGTGGCTGAAGCTCCTGGGGGGCTGAACTTGAGCTGGGCCCTGGGGGAGCAGGCGGTGGCCGTGCCCTGGGACGGGGACCCCGTACGCTGCGCCCGGGACCCCCTGCAGCCCCCCCCGCCCCCCGACCCCTCCCAACTTCATTGCTGTCCCCCTCGGGCGGGCTCTGGCCTGGGGTGGGGGGGCCAGGAAGCCCCGTAGGAAGTGACTTCAGCCCCGGTTCCTCGGCCCAGCTTCCTCCCCATTCTTGTCCTCTCCCGCTGTTGCTCTTGGCAAGGAGGAGCGTGCCCGTTCTCCGGCCCCATTCCTGGCACGTGGCCAAGCTCGCCGAAATCCGCCCCGACGCCCCGGCCATGCACTGCCCCCCCGACACCTTCAGCCTCTCCTGGCCCTCAGGCTGTGATGTCAGGTGAGAAAATCGGGGCGGTGGGGGGGTGGCTGGCTGTTGGGGGTTAGGGTTGGGGGGGGTCCCCTGTCCGCCCCGAGCCGCCCACGGGTTCGCCGCTGCCCTGCTCGCTGCCGGCAGGAAGGGGTGGTGGCTCTGCTGGAGCCAGCCAGGAGGTGACGAGTCCCGGTGCCACGCATTCCCCGCGTCCCTGTGTCCCCTGGGCAGCCCTTCAGCTGCCCTGAACCCAAAGGGGGGGGTGTCGGGGGGGTGCTCGCTCCCCCTCGGGGACACTGATGGCACCGTGGCGCTGCCAGCAGCGAGCTGTCCCTGCAGTGGAACCCGCTGTCCCGGCACTGCAGCACGGACCGCAGCAGCTCCATCGGGAGCATGGAAAGCTTGGATCAGCCTGGGCAGGCGTACTACGAAGGCACCCCCTCGCCCGTCGAGCACCACAGCAAGCGGGACTCGGCCTACAGCTCCTTCTCCGCCAGCTCCAACACCTCCGACTGCGCCCTCTCCCTCCGCCCCGAGGAAAACGCCGGCCCCGAGGGGCCCTGCAAGCCCCCCGAGGGGCGCTACCTGCAGACGGGCGCCGAGGGGACGGAGCCTCGCCACCCCGCGCGCCACCCCGTGCCCCCCCAGCCCCCCGTGCGCAGGGACAGCCTGCGGGCATCCCCGGCTGGTAGCGGGGCGGACCGGCGCCGGGCATCGGTGCCCACCTCCTCCTTGCACGCCCAGGGGAGGTGGATTTCCGACACTTTCCTGTGCCAGCGGGACAAGGACGCTGAGGCGACGAGCGGGAGGATGCCGGCGGCGTGCCCCCCCAAGGAGCACCTCTCTGCCGACCAGTATTACATGCTGAGCTCCCACCCCGACCGCTGCCTGGGGGACGCCGGGGACCGGCCCTACCCGGAAAACACGATGCAGCGGGGAGCGGACGCGGGGATGGAGGTGGCGGGCGACACCGCGCTGCTGTCCCCCCTCCAAGGCCACCGGCACAGCGCGCCCGAGCAGCTCCTGGCCTCCCAGCTCCGGGCTCTCCAAGTGAGCGCCGGCAGCGGGCGAGCGTCCCCGGCGTCCCCCGCGCCCGAGGGGCACCGCTGGACCACGTCCCCGCTGCACGCCGAGCACCGCGGGCAGGGCGGGCTGAGCCCGGCGCCCAGCACGGAGGGGCTGGCGGAGGAGAGCCGGGCGGGGGGCCGGCGCGCCGGGGGCCCCCCGAATCGCTCGTCTCACTTTCGGCGCCGCAGCGAGCGCTTCGCCACCAACCTGCGCAACGAGATCCAGCGGCGCAAGGCGCAGCTGCAGAAGAGCCGAGGACCCGGCGCCCAAGCCCGGGGCGAGGAGCCAGTGGAGGAGGCGGAGGAGCCAGCCGAGGGCTCTCCGAGCCCCGCGCCCAGCGAGGACGGCAGGAGCTGCTCGGGGGAGTCGCTGCCGGTCCCCGAAGCCGAGCGGGTGGCGCCGAGCCGAGGCCGCTGGCGCTGGTCCCCGGAACGCAAGCTGCAGCCGCAGCGCTCGCCCAGTCCCCGCGAGCACAAGGGCGGCGAGGAAGCCGTCCTCCTGCCCTTCGCCGACCGGCGCCGTTTCTTCGAGGAAAGCAGCCGCCCTGCGCCCACCCGGCACGGCAAGCCCCAAAAACCGCCCGAGCCTGACTCTTTCCAAGCTGCCGAGCACCGCGACGCTCGCCGCGTCTCCGGACCCTACAGCGAGTGCTGCCGGGAGCAGCCGCCCTACTACAAGGTGCTACCGAGGCACGGCGAGCTGGAATATCTGCGGGGCTGCTCCTATCCCTACGGCGGCCCCGGTTTGCACGAACCTTGCCACTACTGCGCTGGAGAAATGTGCCCGGCGCTGCTGCCCCGCGGCCATGCCTACCGCTGCCACCCCTGGGCGCGCTGCCCCGACTGCTGCTGCCCGGCCCCGCGCCCGCCGCGGGAGGAGAGCGACAGCTGGGCGCCCCGAAAAGCCTTCGTGCCGGTGAGCGAGCCGCGCTTTTGGGATTTTGGGGGAGCGCTCGGGGGTCACGGCTCGCTCACACCCCGGGCCAAGGGGCCTGGATCCTGCCTTCACGCTGCCTCTGCATCCCCACGCAGGAATTCGCTCCGGAGGAGTGGGAGCCGCCGGCGATCAGCAGGAAGGCCAGCAGCCAGCCCATGGGGTGAGCCCAAATTGGGGTCGGGGGGGCGTGCTGCCCATGGGGACCCCTGCCCCATAGCAGCAGGAGGGAGGGAGAGTGGGCTGCTGTGGTTCTGGGGACGTGCCAAGCGTCCCCGTCTGCCGCCGTGCAAAGCGGGCTGGGTGCTGAGGGGTGGGCGCGATCGGGGGGTGACTTCCCGGGGGGGGCCGGGTGCCCCCTTTTCTCCCCAGCGAGCTCTCCCACTACAAGCCGGGCTTCCCGAGGCTCGGCCCCTTCCGTCCGTGCTTCGAGAGCGCCGAGCCCGAGTGGCCGCCCTGCTACCGCACCGCGTCCACGCACGACCTCTCGTGGGACTCCGAGCGGCCGCCTCGCTCCCCCGAGCTCCCCCCGGAGCCCCTGCACCGCCCGCTGCGGGGCCGAGCCTTCTCCGAGAGCCACCTCAACCTGGAGCCCGCCAGCCCCCGGGGCCGCAGGGACCTTCTGCGGGCCAAAGCGGAGCCGCCGGGTTTGCCCAAAAAAAAGGGGCCCCCGCCTCCCCGCCCGCCCCCCCCCAACTGGGAGCAGTACCGGTTGCGCCGGGCGTCGCAGCACCCCAAGGAGGGCTCAGGACCCGGCATGGCCACGGTGCCGTCCCGCAGCATCGCCGAAGTCGTGCGGCAGCGCTCCCGCAGCCTCGCCGCCGAGCCCCCCGGCCGCCCCCGCGGGACCCCGGAGCCAGAGGCCGAGGTTTGCAGGTTGGTGACCTTGGGGGGCTTTGGTGGCTTTGGTCTTGTCTCCTTTGGGGGCTGGCACCTCTGTCACCTGGCTGGGGTGGGACGCGGCGGGTCTCTGGGAGGAAAGGGGGTCCCCGAGCTCTCTCCGTCCCCTCCCTGCATGTCCCGTGGAGGTGACACCCCCCCACTCACTGCTGCGGGCGTTCACAGGAGCAGGGAAGAGCACCCGATGGCGAAGGACCCCTGGGAGCAGGAGGAGCCCCCCCAAAGGCTCGCCCGCAGCCGGGAGCGGGGCTGGTCCAGCGAGTGCCCCCTGCGCGTCCCCAGCCCCGCGGCCACCCAGGGGGGGCCCTGTCCCCGCAGCCCCGAGGGGGCGAGCACCCGGGGGGGGCGCCCCCAGCCCCGCCGCATGAATTCGGAGGAGCTGCTGTGGGACGTGGCGGGCAGGGACCGCTCCTTGGCCGGCATCTTGGTGACCCCCCCGGTCACCACCGCCACCGTCATGGGCGAGCTGCTGGCGGCGGGGGACCGGCAGGCGTGGAGGGAGCGGGTCCAGCAGGATTGGCACCCGGAGCCGCAGGACAGGTAGGGCTGGCACCGTGTCACCGTGTCCCCTTCCCCCCGGGGAGGGTCATCGCGTGGGGACCGCGGTGTCCCCAGCACCTTGCTCCCCGCAGGCAGGGCTTCGAGCCCATCTCGCCGCCCCCCGGGGCCACCGGCAGCCCCCCCTCCTACGCGGCGTATTACGGCAAAGCCGAGCTGCTCGGCAAGATGAAGGAGCTGCCGGAGGTGGCGGAGGGGAGCTCGGAGGAGGAGGAGGAGGAGGAGGAGGTGGATCGCGAGCTGGTGGAGAAGAAGGTAACGGGGACGGGGGTGCCAAGCGGAGAGCACGGGCTGTCTGCGCGGGGACGGCGGCTGCGCTGCTCATCCGTGCCAGGATGGTGGCTGCGACTGCACCCCAGGTCCCCCCCCCCCCCCAAAAGCATCTCCCCCCGTCCCTCCCGCAGCTGCAGCTGGTGGAGAGCCTGAGCCGCAAGCTGGCGGTGCTGCGGGAGGCGCAGCGGGGGCTGCAGGAGGACATCAGCGCCAACGGGGCGCTGGGCGAGGAGGTGGCCGCCCAGCTGCAGGCCCTCTGCACGCCGGGAGAATTCGACAAGTACCGGCTCTTCGTGGGCGACCTGGACAAGGTGGTCAACCTGCTGCTGTCCCTCTCCGGCCGCCTGGCTCGGGTGGAGAACGCGCTGAGCGGGCTGGGGCCCCACGCCGCCGCCGAGGACGAGGTGGGCAAGCGGGGAGGAGAAAAAATTTGGGGAGGAGGTGAGGGACGGGGGCGCACGGCGGGGCTCGGCAAACCCCCTGTCTGCTCGCAGCTGGCCCTGCGGGAGAAGCAGCGGCTGCTGGCGGCGCAGCTGGAGGACGCCAAGGAGCTGCGGGAGCACGTGGGGCGGCGCGAGGAGGCGGTGGGGGCCATGGTGGCGCGCTACCTGCCCCCCGAGCAGCTGCAGGACTACCGGCACTTCGTCAAGATGAAGTCGGCGCTCACGGCCGAGCAGCGCGAGCTGGAGGAGAAGATCAAGCTGGGCCAGGAGCAGCTGCGCTGCCTGCGCGAGAGCCTTGGCCAGGCACCCACAGGGCACTAGCCTGCCCCTCCCAGGCCGCCCAGCGTCGGCCTTTTGGTTTTTTTTTCTTGTTCTTTTTTCTTTTTTAATTTATTTTGCAGGTCTATCGAAGCAGGGGGGTGCCCGCGGGTGGCGCCCCTCTCTGCCCGTGCCACCACGTGCCTTAGAACCCACGGATGCCGCAGTGCCTAAAGGGTTAAACCCTCCGCACGCACCCCCCCCTTCCCCAACGCCCCATCCGTCTGTCCGTGTCCGTGTCCGTCTGTCCAGAGGCAGAGGAATGCGCAGGCCCCCAGCCTCCTCTTCCTCCCCATTGTGTCGGGAACAATGGCCCCGCTCCCTCCGTCCTTGACCCCGCTCCCCGCCGCGTCCCCGTGGCCCGTGGGGACACCGGGGGTGGCACCGGGGGCACCCAGCCCTCGCACCGGGGAGGGGGGGGACAAAATCACCCCAAGGCCAAACCGGGGCGCCTGTCCCCAAATCCGTCGGTGCTGCAGTGTCCCCAAAGTAGCACTTAGCCCCCCCCCCTGCCCCGCCGGCCAGCCGGACAGACGGCTGCCTCCACGCTGATTTTGCACAGGGGTCTGGCAGCAGCAGGTGCCTTTTTTTGTGTTTTTTTTTGTTTTTTTTTGGGGGGGGGTGGGGGGACGACAAGGACATTTTGGGGACCCGAGCGCGGGGCCACCGCTAGGACCAAAGAGTGGGTGCCCTCCAGGGAAGGGGGTGGCACCGGGGGGGACACACACGGTGACCTCGTGCCTTTCACACACTAAAGGAGCAGCAGCAGCTGCACAACTGGCCCGGCTGTGTCCGCCTGCTTTGTCACTTGGTGTCCCCAAATGTCCCCACGGCGGGGGGTGGGGGGGGAAGGAGGGGGTGTCCCGGTGCCACCAGCACAGCCCCCGGGGGGCTGGGACCTGCGCTGTGAGGGCAGGGCCGGCCGCTGGGTGGCACCCGCGGGACTCCGGGCACGCGTGGGGGGCGCGGGGGGGGGGACACGGGGAGAGGGGGGTGCGGGTGAGCCCCCAGCGTGGGTCCGTGCACGCGCGTGGGAGCGCGGAGACGCGTGGATGCGCACGGGGGGGACCCGCGTGGGTGCGCGCACACGCGTGGCGGTGAGCGTTCCCACGGGGAGGGGGGCACACGCGTGTCACGGGGACCCGGGAGGGAGTGGGGGGGGGGGGTCTGCTGCCCGTCCGTCTGTCCGTCCATCCGTCTGTCCATCCGTCCCCCCCGCGGGAACCCCACGCCGAGCCCCTTTCCTTGCACCCCCCTCCACCACCACCACGCCGCGCGCGTCCGTGGGCGCAGCCCCGCGCGCGCCCGCGCCCCCGGCGCCGTGCCCGTGCACGCCCGTGCACGCGTGGGCGGATGCCAAAAAAATAAAAAAAAAACAAAAAAAGGGGGTGGGTGGGGAGGGAGGGGAAAGAGAGGGGGGGGCGGTGCGTGCGCTCACCTGTGCCGGGGGAGCGCCCGGCGCGCCCGCGCACGCGTGGGTTGCGCGCCCGCGGACACGCGCGGGGGCTCCTGCGCGCACGTGGGCGGCGCGCACACGCATGTGCACGGCGGCGGCGCGTGTGCTCGGCCCCCCCCCTCCTTCCCTGTCCCCCCCCCTTACACCAGCACCACCAGCACCACCAGCACCCGGCTCCGTGCACGCGTGCTCGGGGCCGTGCGTGGGCCGCCCGTGCCGCAGCAGCAGCAGCAGCAGCCGGAGCAGGCTGGGGCTTGCGGCGCAGGGGCAGGGCCGGGGCTGCTTTGCAGAGGCCGGGGGGGGGGGCGGGAGGGGTGGGGGGGGGGCGCACGGGGCTTGGGGAGGGGGGGGGCGCGCAGCGACCTTGCACCGGCAGCGGCGGCGGAGGCGGCGCGGGGCTGCAAAGGTGCGTGCCCAGGGATATTTTTTATTTTTGGGGGTTATGGGGGGGGGATGCGCGGCCACACGCTTGGGGAGGGGGTGGTGGGGGCGCGGGGGGGTTGTGCATGGGGTGGGGGGGGAGACAGCAATGCGGTGCCGCCGGGTTGCTCGCCCCCAGCCCCCCCCCCCCCAATAAAAAAATGGGCAACCCACGCTTGTTGCTGCATGGGGAGGAGGCAGCGCCGGTGCTGGGGATTGGGGAGGAGATGGGGGGGCTCCCAAATGGGTGCCCCCCTCCCCTCCGCAGCCCTGCTGTGCTCCCCTCGGCCCGCAGCGCTGCCAGGTAGGTGCCCCCCCCATCCCCTGCATGCGGGGCCCCCCACCCTATCCAACCCCACAGCGCCCTGGGGATGCTCCCATCCCTTCCCAAATCCCCCCCCCCCCTTCCCCTGGGGAAGGGCACCCATGGGTGGGGGCAGCGCGGGCTGCGGGGCGGCCAGGGGGTGCCCGTGGGCCCCGGTAAGCGGGGGGGCGGTGGGGGAGCCAGGTAGGGCGAGAAAGAGTTGGGACAGCAAGAAAAATAAAAGGAAAAGCTCACGGCGTGTGCGCGGCGGGGTTTTGGGGAGGCTCCGCGCCCCCAATTTCTGGGTTCTCCTTATCCCGGAGCAGTGGGGAGAAGATGGCCGAGAAGGTGGTGGCCGGGGACCTGTTCCTGCGGCAGGCGCGGGAATCGGTGTCGTCCCTGGACTCGGACAAGCTGTCCCCGGTGTCCCCCGAGGCGGGCGGCGAGGAGTCGTCGGACAGCGAGGGCGAGCAGGAGGGCAGCACCCACAAACTGATCCGCAAGGTGTCCACCTCCGGGCAGATGCGCAGCAAGGTGAGGGGCGCGGGGACCCCCCCCCCAGCCGCTGCCCCTTCCCCGCCACAACCCCCCAACCTTTGTGGTTTTGCTTTTTTTTTTTTTTGTATTATTTTATTTTATTTTTTCTTCCCCTCCCAGCCGTTTGCTCGGGGTTGGCGGCGCGTGCGTGTGGGTAGGGCCCTACAAAAATATAGGGCGCTGCCGTGGGCGCGGGGACATTTGGGATGCCCAAACCCGTGGGTTCTGGATTTGGGGGGCTCAGAGCCCTCGGTGCCATTCGGGGACCACCAGCCCTGTGGGGGGTACTGGGGGGGGCTCACCCCCAGCCAGAGGGGCCGGGCAGCGTCCCCGTGTCCCCCAGGCTGGGTGTCACCGCCCGTCCTCTCGGCCACATCCTGCCCGGCGCGGCGATGAGGCGTGCAGGAGGCGATGCTGGGGGCAGACGGCGGGCGGGATGCACGTGTGCCGGCCGAGGCGGCCTCTGTGCACCCGTATGGGGGGGGGACAGCACCCCGCAGACACGGGGCTGGTGCTTAATTAAGCAGGAGGTTAATGAAGGAGGGGGAGCCCGGGGTTAGGGTTCCCAAGAGATGCCCAGCTTGGTCACAAAGAAGGGGGACCTATTTTTGGGGCGTCCTCGGCTCTACTCCTGGATGCTGCTGGCAATTGGGGTCTGCAGCCACCTGCTGAGTTTTGGGGCCCCCACCCCACCGTTTGGGGGGCGAGCATGTCCCGTCCCCCCCCCATATCACGGTGCTGTCCCTGTGGGGACAGGGCAGGGCGTGCACCCCATCCCCACCTCCGCTGCGTCCTCCTCCCTCAGCGTGCGCCCCAAAAGCCATCCTGCCCCCCAACCCCGAGCGCCCCCGTCCCTCTCCATCCGTCACGCCCCCCCCCGTACCCCCACACCTCCCGCTCCCCGTTCTGCGGGCTGTAATTGCCGGGGCGCCCCGCGGGGCGCTTTGTGCCGGCCCCGGTGCGGAGGCGGCGAGGCCATTGTGCTCGGTGACAATGACAGCTGCCAGGCGCAGGTGCCCCTGCCGGGCTGAATGGCCCCAGGACGGGTGGGGGGCCTCGCTGCCGCCCCCTCTTCCTCCTCTTCCTCCTCCTCCTCCTCCTCGCTGTGCTCGGGGACTGCTGGTTCCAAGCGCCGGAGCTGAAGGGGGCTGCGGGCATCAGTGGGGACCATGGGGTGGGAGCGTCCCTGCGGGGTGAGCACCCCCGTGGTTTTGGGGTTGTGTTCCCGCAGCCCCAAATTCCTGCTGCTGGGGTACGCAGGTGCTCGGTGGGGCCGGGGGGGTCCCCCTGTGTGCAGCATCCCCCCGTGGGGCACCCCGACAGCGAGCGCTTCCGTTCCTGGCCGGAGGCGTCCTGCAGGACCCGAGTGTGCCCAGGAGGGACCCAGCCGTGCCCGTGGGGGTCGGGTGCTGGTGTCAGGCGATGGGGAGGGTGGGATCCCAGCTGCTGGAAGAGGGAGGCGAGGAAGGACCCGTGGGGCCAGCCCAGCCTGCGTGCTCTGAGGTCCCCTGTACGTTTTGGGGTCCACTGCATGCATTGGGGACCCCTTGTGTGCTCTTAGGTCCCCTGTGCACTTCGGGGTCCCCTGTATGGTTTGGGGATCCCTGGTGTGCCTCGGGGTCTCCTGCATGCCTTGGGGTCTCCTGCAGGCCTTGGGGTCCTCCTTCATGCTCTGAGGTCCCCTGCGTGCTTTGGGGTCCCCGCTGCGTGCTCAGCTGTCCCTGGCACACTTTGGGGTCCCCCGCTGTGCTTCGGGGTCCTCTCCCAGGCTGCGAGGTCTCCTTCATCACTCAGGGTCCCCCCGTGTGCTTTGGGGTCCCCCTGCACGCCCCAAGATCCCTGCATACCCTGAGGCCCCTGCGTGCTTTGGGGTCCCCCCGGGGGTCTCCCAAGCCCACGTGCCCACCGGCCACCCGGCACGGCTGTCACCCCAGAGCCCCGCGCGGTGCCACCAAAGCCCCAAAGTGGGGCCGTGGCGAGGGGACCAGGCCCTGCCTGGTGGCACGGGCGGGGAGGGCGCAGCGCCTGGGCGGTGGAGATAGCCCCGGTGGCACCGGCCGGATGTTTGTGAGGTTTCTCAGCCGCGCTGCCCTCGCCTCACTCACGCTTTCCGTTGTGCACGCGCTGCGGCCCCGACCCCCCGGCAATTCTGCAGCCCCTCCACCCCCACCTCGTGTTCCTGCGTGCCAGCGCTGGGGACGCAACCTTGCAAAGGTCCCCGCGGCACGGGGTTTTTGGGGGGGACACACCGAGCTCCTGCCCTTGCAGCAGGAGCCGTCCTGGGGGGCACGCGGCTGCAGCCGAGCCCGGAAGAGCCCCGGCACGCTGCAGAGCCTGATAACGGCTTGCAGCCGACCGCAGCCCGCGGCTCGCACCCCGACCCTACTGCCTCTTTGGGGAACGAGGCCGGTGCCTGCCCCATGGGCTGGAGCGGGGACGATGCCCGCGAGATGCAGGTTGGTGGGTCCCAGCCCCCCCTCTCCGCCTCCTCCTCCTCCTCCTCCTCTTGGTGCTTCTTGCTCCGAGCGGGGAGTTTTTTTGGGGAGAAAGCGCTTGCTTGCTTGCGTCCTGCGCAACCCCTGCGCCGCCAGAATTTTTGGTGCCCAGGGAGGGAGGGGGCCGGGGGGGCCTCCAAGCTGCGGCGCTGGCACCTGCCTGCTCGGATCGTGCCGCCCGCCTGGCCCCCAGCCAGGCAGAGCCGGGCTGCGGCGCTGGCTGCCGACCCCGCTGCGCCAGCACCGAGCCGCTGGCACCCACCCGGTGTCCCCTGGCTCCTTGGCACCGGGAACTCCTGCTCCTCGCCATCGGGAGCCCCCCAGCTCCTAGGGGGGCCCTGGGTGCTGATGTCCCTGCGGTCCCTGCAGAAGAGCGTGAAGGAGGGGCTGCTGCTGAAACAGACGAGCTCCTTCCAGAGGTGGAAGAGGAGATACTTCAAGCTGCGGGGCAGGACGCTTTATTACGCCAAGGATGCTAAGGTAGGCGGGGGGGGGCTTCCCAAACCCCCTGCTGAGCTCCCCCCTGGGGGCTGGAGCCTGCAAGCTCAGCAGCGAGCGGCGCTTTGCCCCTGCAGTCCCTGATCTTCGACGAGGTGGACCTGTCCGATGCCAGCGTGGCCGAGAGCAGCACCAAAAACATCAACAACAGCTTCACGGTGAGGGCTGGGGGCTCTCCGCGGGGCCCCCTCCCCGCGCTGCTGGTGCTGTGTCGGGTGTGGGGGTTCCTAGGGGCTGGCTCGCCGTGGGGTGGCCCTACAAGGGGTCGTGGGGTGTGTGGGGTCCGTGGCTCGCTGCAGGTGATCACGCCTTTCCGGAAGCTCATCCTGTGCGCCGAGAACCGCAAGGAGATGGAGGACTGGATCGGTGCCCTCAAATCCGTCCAGAAGTGGGAGATCCACGAGGTGGGACAGCCGTGGGCACGTGGGGCGGAGAGCCCCGAGGTTGGGTCATCGGGGGCAGGCTGGGGGGTCAAAGAGGGGGGTCCTGAGGGTGCTGACGGAGCCGGCTGTGCCCCGCAGGCCACGCAGTTCAACATGGAGCACTTCTCGGGCATGCACAACTGGTACGCCTGCTCCCACGCCAGGCCCACCTTCTGCAACGTCTGCCGGGAAGCCCTCTCGGGGGTCACCTCCCACGGCCTCTCCTGCGAAGGTCAGCACCCGGGGGGGGGATATGGGGCGATGCCCGCGGCCGTGAGGCTGGGGACCGTCCTCACTCTTCCTCCTCTTCCTCCCAAGTGTGCAAGTTCAAGGCCCACAAGCGCTGCGCCGTGCGCGCCACCAACAACTGCAAGTGGACCACGCTGGCCTCCATCGGCACGGAAATCATCGAGGACGAGGACGGGGTGAGCCCGCGGGGGGTCCCTCGCGGCAGGGCCACCTCCCCCGGGTGGTGGCACGCGGGTGACACCCTCACCCTCTCCGCAGGTGGCCATGCCCCACCAGTGGCTGGAGGGCAACCTGCCGGTCAGCGCGCGCTGCGCCGTCTGCGACCGTGCCTGCGGCAGCGTGCGGAGGCTGCAGGACTGGCGGTGCCTCTGGTGCAAAGCCATCGTAAGGAGCCGTGTCCCTCCCCCGCCCCAAAAAAACCTTCCCCTGGGGAAGCTGAGGCTGGTGGTGTTGGCGTCGTGTTCCCCAGCGCGAGTGTCCCCGTGCCCCCCAGGTCCACAGCGCCTGCAAGGAGCTCTTCGGCAAGAGGTGCCCCCTGGGCCAGTACAAGGTGTCCATCATCCCGCCGACCGCCCTGAACAGCATCGATTCGGATGGTGAGCGGGGCAGGGGACGGGCTTGGGGGGGCTCTCCATGTCCGCCGCCTCCTGGCGCGCTGAGGGGGGCAGCATCAGTAGGTTCCAGAGTGAACGTCACCCGCAGCCGTTCCCTCCCCGCTCCCCGCACCCTTCTCCGGAGGGGCCCAGCTGGCCTCCGCCAAGCGAAATCTGTTCCTCTCCTCCGGATATTTCTTCTCTTGTTCTTTAATGATTTCCACCGCTCCGCTCAGCCGGTGGCTCATCTGCTGCTCGTTACTCATCGGGATGCTGTCAGGGCAACCATCACGCGGCTTCTCCTCCCTCTCCAGAGCCGTGCCCGTTCCCTCCATCCAGCCCCGGGGACCGGGGTGGCCGAGGTGTCCCCAAGCCGGCTGCGGGCCAGCTTTTATCGATCCTCCCTCCTCGGGCACATTTCATTCCCTGTCTCATTCCTCTAAAAGCACGCCGCCGCCTGCCAAGCCTCCCCGGGCGGCTGCGTCATCTGCACCCACCCGCCCGCCAGGTTGGCAGAGCTGGGCGAGATCCTGCAGCCTCCGGGGGCGGTGGGTCCCTGGGGGGCTCCGGGTGCCACCGGGGAGGAATGGGGATCCCCCCGTGGTCCCCAAAAGCAGCCCCCCGCGTGCCACCCCTGCTGCGGGCTGGGCACAGGAGCCGGCTCCGTGGCTCACTGGGTGCCCGCGGGGGCAGCAATACCCCCTCCCCTTCCACTTCTCCTTCCTTACCCCTGGTTTTTGGACAGGTTTTTGGAAGGCCACCTGCCCCTCCACCTGCTCCAGCCCTCTCCTGGCCTTCGTCAACTCCAAGAGCGGCGACAACCAAGGCGTCAAATTCCTGCGCAAATTCAAGCAGTTCCTCAACCCGGCCCAGGTCTTCGACCTCATGAACGGGGGCCCGCACCTGGGGTGAGCGCCTGGCACGGGGGTGGCACCGCGGGGAGCCCGGCGGGACCCCCCTTCCCCAGCGCCCTCCCTCCTTCTCCTGCCCTCCTGCTCCCCGCAGGCTGCGCCTCTTCCAGAAGTTCTCCACCTTCCGCATCCTGGTGTGCGGCGGCGACGGCAGCGTGGGCTGGGTGCTCTCCGAAATCGACGCCCTGGGGCTGCACAAGCAAGTGAGCCCCCCCTTCCCACCACCACCACCACCGTTCCCATCCTCATCTCCCCCCGGGGGTACCGCAGCACCCAAGGGTGCCAGGCTGAGCCCCCCCGTCCCCGTCCCGCAGTGCCAGCTGGGCGTCCTGCCCCTGGGCACCGGCAACGACCTGGCACGGGTGCTGGGCTGGGGCAGCCTCTGTGACGATGACACCCAGCTGCTGCAGATCCTGGAGAAGCTGGAGAGGGCCACCACCAAGATGCTGGACCGGTGAGGAACGGGGTGAAGGTTGGGGGTGGCTCGGCTCGCCCCCCCCAGGACGGGGTCCCCCCCCGGGGCGACGCAGGCATCCGCGGTCTCTCTGCTCGGCAGGTGGAGCGTGATGACCTACGAGGCCCCCAAGCAGTCCCCACCGGCCCTAAAGGAGGAGGAGGACGGGGACTCCAACATCCAGGTGGGCACCTTTGGGGACTTTGGGGGCTTTGGGGGGGATGTGGGGAATGAGACAGCGGCATGAGGTGAGCGTGGCGGGGCTCAGCCTGGCAACGTGTCCTCGTCCCGGTGCCAAAAGGGCGGGGCGCACGGTGCTCAGATGAGGCCGTGTGCTGGCTCGGGGACACCCCCCCAGGTGTCCCAGCCCGCGCTGTCCCCTGCCAGGCCCAGATCTCCCACTACGCTGACTCCGTCGCCTTCCACCTGGCCAAGATCCTGGAGTCGGACAAGCACTCGGTGGTGATCTCCTCGGCCAAGTAAGGGGGAGCTGGGGGTGACAGGGGTGACGGGACCAGGGGAGACGAGCCCCCCAGCGCTGCTGAGCTCCCCCTGAGGACCAGGCTGTGCCCTGGCCGGTCCCATTCCCCCCCCCAATGCCGCTTCCCTGGGCAGGTTCCTCTGCGGCACCGTCAACGACTTCGTGGCCGAGGTCGGCCGGGCGTACAAGAGAGCGACCGAGAACAAGCAAGAGGCAGAGCTGATGGCGAGGAAGGTGAGGGAGGGGGGAATTTGGGGAATTTGGGGTGCGTGTCCGGGGGTACAGCCCCGGGAGGGCTGGGGACCTGGCGGAGACGTGCGTGCCACGGGGGCGCACGGACACTTGGGGTGCCCGAGCTCTCGGGGTGCCCAGGCACTTGGGGTGCCCCATCCAGCGCACGGTGCCCCGGGGGAATTTGGGGTGCCCGAGCATTTGGGGTGAGCCTGTGGGCGCCCTGCAGTGCGCCATGCTGAACGAGAAGCTGGACTCGCTGGTGCGGGAGCTGACCGAGGAGGCTCAGGCCGCCGTGGTGCCCGAGGGGATGCCGCCATCCGGCCCGGCCGACGCCAAGGAGCTGGAGAAAAGCGGCTTCAACCCCAGCCCCGTGCCCCGCATCTTCAAATCCAAGGAGCAGCTGATGCTGCGGGCCAACAGCCTGAAGAAAGCCCTGCGGCAGATCATCGAGCAGGCGGAGAAAGGTGAGGGGGCGGCACGGGGTCCGTGCCTCAGTTTCCCTAACCACATCCTCAGCCTGGCAGCAGCGCTGCAGGGTCCCGGAGGAGCATCAATCCTTCTCCGGGGCGTTTCTCCGGTGCTGGGGAAGGTCCCAAACGCAGTGGGATGGGGATGGGGAGCAGCTTTTGGGACGTGGGGCGGGTGCCCTGGGCTCGCTGCCAGGCTCCGTGTTTGCACCCAGCTGTGGACGAGCAGAACAAGCAGACCCAAGCCTACCGTGCCAGCACGGTCCCCAGCAAGAAGGACAGCTCGGAGGAGCTCAACAAGGAGGAGAGGCTCTGTAAGGCGTTGTGTGGCACACAACATGGCTTTTTTTTCTGGGGGGGGGCAATGGGGAGAGCCGTGGGATGGGCTCATTCAGCAGCAACCCCCCCCCGGCCAGGCTCCCGGCGGGAGACGGTGACCTCGGCCACCTCGTCCATCCTCCTGGAGCGCCCGGACACCTTCGGCAGCCTGCAGTTCCCCGAGGAGCCCAGCGTGCTGTGAGTCTGGGGGGGGTCCCGCCGGCCCCCTCCCCGCCAACTCTGACGGGTTTTGTGCTCCGGGGTCCCGGTGCCAGCCCTGCTGTGCCTGCTGCTTTCAGCCACTTCTCGGAGAAATGCGTCATGAACAACTACTTCGGCATCGGCCTGGATGCCAAGATCTCCCTGGAGTTCAACAACAAGCGGGACGAGCACCCCAAAAAGTGCAGGTTGGCTGCGACCCCCCCACCCCCCCGGGGGAAAAAAACATGCTGGGAGGGAACACTGGGAGTAACCGCTGGGATACTGGGGTGCTGGAGGGCACCGCTGGGATGCTGGAGGAGGAGCACCAGGATGCTGGAAGGGGCCACTGGGGATGCCAGGAAGGGCTGACGGGTCAAGGGGGGGGCTGGCGGCAGTGGGGGGAGCCTGGCGGCCCCACTCAGCCCCCCCGCTGCGCCCCGCAGCAGCCGCACCAAGAACATGATGTGGTACGGGGTGCTGGGCACCAAGGAGCTGCTGCAGCGCACCTACAAGAACCTGGAGCAGCGGGTGCAGCTGGAGGTAGGGGGGTCAGGGATGGCTTGGGGGGGGCACAGGGGGTGTCGTGGTGCCCCCCCACATAGGCTCAGCCCTCTACTTGCAGTGCGACGGGGTGCCCATCTCGCTGCCCAGCCTGCAGGGCATCGCCGTGCTCAACATCCCCAGCTACGCCGGGGGCATCAATTTTTGGGGAGGCACCAAGGAGGACAACGTGAGTGCGAGGCACGGGGAGCAGGGGGGTGCTGGGGAGTTGGGGGGGGGAAGGCTGAGCCCAGCCTGGTTGTGCCGCCCCCCCGCAGAACTTCGGAGCCCCCTCGTTCGATGACAAGAAGCTGGAGGTGGTGGCCGTTTTCGGCAGCATCCAGATGGCCGTGTCGCGGGTCATCAACCTGCAGCACCACCGCATCGCCCAGGTAGGGTCTGGGGGGGGTGATGGTGGTGGTTTTGGGGGGGGGGGGGGCGTGCCGAGCCCGGTGCTGCTGCCATGCCGGCCCCCACCGTGCGCCCCCGCAGTGCCGCGTGGTGAAGATCACCATCCGAGGGGACGAGGGCGTCCCCGTGCAGGTGGATGGAGAAGCCTGGATCCAGCCCCCCGGCGTCATCAAAATCCAGCACAAGAACCGAGCCCAGATGCTGACCAGGGACCGGGTGAGCCTCACGTGCCGGGACGCTGCGGGGGGGGCTCTGCTGCTCCGTGGGGACGGTGGCAACCTCCTGGCCCCCCCTTTCAGGCGTTTGAGAGCACCCTCAAGTCCTGGGAGGACAAGCAGAAGGGGGAGAGCTACCGCGCGGCGGCACGGCCGCGGCTCAGCTCGCAGCAATCCATGGAGTACCTGACGGAGGAGGAGAGCAGCCTCCTGCAGCAGCTCTCGCGGGCGGCCGAGAGCCTCATCGCCAGGTCAGCCTGGGGGCCCAGGGGGCTGTGGTTTCGAGGGGGGGCAGCCCTGCTCCATCCCGACCCCCCCGCAGAATCCACGAGGCGGCCAAGGCGCACAAAGCGGTGGAGCAGGAGCTGGCGCACGCCGTCAACACCAGCGCCCTGGCACTGAGCGAGGCGCTCTCCAACAAGGCTGCCGGCGCCGCCGAGGTGAGCAGGGGGGGTCTGGGGAGGGGGGCGTCGTGCCCCCCCCCATCTCGATGCCCACCACCCCCCCGCTGCCCCTCTCTGCGCCCCAGTTTCTCAGCAGGAACGCGGCGGTGGAGGTGGTGCTGAGCATCAAGGCGCTCTACGCCGAGACCAGGGCGTTCCTGGAAGGGAAGGCGGTGAGTGAGGGGCCGGGGACCCCCCCGAGCCCCCCCGCTGGTGGCAGCGGGGCTGGGGACGGTCCCTGTCCCCCGCAGCTGGACTCGCCCCAGGAGGAGGAGGCGCTGCAGGGCCCCCTGAGCGCGCTGGGCCAGGAGCTGCAGCGGCTGCTGGATGTGCACTGGCTGGTGCCCATCGCCCACCCTGCGGAGGAGGTGGGGAAAAAGGGGCTGGGGGGGGGGCGTGGGTGATTACGGGGGGGCTGCAGGAGCACGCTCAGCCCCAGCTCTTGCAGGAGAGCGGCGGCAGCGCCAACAAGGGCAGCTTCAAGCTTCGCCTCAACATCCCCAAGCCCAGGAAGGACAAGGCGCAGAAGCAGAAGGCCAACAGCGCGCTGCCGGGTGAGGAGGGGGCCGTGGCTACCTGCTGCCCCCCCCAGCAGCCCCAAAAAGGGGTTGGGGTGCATCCCTTTTGTACCTTCATCACCAATTCACCCTTTGGGGGTGATTTTTCTCCTGGTAGCCCTGCAGAGCCACCCCGCTCTGTGGTGAGGCTCAGCCCCTGGGTGGTTTTGGCGAAGGGGAGGCGATTGGGTGCGCCAGAACCCCTCCAACCTGAGCAAGGGCAGTGGGGAACGGGGGGGGGTGCTCCCTGCCCCCCCTGTTCTACCTCTCTGGGTTTCCTCCCCGCCAGCGGACAAGTGGGGCGCTGAGGAGGTGGCTGCGTGGCTGGAAACGCTGGGTTTGGGGGAGTACAGAGACATTTTCATCCGGCACGACATCCAGGGCTCCGAGCTGATCCTGCTGGAGAGGAGAGACCTGAAGGTACCGCTCCTCTCCCCCCACCCGGCTCCGGGGAGCATCCCTCGAGCCCCTCACCTCCTTTTTTTTTTTTTCCCCCCCCCAGGACCTGGGCATCACCAAAGTCGGCCACATGAAGAGGATCCTGCAGGCCATCAAGGAGCTCAGCAACCCGCCCTAGGCTGGTGGCAGCACCGGGGGGGCCACCTGGGACCCCGCTGCCTCCTGTGTGTGTGTGTGTGTGGAGCCCCCCCGCTTGCCTTGCTTTGTCTGTTCGTCCCCCAGCGCCCCTGGAGCCACTGCTTCTCACCGAGCCCCCGGGGCTGGAGGGCACCGGAGCGGAGCTTTGGTCCCTGCCAGCAACCGGGGTGGCGGGGTCACTACAGGAGCCAGGGAGCTGGGCTGCAGTGTGGGGCCAAAAGCAGAGATTTTTCCCCCTCCCCCAAAAAAATTCCCTTTCCCCCGATGGGTATTTAAGCTGTGTAAATATTTGGAGAAGAGATATTTATTGCTGCTGCTGGTGTGGTGTCATTGCTTCAGGGAAGGAGGGGAGGGGGGAGCGGGACCCTTCCAGCAGCGCCCCCAGGAGCCACACACACCATTTTATAAGAAATACACAAATATTTTATTGACATTTCTACATCGCTTCTTTTTTTCCCCCCCCTCCCTCTTCAAGTAAAAACAACCCCGTTATCTTATTTTTTTTTTTCCTATGTACACCGTGCTCCCAGAGCAGGACACCCAACTATTTACAGGCTATGTACAGAGGCAGGGTTAGCTCTTCAGCTTCTCCTCCAACTTCAGCATGTCCAGGGGGGTCATTTTGGCCACCTCAAAGAAGAGCCTGGAAGGAAAAGCAGGGTCTTAGAGCTCGGCAGAGCCCCCCCCCAGCTTAAAGAGGGGTGGGGGGATGCTCACCTGTGCGAATATTTGGTGCGCACGGCCTTCAGCTTGTCGCAGGGCTGGTAGGTGAGCAGGAAATTCAGCCTCTTCACCAGGGGGTGCAGGTCCTGCGCGCGGTACCCGCTGTAGTACTCCAACGTGGGGGTCTGCCAAAACGACACGGGGTGAGCTGGGGGGGGCTCCTCAAAGGCAGCATCCCCCCCTTCCCTCCCTCCCCGCCGCCCCGGGGGCTCACCCAGCCACCCAGGTTCTTCATGGTGAGCGCCAGCAGCAGGCAGCTGGCGGCCAGCTTGGAGGGGCGCTCCCGGGCGTAGTCGTACTCCTGCAGGGTCATCTCGCAGAGGAAGCGGGCCAGCGTCAGCGTCTCCATGTTGACACGGGCACACTGCGGCCAAAAATATTTTTTTTTTGTGTGGCACCACCCCAGACCCCCCTCCCCTTCCCCGTTTTATTTTTTTGGGGCACGGGATGCCAACCCCACACTCCCAGAACCCTACTGCGGGATTTTGCCACCCGTCACCCCCTCCAAGTGCTGCTTGTGCCCCCCGGGGGGGGTGGCAGGAGGGGAGAGGCGCCCCCACCTTGGCAAAACGCCGCAGGAAGCGGTAGGGGATGGGGATGTTGATGTCGAAGTTGAGGGTGCGGAGGATGCTCTTCTCCATGGCAACCAGCTCCTCCCGCTTGTAGGCATCGTCGCAGATGTAGAGGAAGTCGTCCACGCACGGCGGGCACTGCTCCTGGAAAGGGGGGGAACCACTCAGCGCCCCCACCCTGACCCCACAGGGGTCCCCACAGGGTTTTCGGGCACTTTTCCTGCTGGGACCACCCCAACGTCCACCTGGGCTGAACCCCGGTGTCCCCGTTGCTTCTGCACAGTGGGGAAAAAAAGCAGATCTGCAGCCCCTGGGATAGGGAGGAGGAGCACCAGGATGGACGCGCCACCTTCAATCAGTTCCTTGGGGTCCCAAAATTCTCCCAAACAACCCCCCCGCCTCAACACCGCACCCAACCCCGGGAGTCACCTCGAATTTGGAGGCGATGAGGACGGCGGTGGAGCCGATGAGCTGCAGCTTGTCCTTCATGCTCACCACCTCCACCAGGTAGTGGTCCACCAGCTTCACCGCCAGGTACAGCGTCTCGTGGTTCAGCTCAAAGTTCTCCTGCAAGGACACGGGGTTGGGGGGAGGCAGGAGGGGTTAGGAAAAAGCCAAAGTCCTCTCCTCCCCCAAATCCTGAAGCACCCTGGGGTTGCTCCTGGGTCCCGTACACTCGGTGGGGCGGGAGCTGCTCCGCAGAGCTCCAAGCCCCCTCCCCGCGCCCACCTACCTGCACCTCCACCATCCAGTCCACCAGGATGGCACGCATTTCCCTGCTGATGTCCACCTGCTTCTCCATGTAGTCAGGGAGCAGGAACTTCTCCTGCCAAAGCAGCAGACGTCAGCGACTCACCGACATCCCCCACACCCCAAAAAGAAAAAAAAAAAAGCCCCCCGAGCACCCCACAAGGGCCTCGCCCACCTCCCTCTCCCGCATGTAGTCAAAGATGTCCTTGGCGTATTGGGCGTTGGCGTAGGGGTCGCCCAGCTGCTCCTTGTCGATGTCCTCCAACACGGGGGCCTGTGGGGTGGAGGAGGCTGCGGTGAGGCTGGCAGAGCTCTGCGGGGTGGCAGCCCCTCCCCACCTGCCCCACAGCCCCCACCGGAGGTTTTTTGGGGGAGGAAGGATGGGGTTTAACCCCCCCAGCAGCTCGGTACCTGCACAGGCTCCTCAGGCACGGGATCTTTCTCAGACTCCTCGGATTCTTCTGTCAGGGGCGTTTTTTTCAGGGACCTGGAGGGGATAAGGACGTAAGTAGGGGGGCTGAAAAACCCCATCCAGCCACTGCCTGCCCCCATCACCCCAAGAAATCCCCCCCCACGGCCGCAGCGGCCTCCCACCCCAGCCCCATCTCACCTGGGTACTCACTTTTTCAGGTTGGCTTCGTTGTTCTTGGCAGCGGGGGCCCTCGGCGCCTTGCGGGGGGCGGATTTCACCCCATCCTTCTTCCCCGCCACCGCCTGGTTCTTGTGAGCCTGGTTTTGGGGTGGGAGAGCGAGGAAGGCAGGGGGGGAAAAAAAAAAAAGGGGGAAGTGAGCCTCGGGGTGCTCTCAGGAGGGCAGCACAGCCCCCTCCCCACAAAGCAGCACTCACGTTGGTGAGGTCCCCGAACGCCGAGCGCTTCTTGGGCCCCCCCTGGGGCGAGGACGGGGACCGCTTGGCCTGGCAGCTCTCCTCCTGCAACACAGTAGGGTGAGGGGACGCAGGGGGCACCCCATTGTGAGGGGTCCCCCCCGTCCTCCCAGCCCGGCCTCACCTTCTCGGGGGCAACATTCTCGGTGATGGGGGCCCCTTTCCCTGCTCGGGGCTGCTTCGTGCTCAGCGTCTTGGTGTTGCGTGCCACCGGCATCCTCTTTCTTGGCCTCTGCAAGCAAAAAGGGGTGGCACATGTATGTTAGGGAACCCAAATCCCAATGCACCCCCCTGCTGAGGGTGAACCCATATACCCCAAGAATGTGGGGAGGCCCAAATCCCAATGTATCCCCCCCACTGGGGAAGGGGATGCAGGGCTCAGTGATCCCATAGCCCCCATGTATGGGGGGGGCATGTGTATAGGGGTGCTGAAAATCCCAAAGCACGCCCCCAGCAAAGAGGATGCAGGGCTCAATGACCCCATAGACCTCAAGCATTGGAAGGGGGGCACCCCAAATCCCAACGCACCCCCCAGGGAAGGAGACAAAGGGTTCGGTGACCCCACAGTCCCATGTATGGGGGGGGGTACATGTATGGACGTGCCCCAAAGCCCAAAACACCCCCTCAGGGAAGAGGATGCAGGGCTCAGTGACCCCACAGACCCCAATCATGGGGGGGGGGGGGCACATGTATGGGGTGACCCAAAATCCCAACACATACACCCAGGGAAGAGGATGCAGGGCTCAACGACCCCATAGCCCTCATGTATGGGGAGGGCACACGTCTGGGGTGACCCCAAATCCCAACAACCCCCCCAGGGAAGGGGACACAGGGCTCGGTGACCCCATATCCCCTATATACGGGGAGGGGCAGGCACATGTACGGGCGTGCCCCAAACCCCAACACCCCCCCAGGGAAAGGGATACATGGCTCAGCGACCCCACACACAGAGGGAACACACATCTGGGGGGACCCCAAACTCCAAAACCCCCCCCCAGGGAAGGGAACCAAGGCCCCAACCACCCCATAACCCCCCCCAACACCCCCTCAACCCACACGGGAAGGGACCGCAGGGCCCACACGGGTAGGGGGGACCCCAGAGGTGGTCCCCATGAAGAAATGGGGGTTCCCGTGGGGCTGGGGGGCCCCATATGGCCCCATAGGGCCGCGTCCCCCCCTCACCTGCGCAGCCGCCGCCGCCGCCGGCCCCGGCTCTTTTGAAAGTAGCAGCGCGGCGGCGGCGGCCGGCACTGGCCGAGCCTCTCGACCAATCAGCGGGCGGCGTGCGCGGGGCGCCGGCCAATGGGAGCGCCGGCCGGGATGCGGTTGCTAGGGGGAGGGGGCAGAAGTTTAAAATTCGGCCGCGCCGCCCAATGGCGGGCCGCGGGGGGCGGTGTCATGGCGGCCGGGGGCGGTGCCATGGCGGCCGCGGGGCGGTGTCATGGCGGCCGCGAGGGGTTATGGCGGCGCCGCCTTCTGTGGTCTTTTGGGGTCGTTACAACGTGTTGTTGTGGGTTAAACAGCAGCCGGCTTTCTCGCTGTCGCCCCATGAGCCGTGCCGCAGGCTACGGGAGCACAGGTTCCCTGCTGAGCCTCCCGATCCCAGTTTATCATGTGGAAATCCCAGATCCCAGTTTTCATGTGGAAACCCCAGATCCCAGTTTGTCCTTCAGAAACCCCAAAATCCCAGTTTATCGTGGGGAAATCCCAGATCCCAGTTTATCCTTCGGGAATCCCAGATTCCAATTTATCATGTGGAAATCCCAGATCCCGATTTGTCCTTCAGAAACCCTAGATCCTGGTTTATCGCATTGAAATCCTAGATCCGAGTTTATCCATCAGAACCCCCAGATCCCAGTTTATCGTGTGGAAACCCCAGATCCCGGTTTTCATGTGGAAATCCCAGATCCTAGTTTGTGCTTCAGAAAACCCAAATCCCGGTTTATCGTGTGGAAATCCCAGATCCCAGTTTATCCTTTGGAAATCCAAGATCCAAATTTATCATTTGGAAATCCCAGATCCCAGTTTATCCCTCAGAAATCCCAGATCCCAGTTTATCTCTTGGAAACCCCAGATCCCAGTTTGTCATTTGGAAATCCCAGGTCCCAGTTTATCATGTGGAAATCCCAGATCGCCATTTGTTGTTCAGAAACCCCAGATCCTAATTTATCATTGGAAAATCCCTGATCCCGATTTATCATGTGGAAATCCCAGATCCCAGTTTATCCTTCAGAAACCCCAGATCCTAGTTTATCGTGTGGAAATCATAGATCCTAGTTTAACCCTTGGAAATCCCAGATCCCTGTTTATCATTTGGAAACCCCAGATCCCAGCTTATCCTTCAGAAACCCCAGATCCTGGTTTATCACGTGGAAATCTCAGATCCCAGTTTATCCCTCGGAAACCCCAGATCCCAGTTTATCATTTGGAAATCCCAGGTCCCTGTTTGTCATTCAGAAACCCTAGACCCTAATTTATCATTGGAAAATCCCTGCTCCTAATTTATCATGTGGAAATCCCAGATCCCAGTTTATCCTTCAGAAATCCCAGATCCCAGTTTATCCTTCAGAAATCCCAGATCCTAGTTTATCGTGTGGAAATCATAGATCCCAGTTTAACCCTCGGAAATCCCAGATCCCAGTTTAACCCTCTGAAATCCCAGATCCCAGTTTATCCTTTGGAAACCCCAGATCCCAGTCTATCCTTCAGAAACCCCAGATCCTGGTTTATCATGTGGAAATCTCAGATCCCAGTTTATCCCTCGGAAACCCCAGATCCTCATTTATCAAGTGGAAATCCCAGATCCCAGTTTATCATGTGGAAGTCCCAGCTCCCAGTTTATCCCTCGGAAACCCCACATCGCTCTGTTTATCCTTAACCCTCCAGGGCGGCCCCACACCCACCGCCTGGGAATCTGGGACGCGTCCCGCCGCTGCTGGAAACTTGGCGGAGCAGCGGCCCCGGGGGGGGGGTGCGATCCCCGGCCAAAAATCCCCCTGACGGTGCGCCCGCGGCGGTGTGGGGGCGAGCTGCCCGTGCCGGGACGGGTCGGTGTCTGCCCGGGCTCGGCGTGGCACAGCCGGCTCTTCCAGTCCCCGCGGTGCCGCCGCCGTCGGGAGGCTCGTGGGTGCGCCGAGAGCGAGGGATGGGGGAAGGAGAGGGGGACCAGGATCCCCTGTGAGGTGCAATGCAGGAGGTTTGCTCCAGGATGGCTTCCCGGGAAGAGAAAAGTCTTGAGAGAAGGGGAGAGGGCAGGGAAGCGTTTGTGGGACATACACGGATGGCTTTTCCCCCTTCCCAGGCTAAAAGGTTTCTTTTCCCATATCCAACTCGTTGCTCCTCGTGGCCCAGCGCCAGAAGCAGCGGCGGGAGGCAGGGAGCTGAGCAGCGCAGAGGCAGGGCTGAGTTTCGGCATTTAATTTCTCCTCTCTTTTCACCGTTAATTGCAGGGGAGGGACAATTGTGGCTAAAGGGGGCTGGAAGTCGGTGGTGACACAACACAGGTGCTCGGAGGCACCACCACGCCTGGATCCCCGTGCAGTCCCTTTGGGGGATGTGGGAACCAGCCTGCGGGCTGGAGTCCCTCGGGGACGGGGCTGGCAGGAGCCGGGGCTGGCAGCTTCATTCCCTGAACCACCAGCTTTGGCTTTTATTCCCTGGAAAGAGCAAGCCCATTCATTCCCTGGAAAGCGCAGCTCGCCCGCTGGCACGCGAAGCACGAAGGGAGGCGCGAGAGGAAGCCGAGGAGCGGCGGCGTCTCCAAACGGCGGCGGCCCCCTCGTCCCCTCCTCACTTGGTGGCCGATTTGATCTTCTGGATGGCGTAGGGGCTGGATTCCTTGGGCATCCAGATCTCCTCCCCGCCGCAGCCCTGCTGCTCGGCTGCCCCCTCCATGGCCGCCGTCAGCTCGGGGCCGAAGATGCTGTCGGTGGCGCGGTAGGTGCGGGTGAGGCGGCGGAAGGAGGAGTCGGAGGAGCTGTCGTCGGGCAGGTCCTCGTCCTGCTCGTCCCTCAGTTTGGTGCGGCCGGGCTCCGAGCCGCTGCCGGGACCCTGCAGAGCCTCCCTGGCCTCCCGCAGGAAGGCTGCTTTGGGGCTGAGGATGCAGAGCAGCAGCGCCAGCCCCGCCGACACCCCGCAGAGGAAATAGAGGCCGACTTTTTCAGGGACGTCTGGCGGGAGAGAAGAGCAAAGAGAGGCACCGTGCTGCAAACCCCCACCGCGGCACGCGGGGTACCTGGGCCTGGAGACCCCCCCCACCTCCCCAACCCTGGCACGTGGGGGCCACGTACCCCAAAGCTGGGCAAAAGCTGTCAGGGAGCTAGTAAAAATCATCCTGTCTTCCCGGAGCCTGGAGAACCTGGGCCCTTTGTACCAGCCACCTGCAGTGAACAAGGGGGATGTGAGGGGCCAGCCCCCGGCCCCCTCCTCTCTGCCCTCGGGGTGCTCCTTTCTGAGCCCTCCTCCTCCCCCCATCAGAAATTCCCTCCCCAAATTACCGTGCATGTAGTCCGAGAGCACGAAGGGATCCGAGGTGTCGGGACCTGCCTCCTCCAGCAGCTGCTTGGGCACTGCAACGAGACACAGGACACACACACACACACACGCATCGCTCTGAGCGTCACCACCCCGCTCATCCCCACGGCCAGCTCCTGGTCCTGCTCTCACCGCAGGTGTAGGAGACCCGCAGCTGCTTCTTCGTGCCGGGCAGGCACGGGTCCCCGAAGGTGGCCCAGTCAGCGGCCACGGTGCAGTTCCCCTTGCGGTGACACTTTTTGGAGACCCTCCTCAAGGCATCCGGAGCCAGGCACTCTGCAGAGACAAGCGGTGTGGACCTGTAGCCATCAGCACGGTGCTCCTGCGCTCTTCCCAGATGTAATTTGGGCTCAAACCGTGTCCCCCCATGCCCCCCAGTACCGATATGGGGTCCCCCGGCGTTTGGTGCGTCACACTCAGGCTTGCCCCGCAGGAATCGTCCGTAATGCGCAGAGTAAATGGCCAGGACGGATTTCGGCCGGCACTGCAGCCTCAGCACGTTGTTCTCGCACACCGTCTTCACCCGATGGTTGTCTGGGGTGACACCGCAGGGTGTCCCGACACAGCCCCAGTCCCCCCAAACCCCCTCCTCTTACCCAGCCACAGGGTTCCAGAGGTGCCCCCGTGGCGCTGCCCACCTGGCCGGCACTTGTAGGACGCGATGAGGTACTTGTGCGTCCCGGGGCACGGGTCTGGCCCGAAGACTTGGCTGTGCACCGAGAACTGGCACCACTGCTGGTCCTGACACTCGGCCAGCAGCTTCTGCAGGGCACAGCGGGATGGAGGTGAGCAGCAGCAGGGAGCCCCCAAGGCGGATCTCACCTCGGCGCTGTCGCTGGGCTCGGGGCCAAGCCCTCACCCCACAGGAGGTGTCCAGTGGCTGCTGGCACCCCCGCCACGGTCACTCGGCCTCGTGGGTGGCTTTGGTGGCCCCATGCAATGCGCGCTCATGGCCACGAGGTGGGGACGAGGCTGCACGCAGCACCCTGTCCTGCTGGTCCGGAGGAAGGGGACATCCTGGGGACATCCTGGGGACATCCCGAGGACATCCTGGGGACATCCATCAGCTTTTGCTGCTGGCTGCGCTGCAGCAGAGCCTCTCCCCAAGCTGTTCTCGCCAGGATCCAGCGCAGGAGGTGCCACCCACCTTCCCCAATCTCCCCAAAATGCCCCCAGGAGAAGGTCCCCAAAGGTTCCCCGCGCTGCCACCAGCAGCGGGACACTGCCCTTACCAGGTGGGCTGTGGGGGACGTGCACTCGGTGTTCTCCTGGGACGCATTGCCCGGGCTGGGACAGAGGTTGGGGCTGGGCACGCGGCGCCCGTAGAAGGCGCCCAGGATGCTGATGGTGGTCTTGCGAGGGCAGAGGATGAGGAGCTGCTCCCCGTCGCACGTGTGGGTGGTGTGGTTCCTCAGCACCTTGCGTAGGTACCCTGGGTGTGGGGAGCGAGGGGGTCACCCGGAGATGGTCACCCAGGGACGGTGAGCAGGGGTGACCACCAAGAGGTGACCACCAAGAGGTGACCACCAAGAGGTGACCACCTGGAGATGATCACCTGGAGATGATCACCAGAAGTGGCCACCCAGAGGTGATGCCCAGAAATGACCCCCCAGAGATGACCACCAGGAGGAGATGATCACTAACAGAGGGCCTTTCCTTGCCCGCACCCTTTTGGAGTCTTTCTCTCCCCAAATTCCCAGCATGGGGTATTTCTCTGTCTTAATCCTACCTCCTCGGTGTCCCAAACCTCTTACCCTATTATTTTCCCTCTGTTATTTGGAGGTTTGGAAGTGGGGACAGGGCGGGACGCCACGTGCCAGGGAGGATGCAGGATGCTGAGGGACGCAGGACGCGAGATGCTGGGTTCACAGGGTGCAGCCAGCAGCCTGGCAGCCCCCAAACCCACCCAAACAGCTGCGAGCCTCAGCTCCCAGCCCTGCACTTGTCCCTCTGCCCGTCTGTCTGCAAACCAGGGCCGGGCTTGGCACAAAGAGCCCCTTTCACCTCCCCTGTGGCCACAGGTCCACGGAGCCACCCCCGGCCAAGGGGGGACAGCGGGGACGTGGCCGGGCTTTGTGCTTCAAAGCCCTGGTGATGGAGGCACTGCGCTGCCTCCACCCAGCGCTGCCACGCGCTTGTTTTTGGGGGCAAAAAAAAAAAAAAAAAAGCAGCGAGGAGGCTGCCGTCAGATTTTGTGAGTGATTATCCTCGCCTGCCGCTGACTCAGTCCCCGTCGCTGCGGTCGTGCAGTTGGCTCTGCCCAGATGAAATCACATCCTCCCCGCCGCGCTCTGGGGCACCTTTCTGGGTGCTGGGGCAGGCTGGGCGGGCGCGGGGCTGTTCCCAGCACATCTCCCAGGGGATCTTGCCCTTGGTGTGCCCCGAAACCGTGCACCCCACAACTCCCACTCACCCCCAAACCTCACTTGTGCCCCAGCCCTTGTGGTCCCCCGTGTGCCACTCACCGCCAAGCTCTGGGCTGGCCTCCATCCCTGCAGGCAAGCAGAGGAGGACCAGGGCCACCACGACCAGTGGCCACCATGGTGCCACCGCCCCGCTGCGCCGCTGCCCACTGGTCCCCGTGGCAGCTGGCGCCGGGGCGGGGGCTGGCACGGCGGTGACAATGGCTCCTTCTGTACCCCGCGGAGGGACACCGGGGCCGCTTCGGACAGCTGTGGCTGCATGGGGACCGGGAGGAGGGGAATGGGGTTTTGAAGGCTCTGTAGGGCCGAGCAGCTGCTCGGCAGCTGAGCAGATCGAGGGGGCTCAGCCGGGTCCCCAGCCTGTCCCCAGGAGGGGGGGATGCAGGGCGACCACCCGGATGCACGTGTGCCCTAATCTCCATCTCGGCACGCGTCCGGTCATTCAGTGCCGGGGGAGGAAGGGAAGGGCTGGCGGCACTGCCTCCCGTGTCTGCCTGTACCCATGGGCACCTCGCCTCGTTCGCCAGCCTCAGATGAACTGCAGCGAGGTCTGAGCCTACCCAAGCTGGAGCGGGGCTGGTTCAAGCAATCGGGGTGCAATAAAAAATAAAATAAAAAAAAAATAATAATAATAAACAAAAACAAACAAAAAAACCACCAATCATTTTATGCAAAGCAACCAAAATGAAGAAAAAATACAACTTTTTAACTCGACGCTCGGCACTGACGCTGTGGTACCGCTGCACAAGCCGGGGCTCGCCCAGGCTGGGAGAGGAGGGGAGCCCGGGGGTGCCGGGAAGCCTGCCTGCTCCGGGCCAGCCGCCAGCCCCATCCGACAGCGAGCGCTTCCCTCCCATCCTGGGGAGGAAAGCAGGGCAGTCATCTTTCCTGTGAAACAGCCCAAATTCCAGGAATGGGGCCCTGGACGCCAGACACCCCCCCCTCCTTCCCCTCCTTCCCATCACCGCGCCCCGATGCGCTCCGTCCTCTTTTTGCTTTCCCTCCTCGGGCGTTTTGCAATGCCTTCCTGCCAGGGGCTGGCTGCGAGGAGGCGGTGGCAAGCAGCCAGGCCGTGCTGCTCGCCCTCTGGGCTTCCCCAGAGCCTCTCCTTGTCCTCGCAGCGGGGTGGGCACCCTGCCTGCACCCCAAACCCGTGGGGTCCCGCGGGGCAGCGGCGCGAGATGCTCAGAGGGCGGAGGGGAGCAACAGGGAACGGGGCTGGGAGGGTGGCGAAGGGGTAGATGCAGACACTTCCTGTGCCATAAAAAAAAACCAAACAACCAAAAAACAACCAAAAAAACACAAAACCCAAGCAAAACAAACCACCACCAAACCCCGTCTCCCATCGGGGAGCTGGCGGCAGCAGGCAGCGGGCTGCTTGGAGGCGCCTGGGCGGGTGCGATAGCCCGGCTGGGGACCCGACAGCGCATCCAGATAGACCCGTGCTGAGTCACAGCTGGGAGGCCCCGCAGCTTCCCCCTCCTTGCCTGCACCCCATCGCTCCTCCCCGCTTCAAAAAGGGAAGGAAAGGGCGAGCCCCAGCCCCAGCCCCGGCCCCAGCCCGGTGAGAGGTGCTGCAGCTGCGCGCCGCAGAGGACGGGCGAAACTCAGCGCAGCGCTGAGCGGGTCACCCTCCCCTCCCCAGCAGCTCGCCACGCCGTCGGGATGGAGAGCCGGCCCTCGAAGGAGCCCGAGATCGAGCTCTTTGTCAAGGTGGGCTTGGCGAAGCCAGGCGGGTGCTGCGGGTGGGGGGCAGGAGGTGCCGCTGGCCCTCGTTGCGCTTTGGGAGAGCCGGCGGGGTGGCGTGGGGAGCAGCCGGCCCCGGGGGATGCTGTGGTCCAGCGGTGGCCCTGCAGCCCTGAGAGCCATAAAAACAGCCAGGGAGAGGGGTGAGCGTGCTCGGGGACCCCAATAAGACGAGCCACAGGTGGGAAAAGCACCAGGAGGGTGGGAACGCAGCAGGGCAGCTCCTCGAGCGGCTGCTAGGAGCTGGCGTTGGGAAACAGAGCGGGTGCCCACGCGTGGGCGGGATGGGGCGGCTTCTTAGGTCAGCCCTGAGGATTATTCACTGGAAATGGGTTTTGCTCTTTCTCTCTCTCTCTCTCTTTTTTTTTTTTTCTCCTTCCATTGAGCAATTTTTCAAGTGCTTCCTCGGGAACGTTTCGAAACACTCCCGTTCCAAACAGCTGCAGCCGCGCGGTCTCTGCTCCCCTCCTTGGAAATCAGTGCCGGGAAGGGTCACCCGAGGCTCTGCCCCCGTCCCCTTGCCAAGGCGCTGCTCGCTGGGTGCCGAGCTCAGGCTGAGCCCCGTGCGGGGTATTTGCTGGGAGAAAATCCTTCAATTTAAGATTTGAGACCTTCAGGAGGTCTCCAATTCCCCCTTCCGCACCGCTTTTCACCCCAGGATGGGTGGGGAGAGGAGGACGGCGCCTGGTGAGGCGGCTGCGATGGCGGCACCACGTTTGAGGGGGGTTTTGGAGGGAAGGGAAACAGAAAACAAAGCAGCGGCTGTAGGACTTCCCCTAAATCTTAATTTAGCACCAAAAAACCCTTCGCGGGTGTCTGTCAGCAACGCGATGCTGCGCATCACCCCCGGAGCCCTCAGGAAACGGCGCCTGCCTCTAGCTCACCCCAAGGTGCTCCTGAGCTTTTTTTTTGGGGGGGAGGAATTTCGGGCAGGTCTGGGGGACGTTGAGGTGATGCAGGTCGGGGTGCTCCTTCCTCCTCGCGCTGCTTCACCGAGAGCAAAACCACAGGAACTTCTGAGCAACGTTGGGGTTTCGATGCCTCGTGCAACCGTGGGGCCTCGGGGTTGGGGCTGAGAGGCTGCGCCTCCCGGGCTGGGCTTGCCCATGGTCTTGGAGGGGTTTATTCATCATCTGGAGGGGTTTATGCATTTATTCGTCATCTGGAGAGCTTTCTCCATCATCTGGAAGGGTTTCTCCATCATCTGGAGGGGTTTCTCCATCATCTGGAGGGGCTCATCCATCATCGGGAAGAGTTCAGCCGTCACCTGCAGGGCTTCATCCCTCATCCTGATGGGTTCCCGCATCCTCTGGATGGGGAAACGGGGAGCAAAGTCAGACAGGGTGGGGCCGGGGGCTGCTGGAGCCTGCGCCGAGCAGAGGAAGAGGCTGTTGCTGGAGAAGGAAGCGGAGAGCGATGACTTCCCCTCCTCGCTGCTCGGCTTTCGCTGCGGAGGGAAGGCACGTGGCCTCCCCAAAGCTTCCCCCGCGCTCCCTGCTGCCCACGAGCACCGGGGGAGCTTCCTCTTGATAAAGATTTGTTTCTGAGCATCCGAGGATGGGCTCTGGCTTAGGTTTGTGTTCTGTTTTTTCCTGCAGAGGCCGTCCTTGTTTTCCTTTCAAGGTGGCCTCACCGAGCTGCTGGTGCAGGAGGTGCCCCAAGGGTTGATGTTGGTGTTGGCTTTTGGGGGATGGAGTTGGGAAGGGAGTGGAGATGCTCAATGGCACAAGAGCAGGGCAGCCCTGGAAGCCGTCTCCTAACCCTCCAGCCCCTCTCAGGGCACCTAGACCCAAATTTTACCCATTCCCAACTTAACCAACTGCTTAAAGATTAGTTTCGTTCTGGAAAGACTGGAAGGTGGTGGCGTGGTGGAAAGGCAGAGCATCGCCTCCAGCCCAGGGGAACCAGGCACGGGGGTCCCTGCATCCTCAGCTCCTGAAGCATCCTCTTCCTCCCTGCTTACATCCACGTCGGCGTGGGCAGGGATGGAGCTGGAAGCCCCCCGGTGGTGCTACCCCAGCCCCTTTTCCACCCTGGGACGTGGACGATGTTTGTGCCTCCTGCTGGGGGAGCCGTGCTCGGCCTCTCGAAGCGCGCAGCAGACGAAAACAAGCTGCGCTTTTCCTGGCAAACATGAGAACATTTCCCCTCTCCGGCCTGGCCTCCCGGCCAAGCTGACCCTCCCTTCCTGTCCCATCCGCTATCAATCCTCCCTCCTCCTCCTCCTCCTCTTCCTCCTCCTCTTCCTCCTCCCGGCTTTATCTTGGATCTCCGGGAAGGCTCCGACCCCCGGCCATCCTGAGGGTGCTCCCTGCTCTCCCCGCAGGCTGGTCTGGATGGAGAGAACATCGGGAACTGCCCCTTCTGCCAGCGCCTCTTCATGGTGCTGTGGCTCAAGGGGGTGAAGTTCAACGTCACCACGGTGGACATGACCAGGTGAGGTGCCACCGCCGCGCTCCAGCCCCGTGCAACCATGTGTGGGCATCCTTGGCACCCAGGTCCAAGGGCAGAGCCAAAAGTTGGGGGGCACCTCAGAGCCTCCCCCAAACCCGGTCTAGAATACCAGAGCCTGGTCCTGTGCGCCCTCCCCAGCTTGGCCCTTTTATTTTCTCTGCTCCAGGAAACCCGAAGAGCTGAAGGATTTAGCGCCGGGCACCAACCCACCCTTCCTGCTGTTCAACAGGGAGCTGAAAACTGACTTCATCAAGATCGAGGAGTTCCTGGAGCAGACCCTGGGCCCCCCCACGTAATTGCAGACCCGCCTCGGGCTGGGCGGGTGGGGAAACCGAGGCAGGAGAGCGGGGCCGGGGCGGGGGACGGGGACAGAAAACAATGGGAGGAAAGGCAGCGGGGCTGGGGATGGAGCTGGGATGGGGGGGGGGGGGAGGCGGTGCCAGGTTTCCCCGTGGATTTTGGGTGGTTTTGCAGCCGGCAGCGGTGACTGATGGCTGGTCTCTCTGAAGGTACCCGCACCTGAGCCCCAAGTACAAGGAGTCCTTTGACGTGGGCAGCGACATCTTCGCCAAGTTCTCGGCTTACATCAAGAACCCGCGCAAGGAAGCAAACAGCAGTAAGAAAAACGGAGAGGGGGCGGACGGGGGGGCACAAAACCTGCTGAGGGTGAGGGAGGTGGCGGGGAGAGGGTGTTTGGCTGAAGGCAGCACGTGTTGACCCCCCCGCTGCCCTCCCAGACCTGGAGAAGGCGCTGCTGCGGGAATTTCACCGGCTGGACCAGTACCTCAACAACCCGCTGCCCGAGGAGATCGACCAGGACAGCGTGGAGGACATCACGGTCTCCAAGAGGAAATTCCTGGACGGGGACCACCTGACGCTGGCCGACTGCAACCTCCTGCCCAAGCTGCACATCATCAAGGTAAGGGCACCCAGGGTCATCGGGCTGGGGGGCACCCCGCGAGCAGGGTCTCAGCCTCCTCCTCCTCCTCCTCCTCCTCTTTTTCCTCCTCCTTCTCTTCCTCTCCAGATCGCGGCCAAAAAGTACCGCGACTTCGAGATCCCGGCTGACATGACGGGCGTCTGGCGCTACCTCAACAACGCCTACGCCTGCGATGAGTTCAGCCACACGTGCCCGGCGGACGAGGAGATCATCCACACCTACGCCAGTGTGGCCAGGAAGATGACCTAGCCCCGCTGCAGGACCGCCGGGCCCTCCGCCTCCCACCATACCCTGGTCGAGAGAGGGGCTGGAGGGGGGTTTTTGGCACCCCGAGACCCCGAGCTGTGGAAGCAGCACCTTGCTTTGCACCCCCCCTCCCGTGCGTGCCACCACCTACGGACCGGTGGCTGCGTGGCCAAAGTGGCAACCGTGCCACTGTGCCTCCCCTCCTTGCCCTCCCCCAAAAAAAAACACAAACCCAACGCCCTGCTCTCGTGACACGCCACGGGAAAAGCCAAGCACCGGGCTGCCGTGGTGGAGACGAGACCTCCCCAAAGGTCCCCCCACCGCCCGTCCCACGAGGCACCCGGGCTCCAGCTGGAGACCCCAAAAAGCTCTTCCCCTGCTGTTTGGCTGCGGGGGTCTCCTTGCAGACCTGCAGCCCATCAGGGCACCCTGAAGGGGCCAAGTGGTGCCGGCTGTGATCTCCCACCTGGCCCCTGCTGGATACAAGACCCTGAGGGTCCCCGCAGGGGATGCAGCCACGTGCAGCCCCCCGCCCGCTGCCCCTTCCCTGCTCCCACCTGGTCTGGGAGACACCCGGGCAGCTTTGGTGCCAGCCTGGCTCCGTTTTTGTGCCTTCCCACCCGGTGCCAAAGCCCCCTGGCCTCCCCACTCCACCCCTCCACCTCCTCCAAGGGCTCCTGCCCACGCCTGCCAATTCCACCAGCCCCCTCGAGCCCCCCGTGGCCACCAAAAAATACTGTACAGTGAGCGCCAGGGCCCCGCGGGGACCCCCCCCCCCCCGGCAGAGCCACCCGCCAGCTCTCACTGCCACCTCCCTCTTTGCACTAAAAGGTGTGTCCTCGCCAGCCTGCTCCCACAGCACCGGGTTTGGGGACTGCTTTTGTAACTGATGGGTTTCGGGTTGTTTGTTGGGTGTTATTTTTTTTTTTCTTTTTCTATTTTGTAACTAAGAACAGCAATAAACTTTATTTTAATACGCCTCGCTCGCCCCCTGTCAGCGCCATGATCACCCCCGCCCCAAGGCCAATCCCAAGGTGTCCCTGTCCCCTTGGCAGGTCACAGAGGGTCCCGGGACTCCTCTTTTTTGGGGCCCTGCTCTGCCTGGACAAGGGCATCCCCTTCAGCTCCCTCTGCCTGTGACCCCACAGCAGCCCCATCCTTGGGTCCAGCCGTCAGCACAAACGTTTGGGTTCAACGGGGAGGTGGCGACGGGGATGGCCCCCAGCCCCTGTGTCCTTGCACAACCCCAGGGGCAGGGTGCCAGGAGCTCGGCCAGCCCAAGCACTAGACTATGGAGGTATTTTCCTATCATTGGGCACGTGGTGGAGTTGCTAAAGCTCTGGAAGTCCCCGTGAGTCAGCCGAGGGGCAAAGAGGAGCCGCGCGCCCGCTCCCTTCCCAGCAGTGCCAGGCAGCAAGGTGGTGGCCCGACCCTGGGAGGCTTTTTGGAAGAGGTTGGAAGGGACCTGAGGTTTTGGAAGAGGTTGTCCTGCCTTCGGCTGCAAGCCTTGAGCAGGTCGCCAGGAGCCTGTGAGTTTTGGGGCATGCAGAGGTCCTTTTTTTATGGCCCCCAGCCTCCCCTGGTGCCCTGCGAGCCGGACGCGTGCATCGGGTGCGTCGGCGCTTCTCCTGCCTCAGCCACCCGTCCCGGTGACAGGAGGGGACTGTCACTGCTCCCACAGCTCTGTCCCTCCTCTGTGAGGACACCTGATCAACCGATTTGGGTTTCCAGGGGCTCTGCTGCGTGCCGGGGCTGTGCTGGGGATGGAAGAGGGAGGGAAGGCGGAGAGGTGACCCCGTGCCCGCGGCGGGTTGGGAGAAGAGGACACGGGGACGAAGCACACAGATCCACATTCAGGCTGTTAGATCCCTGCAAGCCAAAGGGACTCTGGTTGAACATCACGCGAGGCATGGCCAGTGCTGGGGCCTGGATGTTTTTTTGGCTCCAACACCCACCTTTTTTCTCTGGAAAGCCGGCGGATGGAGGACCGGCAGCCAGCGCTCCAGCGGCGGGGTCACGAAAAGGGGTTTTCCTGGGAAAATAGCTACCACAGCATCAGCCAGCTGGGATGGCTTCCCTTTAAACCTCTTCGCCTGGGAGGCTCAGCTCAGAGAAATCCAGCTGGCAGAGGTCCCTTGGGTGGCCTCAGACCGGTTGCCTCTGCTGGGACAGCATGGTCCTGGTGGTGCCCTTCCCTGGAAGCAGCCAGGGAGAGTGTCACGGGTCTCTGGAGCAGGGTGAGAAGGCACCAAGGCACCAAGCCGGCTGCTTGGAGCACTCCTCAGCCTGCCCCTGAGGATGGGGGGCACAGGGAGCTGTGGGGAGCAGAGGCGGAGGGGTGACAGCGCGCCCCAGACACCAGCCCAGCACCCTGCAGACACTTGCCACGCGTCCCCAGACGAGGGCACTCCCAGCCCAGGGCACGAGATGGGAAATGCTCTGCAGCGAAGCCACCCCTGGGGCCACCTCCCAGCCCAGGGCTTGGCCCCAGCGTGGTTTGGGCACCCTCCCTCGGGTCCTGCCGCGGAGCTACCCACGGAGAAGCCGCATGGGCCAGGATGAGGAGTGCCCCAAAACCACCTTGGGCAGCCCACACCACATTTTCTCCAGCCCCAGCCCCCTGCATCTCTGCCTCCTGCCTCGTCCGACGCCAAGCAGGGCTCTCCCAGGGCCCTGGCTGCTGGCAAAATGCTAGAGCCGAGCTGGGCTCTGTCATTTCAGGAGCTGCCGTCTCCCTCGGGTTTGTTAAGTGCCGGATTTCCCATGCGGCAGCTGCAAAAGCCCCGCGAGCCCCCGCACTGCAAAATTCCCCTCTCCAATATTTCGGTAGCTGGCAGCTCAGCTCTCCGAGAATTAGTAATGAGAAATACCCTCTTGATGGTCCCTGATGGGCTGCTTCTAATAAAGAGCCGTTCCCAGCTGCACCCCCCTGGCCGCTTTGATCTGGCACCAGCAGGCGCTCACAACACCAACGGCACGGGGAGCAGGCAGAAGAGGGGGTGAGTCAGAGAATTTCGGGGACTTCATCGGCAAATACCCGCAGGCACGATGCTGAGGGGTACCCTTGGGGCCCATCCCCACCTCTCCGGGTGCAGCATGGGGCAGGAGCCAGGCTCAGCTGGTGCGCGCAGTAAGGATGGAGGGGACGCGATGCCGCTCGGGTGGGGGGCTGCCCCTGCACGGCCCCCTCCCACGAAACATTTTAACGCCTGCAGAGACGGAGCAGAGGCTCTGGGCGGGCAGACCAAGCCGTGCGCCGTGGCACCAGGTCTCCAGCGCTGCACGTGGGCGCGCGGCCCTGCGCTTTCTCACGGTGGCTCTGCGCAGCCCCGCGCCTGCCAGGTGGTGCGATCTACCCCCCCAAAAAAAAAAAAAAACAATCAGAAACTCGTGCTGCTGAAATGCCAGCGCGAAATGTCAGCGCTCTCTGCCTTTTTCCACTCTCGCCGTTTCTGTTTCGCAGAGAGGCTCCGCTGCTGCTCCAACCCCCTGGGCTTGGGTGGCTCCTGCTGCGGCGAGCGCCTCGCCTGAGTCACCCGCGGGCTCGGAAAAGGGCTGCCCGTCTTCCGCGCCCTGAGAGCTGGCAGGCTGCTAGAAAAGCACCCGCTGCATCCCAGAATGAGCCCAGCAACCAGCCCAGCAGTGGTCCCAGCACCTCCCAGTAGAGGAGCCTGGCTGGCACGGTGCTCGGCACCGAGTGCCACCTCCGGGTCACCGGCGCGTGGATGTGACCTGAATTTTTGGGTTGTATTTTTTTGATGCTGGGCAGCTGCAAGCAGGGCAGGGTCTCCACTCCTGGAGGTTTCCAAGCAGAAGCAGGGTGTGCATCTGCGGAGCTCCCCGAGGAGATAAGCACCGCGGAGCTGCCGGGCACCAGGGGGCTGCAGAGCAGCAAAAGCAGCCCTGGGGCTTGGGTACGGGGAGCTTGGGCAGAGCAAAGGCATCAAAAAACTCCAAGGAAAGATTAAAAAAAAAAGAAAAAGAAAAAGAAAGAAAGGAAGAAAAGAGGGTACTGAGTGGGAGGGAATGTCAGCGTGGAACATTTTGCCGAGGATTTACAGATTACACCGCTTTTGCCTCAAAACCTCAACCCCCTCTGAAGTCTGCCTGATGTGTAGATGGGGGAAATTCTTCTGACTTGGCTTTTGGGTTTGCTTTCTAAACACCTGAAAATGAAAAAGGCCATTTCACATGGCCCGGCCTGACAGCAGGTGCTTCTCCCACCCCCCCAATTTTTAATTTTTTTTTGTGGTAGTGAAAAAAGAAAGTGAAACCAGAGAAGGAAAATCAGACTCTCTTGTTCCAGCTGAGCCCGAGATGAGCCCTGGTGAGGCACCACCCAACACACCTGCCCCTGGGACGGACAAAAACCCCAGGACACCCCTCTGGGGACAGCCCCAGAGAGGGGCAGCCCCTCGTGCCACCGCGGGGGCCTTTCCCAAATCCAGACTGAGCTTCACAGGTCCAGGAGCCTGGAGAGGAGGGATAATAAATCCATCCTGCTGAGGAACCGGCCTTTTTGGCGTGCTGTCATTTCCCCCAGGGAAGCCCAAATTTCCCAGCAGCTTCCCCAGGCCTGGCAGCACTCGTCCTGTGGCACAGAGGCAATAAGCGAGCTCCCATCATAAATTAGTGTTATTCAAAAATAACTGGGCGCAATCAGTCTATCCAGACAGGATTAAAAAAAATAAAATTAATCTCCTCTAATAAAAGAGACATTTGGATACAGAGAGAGGCATCAGTGCGCACACACTTCTGTAGGTGGATAAATAGATAAAGGTGGGGGGGGTTCAGCCGGGGCTCCTATTCCTCACATTTTGCCTCAGAAGCCCCCAAAACCATGGAGGGATGCTCTGAGGACGTTGCTGCCACCTGTCCACGGAGTGTGCCCACGTGGGACGTGCCGAGGGGCACCGGGCAGGGGCAGCCTGGTGCTGCCCGCCCCGTGTCACCCCGCTGCGTGCCACTGTCCCCCGGCTGCAGCTCGGTCCTCGGGGGGGGGACAGCACAGGGGAGCTGCTCCTCGTCCTCCTCTTTGCTGACCGGCAGCTTGACAGAGCTGAGGGGCACCCAGCACCCGGCCCCGCTCTCCTGCAGCTCCCCAGGGCTGAAGCTGATGGTTTGCAGGGAGGGACGAAGGCTGACGGCCGCTCCTGGAGCTGCCCACGGGCACTTGGAATAAAGCTGGAGGCGCAGGGGGAGCCACGTCTCGGATGTCCCATAGTCCCCATCTCTCGTGCTGCTGTCAGTGGATGGCATCGCGGCATCCCCATCACGCTCCTCCTCCTCTTCCTCCTCCTCCTCCTCCTCCTCCTCCTCCTCCTCCTCCTCCAGCCGCAGCGATGCCCAGGTGCCCAGCGCCTGCCCGGGCTGGCTGTGGGTGCAGGACGTGTCCCATCCCTCGGGACGGGACGTCCCAAACCCATTGGGGCAGTAACCACTCGGTTCTTGGGGACGCCTCGCCCTGGGTTGTGGTGGGGCTCCAGGCGCTGCCGGCTCCTCTCCAGCAGGCAGCAGCAGGGCGAGCGCATCCTCCCGCGGCACGAGGGTGGGCACCCCGCTGCTCCTGTCCAGAGGGGCCTGGGGGAAAGCAAGCAGCAAAAGCAGTCGGTCCCGGCTTGCCAAAATCCCAACCGGTGCGCAAGCGAGCCCCATGCAGCTGGCCACCGACTCCGCATGAGGTACGGGGGGCTTCGTAGCCTGGCAGGTCACTTGTGTGCCCAGAGGTGCCACCCACAGTCCCGGGAAATGGGATTAAAGAGGGGAAAAAGGATCTGGGGAGATGGGCTGCCCTGGTGAGTGTTTCCATGGGGCTTTTCCTGTAGGAAATGGAGATTTATGGCTCCGTTCTGCTGGCTGAGAATACCCTGGGTGAGCCCAGCAGCACTGCAGCCCCCCAGAAAAATTTCTGAATTTTCCCAGAAATTGCAAAGACAGCATCTCCTCCCATGCAGCAAGACTTGGGAGCACTGGGACGCCCGGAGGGGTGGAGGGAAGGAGGTGCAGGGATCCCCGTGGCCGTCACTCACCAGCGTTTTCGGGAGGCGCATCTCCGAGGGCTTCGGGGAGATGTACAGATGGAGCAGGCAGAGCCCGGCCACGCTCAGCAGCAGGAAGGTGGCGTTCAGCAGCAGCGAGGAGGACCCAGGGGAAGCCTGCTGGGACGGTCCCCACGGGGTTGAGGGGTTGAGGGAGCTCCTGTGCCAAGCAGCATCCCCCCGAAATGGGTCTGGCGCTGAGCAGATCAGCCCAGGCTGTGCGACCCGTGGGGAGGACGCGGCGAGCTCTCACCTGCAGGAGCTGCCGGGGTCAGCAGGCATTGCTCAGCCTCCCGGCTGCGTTCGGGGGCCGTGCCCACGGCCATGGTGCGCACACAGTACCGCGTGCTCTGCTTCAGGTGCCTGAAGGTGCAGGGTGCTCCCCTCCCGCTCCGCCTGCAGGGCACCTGCAAGCCGAGGGGACGCGTGGCCGAGGCACCGAGCGTCGTTGCCTGTGCAAAGACCCCCCCCATCCCCGTGTTTCCATCCCCAAATTGTTCATTTTTCAGTACGCCTGCAAGCCAGAAGAGGAAAAGGGGTCCCCTTCCACCCCCTGATTTTGGGGGGGGTGCAAACCATCAGCCCCCTCGTATCCGCTACCACCCTTTGCGCAATGGGGTGCGGGCTCCAAAGCATCCCCGTTGCACCAGGGAACTTCTGCATGCCCCGTGCCCTTTTTGCCTGTGTCCCCCCCCCCCTGCCACGCACTTGCTGGGTGAGCACCTCCCCGTCGTAGAGGTGCAGCCAGTACCACAGCTTGAGCAGCACTTTGTTGACCGGTTTGTAGGAGCCCTTCTTGCTGCGGAACGGGGTGAGCGGCACGCTGACGTTGATGCTGAGGCTGTGGCCCTGGAACAGCCAGGACAACGTGGGGGGGCCCACAATGGCTGTAGGGAGAGGAAAAAAAAATTAGGAGGAAGCAGAAGAAGCCTTCAAAACATCTAGTTTCTCTAGAAATGTCTCTCGTAGAAGTTATGCTGTTCTGATCCTCCTGCCCTCACCAGCCTGCTGTGACAAAACTGCCCTCAGCCAGCGCCTCTTGCACCCCCGGCTGGGATGAACAAGGGATGCTTTTAGATGTGAAGGGACATCCCATCCCTTTTGCTTCCCCATCTCAAAGCCTTCTCCAAAAACCCACATTCCTGATGGCCTGGGGTGTCCCATCGAGGGTTTTCATCTCAACTGCGTCTCCTCCTCCATCCCCTTTCTCTACACTGAGCCCTTTTCCTTGCTCCCCTCCCTGTTCCTCTGCCCGGGCACTTTTCCCACCTCTCCAAGGACCTCTCTGCCCATCAGCCCCCCCAGGAGGGGCAGGGATGTGGTTGAAGGTGCTCCCTGGTCCTTACTGTCTCTGTATGGCTGCAGCTCGTTGGAATAGACCCACGGGGACAGCTCGCCGCCCTCGGCGGCTCTCACTCTCGCCCAGTAGATATCGTAGATCTCGCCGAAATACAGCTGGCACACCCAGGACGAGCCCGTGTGGTTCCCCCAGGAGGCAGTCTGCCCTGGTCCAACTGGAGGTTCTGCCCACAGAGAAAATGCAGGGAGAAGGTGCCAGAAGGAAAAACCCTTCCCTGGCCAACAAACATCCAAGCGAGAGGGGTTGGAGAGCAAGATCCAGGCACGGGCTGCACTAAGGGCATCACCAGCTGAAGTGCAGGAGCGAGCCCAGCAGAGGTCCAAAAAGACCACCTGGGAAGGCTCAGCCCCAAAAGGAGCGAGGAGATAAGGTCTTTGGGGCAAGGAGACCTTATCAACGCGGGCAGGCTCCCAGTGGAGCGACGCTGGTGGAGCTGGGAGCCTCTTGGTGCTGCCCAGCGAAAGGACAGGAGGCGAGGGGCAGGGACTGAAATACAAAACTCCTGTTTGAGCACGGGGAAATAACGAGCTGCTCTCTGCGTTTCTATTATTAGGGGATGTTTACTACGGGAAAGCAGTCCTCGGGCTCCTGGGGGGCACCCTGCTGGGGTGCCGAGCCCGTGCAGAGCACCTACCGCCTCTTCCACTCCACCTGGTACGTGGCCTCGCCATGGGTGCGCGGGTCCTGCTCCCACCACAGCTGCACGTGGAAATTTTGGGCTTCCAGCCTCACGTCCTGGGGTGGGAACGGCAAGCCTGGAGGGAGCAGGGGGGGGGCGTGAGGCTCTGCACCCCACTTTGCATATCCCAGCATCCGCGTGCCCCGTCCTCCTTGGCCACGTCGCGGGGGTCCCCCCGCTTTGACCAAGCGCCCCCTGCACCCAACCTCCCCGCGGGTGTGTTTTGTTGCTCAAAGAGCCGTCCCCGTGGTTTTTCCCAGCTGTGAGGCCACTTCGTGGTGCCACTGCCCGGTGCAGGACTCACCCTGGAGCAGGGTGCAGCCAGCCAGTGACAGCAGCAGGCTCAGCGCCGGGCTCATCCCTCAGCCATCTGCTCTACATCGCCGCGCCGCATCCCGCCGTGTGCTCGAGCACTTTGGCCACCCGTGGCCACGCCGGGCAGCCAGGACCTGGGATTATAAAAAACAGGACTTGTTTTTTTTCCCCCCCACAAAGCTGCTGCAAACACACCTTGCCCAGAGGCTGCGTGCATCGTGGCACGGGGTGCCACCTCCGCAGCCTGCTGGGGACCCTGCACTGTCCCCACTGTCCCCCCACGACGGGGGCTGCGGTGGCCAGGGGGTGCACGGGGACAGCTTGCCACCCCTTGCCCCACTGTGCTGCGGCCACCTCCTGCTGCAGCTGCCTTGGTCTGCTCATGCAGCACACCTGGGAGCTCGGGGGAAGCCCACAGAAGGCAAGCACTGGCGCTGCCAGGATCTGGGTGTGTTTGGGACAGCACTCAGACCGGCACGACCGGTGGCACCGGTGCTGTGACCCCGAGGGATGAGATGAGGAGGATGCCAGGCATGCCTGCACCCTGGCTGGGCAAAACAGGGCGCCCCCAGCCATCGGAAAGCTCCGAAACCCACCCAGCGGAGCAGCATTTATGCCCAGCAGTGCTTGCTCCTGTTTTTTTTAGCTGCCCCACGTGGAGGTAGCTCCCCGCAGCCCTCTTCCCCCAGCGCCACCCGGGTTCTCCCTACCTTCAGCCGTGCAGCTGCCCATTTGCGCCCTGCTGTGGTGGGAATGCCTTGCAGCAAACAGCTTTGGACTCCAAGCCCAGGTCTAGTCCAGCTCCAAAACCCCACGTTAGCCTTTGAGATGCTCTGAGCTCCCACTGGAAGTATCTCCAGACGCTTGCCCACCGTTTTGGCCACCTGCTCGCAGGGGACAAGCCACCGGTTGCGTCCTCCGTGCCCGACCCAGCTGCACTTGGAAGCCAACAGAGACGTTCCAGGGCACAACACGTGATGTTGCTTTGGTGGTTCGTGGGTGTTTTTTTTTTTTACCCCTGGGTCAGGTTTCTTCTCTCTTCCTTCCTCCTTGACTCGGTTACCTTGCTGCAGGCTCCACCAGGCTCTCAGCTGGCTCAGCAGTGCCCTCTGCAAGCTGTTCCCCAAATCGGCGCCTCCCTGGGTTTTAAGCCTTCGGGCATCACCCAGTGCAGATGCTGCTGGTTGGCACCCACAGGACACCCTCCAAACAGCGGGACCCCAAGGGAGCAGGAGGACGAGCACCAGGCTGATGCTCTGCCAGAGGACCACACTGTGCGACCCCTGCAAAGCAAGCAGCAGCTGCAGCCTGAGGTGGGCTCCTTGGGGACGAGGCTGTCACCGACACCACACCAGCAGGGCTGCAGGGACAAGGACACGCAGGCACCGGGCAGACAAACTCTTTAATGTTATCCTCATTGAGAACACCTCGCACTTATTGCCCCATAGCCCCCCCCGGCCCAAATCTCTGCCCGTGTCACTCATGGGGGACGGCCAGGCAGCGGGCACCTTGGAGGGCTGGAGCACGGGACGCCGATCAGGCTGGGTGATCCCAAGAAGCTGTGGGCAGGAGACGCGTCAGCCATCCCAGCACGCAGAGAGCTGCAGCCAAAAAGCTCTTCAGTGCTGTCAAAGGCTCACGAGAGCAAATGCTCGGTCCCTTCTGTGCACAGCCACTGCCAGCATCACCTCCTGCGTTGCTTGCCGGCTGGGGGGGGGACGCCCTGCAGCACATCACGGAGGCTGCGGGGACCAGGACGCCTCTGGGGTGCCCACGAGCAGCCCAAGCCATGGGTAGGGAGAGGCCAAGGAGAATGAAGACAGTTCTGCAGCACCCGTGCCCTATCCAGCCTCCTCTCCCTCGCCTTCACACAGCGTCTTCAAAGCAGCAGGCGCTACGGAGGGACGGGCACCCCCCCGCCCAGGAGGACACGGGCTGGACGCGGGCAGGATGCTCCAAGCACGGAGGCAGAAGGCAGTGGCAGGACATCAGCGCCTGCCGCCGCCTTTCCCAGCGTGGCCACCTCTGTCCCTGCCTCCTGGAGGCCGGGCTAAGCTTTGCCAGGCAGCACCCATCCTCCAAAAGCCTCCTCCAGGTAGCGGGCCACCGCCAGCGTCAGGTGGTCATTGTAGGATGCAGCCACCAGCTGGATGCCCAGCGGCAAGCCCTCGCTGCTCAAACCCAGCGGGCACTGTGTGACGGGCAAGCCCAGGACGTTGAAGATGGCTGGAAGAGAGAAGATCACATCAGAGCTCTCCCCCAGCTGACTCGGAGGCCGATATCTCGCACGGATCAGGTCCGCCAAGCTAGGTGACCACCAGGCAGGGCACAAAGGGATGTCACCGGCCACAGGCTGCCAGCATCACAGGGATGACCCACAAGCGATGCCACCCTTGCTGTGAGGTGCCGAGATCTGCTTCAGGCACCGTCCCTACACTGCTCCGAAGCCAGGCAGCATCGCACCGTGGAGCTGGTAACAAGGAGCTCAAGATGCAGGCGAGGGAGCTGCAGCTGCTCACCTGTGTAGGCGAAGTTGAAGGGCATGCACAGCGGGGAGTGGTGCCGTGGAGCCACGGTGGGGTGGGATGGGTAGAGGAGCACTCCGTCTGGCCCCAGCAAGCTCTCCATCTCAGCCTGCAGGCTCTTCCCCATGCTCACCAGCTTGGCGTTAGCGCCGCGGTTGAGTTTCACCAGCTTCTCCGTCAGCCCCAGGGCTGCAGGGCAAGGACACAAAGAGGAGCACAGCGTTAAAGCGGAGCCAACAGGGCCGTGGGTTACAGCAGGCTCGGAGGCACGTTGTGAAGCCACACGCAACGCTGTCCACAGCTTAGAATTGGAGGAGACGCTCCCCAGATTTGGTGGGGGAACGTCTTTCAGCATGCCCACTGCTCCAAGGGTTGAGCAGAGCAACCTCAGCGCTCACCAGGAGGTGATGCTAGCACTGCTAACGAGGGCTCCCCATTATCCCCCCCGTTACCTGCTGCCAAGCCAGCAGCGCCTCCGCACAGCACGGGGCTTGCGCTTACCGATGGCCGGGAGGGTGTGAGAAGACATCCCCACCAGCCACTTCATCAGCTCCCACAGCGGCCACACCGGCTTCCCGTGATCCCCGAGCAGGTCCGTGAAGAGCTGCGCATCCTGCAAGCACACACACACCCCTACTGCAGCAACAGCGTGCCACGAGGTTCCCATTTCTGTTCATGGAGCAAAGGAGCACAGAAAACTTCTGGGCAGGTCCGGGAGCTCTGTAACTCTCCACAGTTGGAGGATCAGAGGGCTGATCCTCCTCTCCTCCCTGCCTTTGCCTGTGCCACCTCACCCACCTGCCCGTCGCTGTCCTTGGAAGACATCATAGCCGACCAGATCTGGAAGGAGTACTTCATCTTGTGGACGGACACGCGCTGCACCTGCACCCCCAGATCGCGTTCGAGGTACTCCACCACCTGTGGGGACAGGGGGAAGGGTTTGATTCCGCCAGGACGCAATATGCTGCCATAAACCCAAAACACCAAAAGCCCTGGATACCCCGGGACGGTCACGTTTCCACCGTTCCCGCTGTAATGAGGAACAAGAGAAGTATCTTCTCCCCCTTCCTTCCTACCTTCTTCTGGGCCTGCAGGATCTCCTTGTCCACAGGCGACACAAAAACGGACCCGCCGTCATGATCCATGCAGAAAAACCTGATTTTCTCCAGAGACACCTTTTCGTTCAGCTTCAGCCTGCAAAGGGAACAAGGCTGCTCGCAAATCCGTGCCTGGCTCCTTCCCTGCTCCGGAGCTGCTCACAGGCTTGGAAACATCCTCAGGACACCATGCCCTTGGTCAGTGGAGGGAGGAAGGTCCCTCAAGACACACGGACACCCCAAAACTGCCCATTCCCCATCCGCTTGCTCATCCCACTGGCCCTGTGCTCTGCTAGCTTTGCATGTTTATTGCTGCTCTAGCAGTCAGAAGAAACTTTGTCCCTCAAGGTGCACTCTGACCCTCGAGGTGCACCCTGTCCCTCGAGGTGCACCCCGTAGGGACAGATCCTGCCTGAGGCTGAGGTCAGGACTGCAGCTTTGCACTGCAAGGACCAAAGTAGAAATGAAAGCAGTAATGGAGCGCATGGTCACGCGAAGCACCGTGAGCCTGCAGGGGCTGCAGCAAGCAGCAGGACCTGCCCTGCCTGCACCGTGCTGCTGCGTGCATACTAAACGCTGCTCGGGTGCAAGAGAAAACCAGTTCTGCAGCAGCAGGAAAAAGCAGGTGGAACACAGAAAAGGCCAGCTCCACCAGGGAAGCACCAAGAGCAACCTACTTGTGGACTCCAGGGCCAGCCATGACCCGCAGCATCGGCTCCAGGTCCTCGGCGTAGCGGCACATGGGCCCGGTGCAGAGGAAGCTGGTGCGCACCCCCTGTGCGATGGGGAACTGCCCGTCGTTGGGGACCACTCCTGCAAGCAAGGAGAGGTGTCACTCACCACGAGCTGTGTCCCCAGCACCACCAGTGCCAGATGGGGCGAGCCCTGCAGCACCACGGTCTCCCGCTGCAGCTCAGGGGTTGCACGTCCAATGTTTGCATTGCTGCCCTGGGAACTCGCAGCGGTGCCCTGGGCACCGCATTTCTGCTCCAGGAATTTGTGACGGTGCCCTGGAGATTGTGTTCCTGCTCCAGGCATTTGCAGAGGTACCCTGAGGATTGCACCCGAGCTCCAGGAATTTCCAGTGGTGTTCCTCAGAGCGTTTGCAACCCCAGGGCAATTTGCACAAGGGGCAAAAGCAGCTGGCTGGCACAGCCAAGCACCCTTCCAGGCTGAAAACCACCCCTGACGCCACCTGAAAGCACCCTGTGTCCTTGCTGTCAGGGAAACACCCAAGCAGCATATACCGGTGCTGGGAAAACATCCCACGCTGGGGATGCAATACCTGTCACAAGACACCTCCTGCCTCCCATGCACTTGACGTCCTGCCATCAGATGGTTTCTCATTGCGGCGCTCACGCCGTGGGCTTGCCCCGTGCAAGAATTTGCTTGTCGCTGCGCAGCAGCCCCACGGTGGCAAAACCCACTGGAGGCAACCAGCGGAGCTTCCTCCCACCGCCCTCCTCCTCCGTGCATTTCACCTGCAGAGCTTCACCTGTGGTGGGTTTATGGCCAAAGACGCCGTTGAAGAAAGCCGGCATCCGGATGCTGCCGCCGATGTCGGAGCCCACACCTATCACCGAGCAGGCGGCTGCAAGGACGCCACCCTCCCCTCCTGCACAGGAGAAAATAAAGCAAAAACAGTGGTCGATAGCACAGAACAAGCAGAAGCACCCCGCGGTAGGCACTTCCCTTTGTGTGCACGCAAAGTGGCCCCAGCCACTTTTGCAATGTCTGGGAAAACAGGCCAAGCGGATTTTTGCTTGCTTAAATGCCACATCTGCATTGTGCTTTGTACCCATAACAAGATGAAGCAGTGCCAAGTGTAACACCTAGGAGGTGTGAAGATGCTGGGCCTACAAATCACCTCCTGCACCACCCCGGACAATGCCTGCAAGCTCTGCAGGAACCCGGCAGCGAGTGAAAGCAACGTTCAGCGAGAGCAATTTCCTTTGTGCATTTTGACCTCTTCCCCCCCCCGGAGCAGCGTGCTCACCTGAGCTGCCCCCCACGATCCTCTGCAGGTCATAGGGGTTGTTGGTCCGGCCGTAGACCCTGTTGCTGGACTCGTACCACATGCACAGCTCGCTGCAGTTGGTCACCCCCAGGGGGATGGCACCGGCTTGCTTCAGCCGTGACACCACGGTGGCATCGCAGGTGGCAATGACATCGCGGCGGTTGACCAGGCCAGAGGTGTTGGGCATCCCTACAAGGGAAGGGTCAGCAAAGGGGAGGCAGATGAGGAGCAGGACACTGCTTCCCCCCAAGTCCCCCGCAGCGGCCACCCAACACCCAAGGCGCTGCGTGCAAGAGGCAGAGGGGAAGGGGGGAACCCACCATGCAACGAGAAGGCCTCCTTGACGGTGATGGGCACCCCCAGGAAGGGGAACTTCTCCTCCAGGTAGTCATCGCCGGGACCTTCTGCCAGCAGCTTGTCCACCTGCCGGGCTTCCTGCAGAGCCTCCTCGAACCTGCAGGGCACCCAGGGGAGAGGCAGCTCAGGTGCTGGGGATAAGGGATAAGGGATAAGGGATAAGGGATGAGATAAGGGGGGTGAGGAAGCCCCCGCGCTACCTGTCCTTGACGACGGCGTTGATCAGCGGGTTCACCTCCTTGATCCTCTCGATGTAGGCTTCCACCACCTCCACGCACGTCACCTTGGGGAAGGGGGGGAGGAAGGCGCTGAGCGACGGGGGCTGCCCCAAAACTCACCCTACACCCCCCCAACCCCCCAAATAAATCCCCAAATAAATCATAAATCCCCAAACCCAGCACCCCGGGGTGCCCACCTCCCTCTGCCGGAGCTTCTTGGCCAGCTGCCGGGCTGGCAGCAGCAGCAGCGAGCGGCGCGGGGGGGGCACGGAGCGGGGCGGCGAGGGGGCGGCCAGCCCCAGCAGCGCCAGGCAGGCTCGGGACAGCAGCCGCAGAAGCAGCGCCAGGCAGCGCTCGGCGCGAGACAGCGCCATGGCCGCTCCCAGCGCCCCTAGGGCTCCAAGTGCTCCAAGTGCACCAAGTGCTCCTAGTGCCCCTAGTGACCCAAGTGCGCCAAGTGCGGGCGGGGAAGCTACGTAAACAGCGGAGCCACCGCCCGAAGGAGGGCGCGGTTGCCGCGGTAACGGTGCGGAGCGCTGCGGAGGTGGCGTAGGGTGCGCAGCCGGCGTAGGGCGCCGGGCTCGCAGCGGCGCGGCAAAATGGCCGCCAGGAAGCGGGGCGGTCCCGGGGAACGGGGGGGGTCATCGCCTCCAAGGAGAGCGCTGTGGGAGCTGGGGGTGTGGGGAAGGAATAAATAAGTTGAAGCTAAAGGGTTTTGGAGACCCCCCCGCCGCCCCCCGAACCAAACTCCTGACCCAAAATCTCGGCTTTTTGGCTGTTTTGAAGGGTTTTTTTGTGCCTGCGAAGCCAGCCTGTTTGTGGGAGTCACTCGGGGCGTGCATGCTCCACGAGGATGCCGGAGCAACCTCTGCCCTGTGGAAACAAGCCTGGAATCAAAGCCAAGTCATCACGATAGAGTGTTGTTTTTATTATTATTATTATTATTATTATTATTATTATTATTATTATATATATATACAGCTGTTATCAAAGAGATTGCTTTCCCTGTAAAAGGCGGGGGAGTCTCTTTGTCCCGCATGGAGATGGGACATTTTTTTTGTCCCCTGGTGATTTTAATAAGCCAATCTCTTTATTTTTTTTTCCCCTGACCGCGTGCTGGCACGGGTCCCCCACCGCACTCCGTATCCCCGTGTGTGCCTCCGGCAGTGCAGCAGCAGGGAACCACTCCGTGTGCCCTGACATTGCTGAAACACCCGCACAGGTGGCCTTATCTAGGTCCTCAGGTAGTCTTTGCACTTTCCCCTGCAATATCTAAGCACCTACACGCCCTCAGATTACGACAGGGGCGGATTAGAAAGGTTTCCTCGTGTCTGCATCTCTGTGTAATCGTGGGTTAGCAAAGCCCCAAAGTCACCTGCTTAGAAGAAACGGTAAGCCAGGACTTGTTAACACTTGGCCCGTGAAATCTGGCACCTTCGTGTTGCTGAGGTGGAGCTAGCAATGAGAAGGCAACTTCGGAGCTTGGGGGAGCCTGGGTCAGCCCCACAGGCTTCTGCCAGAGCGAGAGCACTGACGTGCATCCATCCCCAGGAAGGAGATGGAGAGAATGCTTCTCCTAATCACCGTCCCAGTGCTGCTCTTGTCATTTTTCTGGCAAATTTGCCGTTCCCCCTCAAGTCCTAGCCAAATGTTGGCAGAGAGGGGTAAGAGCAAAATCTCTTCTGCCCAAGGTCTCCGCTCCCTTTGCTGCTCTTCCTTAGGCAGCCCAGCTTTGGTGTTGTTTGCTGTGCAAAGTGTCTCCCTTCATCTTCGTCATCTTCAAGAACAGCTTTGAAATTCATACCCGGTCACTTGGCACCAGTGCCCCGTGTCCCCGCTAATCACGCTGTGTGCCAGTGCTGCCCCAGATCGCAGCTAGTGCTGCTTCTCACTAGGACGAGCTTTCTGGGAGCAAAGCCAAAAGAACAGCTACCATAATTCATGGTATCCCAGAGGAACTTCATTTCCATGAAAAATGGAAAGATGAGATAGAAGGTGCTGTAGAAATAAAGTACCAGGACGCCTAAGATCAAAATTAAGACTGCTTTTCAATGGTCATAATCAACCCAACAAGCAAGCAACACCCCATAAGCCAGTTAATTCCAAGCTGATTAAAAAACAAGCAGCCGAGAGCAAGGAGGTTGGAAATAAGCAGTGAAGCTCACACATCCAAAGCTGTCCCCCAGCTAAGGAGAAGAAAAGCATGATTCAGGGTCTTGCAACCCTGGGACTTAGGCCTGTCATTATCACCAGACATTTCAGCATTAACAAAGGCTTAAAAAGACAAGAGCGATTGGCAAGAACGTGTGGAAAGCTGGCGTGGTTCTGCTTGTTGCATGTATGTATGTTGTAACACTAATTGGCCAAGAAACCATGCAGTAAGCTCAGCAGCAGAGCTCGAGGCTGGTGGGAAGCAGAGAGGCGTGCGCTGATGGATGGTGCTGTGTTCTGGTGACCTTCACCGAGCTCACCGAGCCGCTCCGGGTCTTTTCTCCAGGGCAGAAAAAGAAAAGGCTTTCAGGAAATTAAAATAAGAAAAAAAAATAATCCTGGGAGTACAATTCTTTGCAAAATGAGTCATTCAAAACATATATGTAAAGCTTCAGGAGAAAACTGGTTTGCGCAGAACGTTGCTGGGGTGGGGGAAGAGAGGAGGGACATTTAAATGCTCAGCCTGAAACACAACACCTCAGACACTTTATTTCCCAGAAAACAAAAACAAATAGTAATAATAATACAGAAACCCAACCCACCAAGTTTGAGGTTCCTCCGAGCCTGCCATTAATCAGATCCACCACTGAGCGATGCTGTGCTCTGCGTTTCCATTATCTGTCTTCTTGAGCGCTTGCCAGGAGCCAGCCCGCCTGCTGTGCTGTGTGGCTGTTGAATAACCAGGGTGCAGCACACAGGGGTTTCAGAGAAATTCTCCGAAATTGCTCCAGGAACCTCGCACCCGAGCTGAGCAGGCTTCGCAGGAACTTCTGCTTGTTGTCAGGGGGAGGGCCTGCTGAGAAACGGGTGCAGGAACCCGGGAAGCTTTCCGAAATACCAGCTGGAGAGCACACGGGTACCTGTCCAAAGTCACCGTCCCGCAGCTGACCTGCAGTGCAGGCTGTCCTTAGCTTCAGCGGAGACAGCTGGGGGCTGTGGGGTGCCCCCCACCAGCCCCTGGCCCCTCCACTCCTGGGTTTTGGGGTGGGTTGGGCAAGGAGCACGGGTAAACCTCGGGGACATCCCTTGGTCCACGCAGTCCCTGGAATGGTCTGGGAACCCCCTTTGCTGGCAGCATGGGCACAAGACCTGCGGTTCCCCTGAGGTGGAGGAGTTTTCCTGTCAGCACCTTGTGCTCTGTGGCCATGCTGGGAGTGGTTTTGGGCTGTGGCTGTGGCGTTTTGGTGTCTGTGTGGGGTTGTGCATCCCCAGCTGGCGGTGGTCCCGCTGTTGGTGCAGAGAGGGAAGCCCAGGGCTCGGCTGGTGCTGTGCTCTGGAGCATCTAGAGGTGCAGTGAGTGGGTTTTTTATTTTTATTTTTATTTTTATATTTTTATTTTGTCAGATTCCCCACCTGAGGGAGCAAGGACCGGATTTCAGCTCCCTCTCCCCTATGAGGGGCTGCGCTTGCCGGCGCGGCAGCATGCCCCGGGCTGCTTCCGTTCTTGGAAATCCAAACTGCAGCCGGCCACAAGCGAGGCGAGGCAATATTTGGGTTGTTTGCCGCATCGTTTGCTTAACCACTGCTAACAGCTCTCGGGCAGAGGCACCCCAGCTGCCAGCCCCCTTCGCCAGAATTTGGCTGGGGCTCCGCAGGGGCGCGGATCCGCCTGGCACCGGCGTCGCGCCCTGTCCCCGGGGGCCGAGGATGTTTTGGGGGGCTCCCAGGGACCGAGGATGTTTTGGGGTGCCCCCGGCCGTGGCCGTGCCGCAGGAGGTCGCTCTGCCACCGTGGTTTGGTGCCTCCGGGCCCCGCAGGGCCACAGCTGTTCCCGCTGCGTGGAGCCAGGGTACACTGTGTTCGCCCGGAGCCCTCGGTGAAACCAAATGTTTACGCATGCCTCTGCTCCGACTAACTTCTTGGCCGGCTTTGCACGAAGCCTGCTTCTCCGCCGCGGCTCCAGCTGCCCGGAGGCTTGGGGAAGGGTCTGCGTGGTGCTGAATTTAGGGGGCTGCTGCCCTTCCTCCCTATGGGACCCCTCTCCGGGCAGCCCCCTCCTCGGTCCCTGTGCCTTTCGTGCCCGGAGGAGCTGCCAGCCCCTTGGAGGGGGTGCAGAGGGACCACGCTTTGCTTCCTTGCCCCGTGGGGGTTGGCACCCACCCCCACGAACCTGCCAGCCCTTTCTGGCTCCAGCCGGGCTTTGGGGCGCACCTTGGGATTTGAGAAACAGCCGAGGAATTTCCTGGGCTCCAGGGTGTCTCTGGCAGTGCGGAACGCTGCTCGTGGTGCTGCTTCTCAGCAGCCTCCTGGCCAACACCTCCAGCTCCCACCGCCCTGCCTGCCACTGCCACTGCGTCCTGGGGCTGCCCGCTTGCTGCCCCCCCCATCTCAGCCTCATGTCCCCTCTGCCCCCCAGCCACCATCCTCCTCCTCTGCCCCAGGGGACCGTGCCAGCTCTGCACACCTGAAGTTAAAAAGTGCTGGTGCTCAGCTGCACCCACGGAGCAGCCCTCATCCAGATGTGCCGTTGTGGTGTCCATGCTCCTCCTGGTGCCCCCAACCCCTCAGAAGGGTTTCCTCAGTGAGAAGGGAGCCACACATCTTGGGTAAGGGGGCACCAACACACCGAGGTCCTTCACAGCCCTGCCAGATGAAACCAGACCCACGGAGAGGTGTTGGGAGGCATACGGAGCCCTCTGGACACCGAAGTGGCTTGGGGATGGATGGATTTTGGGGCTGGTGCCTGCTCTGTGGGCCCCAGAGCCGAAGAGAGTGGCACCACCTCGTGCTTGTGGACGTGCTGGAAGAGTCACACGAGATGGAGAGAACCCCAGGGCGCAGACATCGCTGACAGCCATCCGGTGCCCATGGCCGTCATGTTGACGACACCGTGCCGGACTGCCAGGCGTGTCTCGCCTCCCGTGCAGGCTGCAGGACTCTTTCCCAAGTGCTCTGGCTTTCGGCAGAGCCGGTTGCCCAAGCGGCCCACGCGGCCCTGCCAAGCTGTGTGCCACGGCCCTTGCGCAACGGTGTTGATAAACACTGCGGGGCATGCCAAGTCCTGCGAGACAACAGCTGATGTGCTGGGCTGAGGGAGTGCCCGGCACAGCAAGAGGAATTTTCCACTCTTCTCCGGAAAGTGCATCTCACCCCGCTGGGGATTGTCCCCAGCAAGGTGCAGACCTGTTTACTGGTGTCCCAGCTGCCCCTGTCTGGCCCTATAAGCCCTGCCATGCAGCCCCACGCACGGGGCAAGGCAAGGGGTGGCTGCATTGCCTTGGGCACGGTGGCACCCCCAGAGGGCTGGGTTGGGATG